ACTTCTACTCTAAACGGATCATTGTCTGTGGGAATACCGAGAACTGGAGCGTTCGTAAGAGTGTCTTTGAGCCTACCAAATGCTTCCTTGCATCCGGCTCCAAACTCCCACTCAACATTGCCAGTCAAGCGGTTCAAAGGCGTCGCAATTCGGGCGAAGTCCTTTACAAATCTACGGTAAAAGTTCGCAAATCCCAGGAAACTTTGCAAGTCCTTCTTGCATGTGGGCTCGGGCCATTCCGCGACCGCCGCCACTTTCCCAGGGTCCATCCGTATCGTTCCATATGAAATAAGATGTCCGAGATATTCGACTTCTGACTTTTCAAATTCGCATTTTTCCGGCTTACACGTGAGTTTGTTTAGGCGCAGTATGTCGAATACACGCCGAACGTCCTCACGATGCGTTTGCAAATCGTCAGAGAATATCAAGATATCATCTAAATAAACGATGACCTTCCCTTCCATTATCATCTCATAGAATAAGTCATTCATCATCATTTGGAAGGTGGCAGGGGAGTTCGTGAGGCCAAAGAACATGACCAGGGGTTCGTAAAGCCCGCGATTCGTGATGAATGCGGCTTTCTCTTCGTCACCCTTTTTCATACGAACGTTGTTGTATCCCCATCTGATGTCCAGCTTCGAGAAATAACGACAGTTTTTTAACTTATTCAATAGTTCTGAGATGAGTGGCAGAGGGTATTTGTTTTTCTTTGTCATCTCGTTTAATTTACGATAGTCCTGCACAGGCCGCAATTTCCCGTCCTTTTTCTTCACAAAGAAGAATGGGGCCCCCCATGGTGACTTCGAGGGTCTAATGCGTCCGGTTCTGAGATTTTCTTCTAGAAATTCATCTAGCGCCTTCTGCTCGTTCAGAGTCATGGGATAGACTTTTCCGCAATAAGGTTTAGCTCCCGGTAGGAGTTCTATCGCGTGGTCCCATGGCTTCCGATCAGGAAGAGCATTAAACGTGTCTTCGGAGAACACGTCGGCGTAATCTCGGTAATGTTCCGGAACAACATCCTCCATCTTTTTAGCTTTGTATTTTCCCTCCGCTATCGCGATGTCCGTAGCATTGGCGCGAAGGTACTCTTTTCGTTCATGGACGGTTCTAAGCCATGCATTGCTATCCATCATAAATATACGATCCTCGTGTTCGACCAGGTTTTCGCTGAAAACAGAGCATGATTCTGGGCATCGATCGAATTTTAACAGCTTTCGCTGCCAATCGATGGTTGGATTATGGTACTGAATCCAATCGAAGCCCAAGAATACTTCCGCACTCTGTAATTCAGTCACAAGGAATTGACGTTTCTCCTTGTGCTTCCCAGTGCCTACTACGAGTTCGACATAGTCCGTGATCCTTCCCCCAGAATTCGCCGACCCATCTGCATTATAGACTTTGATAGGGTTTTCGAATTTGTGTACTTCAATACCATGTCGTACCACAAAATTCCTATCGATGCACGATCCCGTACTTCCTGAGTCTAATAATGCTCGCGTGTCGATCACCTGTTCCGTTTTGGGAATGATGACCGCGATAGGTAGCTCCATCTGTCGACCACGACCTACTCCCTTTACAACTACATTTCCACGCAACTTCTCACCAGTGCTTCCAAAGCCACCGGTACCTCGTATAGTGTCCTGAATCGTCCCTTGGGCAATGTCTATTTCCGGAACCTCGGCACACTCCAGGATCAACTGCGCAATTCTCATGCTATATTCGACATGGAATTCCTTGTCCGAATTGTTGATGAGGAGAACCTTAAGTCGTCCAGTGTAATCGGGATCGATTACACCAGCGCCTACGTCTAGACCTTTGACTGCGAGTCCAGATCGTGGGGCGATTCGGCCATATACGCCTTTAGGCATCTCCATTCGGATTCCTGTGTCTACTAACGTGCGAGAATGTGCAGCTATAAATAAATCTTCTGCCGCGTAAAGATCATATCCGACAGAGCCCTCCGTTTGTCGCTTTGGAGCTATGGCTCTTGGATCGTCGAGATAGATCTTCAACGTGGTTTTTGGTTTCGATGCGCTCGATGATTTTCTCGATGTTTTTGTATTTTTGGTGGAGGAATTAAGCACAGTTATAGCACTGCCGCGCTCATTGTGAGACGCCTCCGCTTTGTATGTATTAATAGATAGCGTATCACGTGTATGTAAGTCCGTAGGGGATACATCATTGTGCTCAATGAGATCCACGCTGTCCGATAAAGGAGAAAATCTGTTCATAATTGGCAGTGCAACTGGCGCATTCAGTTGTTGCCGAGCCGAAAACCCGCCTTTGTGAAAAGCTCGGGCCTCGATGCATAGAGGGAGCGTAAATAATTTAGTCCCTGTTCCTCATTGTCCAGGTTGACCGTTGTGGGGTTTTCAGTCTCCGTCTCTACCCCCGTTTCGACAGCCAGCTCACGTACTCGTTGTGGCTGAGGCCCTGCCGCCCGGTTTGGTAGATGCCACGTGTCTCCGCATGTCCCTTTTTCTGTTTTCTTCGCTCCGCATTTGATGCAAGCCCGATCGATCTGCATCGGCTGCCCACCTCCTTGGTACAAAGTACCCGTTCCATCCCTTCTTGGCTGGTATGAGACCCCGGCCACTGGTATGACCCCAGGAGTTCTTTGTGGTGCTGCTGGAGCAGCTTGACGAGCCGGTTGTGTTGCCGGCTTGCTTCCAGAAGCGTTTGAGTTGCCGTGGTAGCGGCTCCACAAAGCTTTTTCCTCCTGGCGAATTCGCCAGTTGCGGTCAATGCCGCGGATACGGGTGCACCATTCTACATAAGTGGTGGGAATGTTCCCACTCATGTAGACTTGGTCGATCACGTTTTGGCTGGTGCCTCGTTTTAGCAACCTAACCACATGTTCGTCACCCAAATTGTATCCGGCCTGACTTGCCAGATCCTCAAACTCGACGATGTAATCGTCGGCCGACCGATTTCCCTGACGCACGTACTCGATCTTTTGCTGAGCCTTTTCTCTTAGGCTAGCATCGACATAGTGGTCGTCCAGGATCCCCCAAAGATCTGTACTGGAGATCTGCCAATATCCGCCAATACAATTTGTATTGTACAGGATTCGGATGAAGGCGTCTACCTTCGGCCCGCGGATATAGCTGACGATAATATTGGTTCTCCTGTTATCGTCGTTGATCTGGTGATCGGCCAGGAACAGCCGCATCTCCATCTTCCACTTTTCGTACTCATCCTTATTGCCGTCGAAATCCTTTGGTTTGTTTACTACAGGTTTTCGACCTCCACCTTGTTGTTGATTTTGCAACAAGGTTGCGATTTGGGAGAGTGCGATGGCGAGTGCGTTGGGCGGAGGAACTGGTGGGGCGGGTCTCGGATTTACCGGGACCTGAGGGTAGGATGGTTGAGGCTGTGCCAACCTCGGTGGTGACCGTCGTGACTGCGGCCGTTGCGGTGAGCGGTTTGGAGTCCGCATGAGCTCGTCGGGGGATGATGGGCCCTGACGAGGCGCGTTTGGATCCTCCCATGGGTTCGACATGATGTTGTGAAGAGCGTGGTTCTATTCACGGAATTTCCGACCGTGGAGCCTAATTGCCTATACAGAGGCTGCGGTGGAGCGTGCCGCCTCAATTGCTCTGCTCCCTGATTCTGCCGAGGAATTTCCGACCTCGCGATCCAATTCGGGGATTTCCTGACCCCGGAGCCCAAGTTTCCAAAACCAGACCGCTTTCTGGGTCTATCAAATCCACGCGCTGCCTGGTCCCCTGTCACCAAAACAGGATCAACCCAAAAAGGCTATCCAAGCCCGCACAGCCGTTTATCTCCGGATGGTGAAAAGATTCCCTGTTCCTACCGCTAAGTCTTCCTCTTAGCCAATAGGGGTAACTCGCAGGGACAAAGTATTGCTACACTAGCCTACTGTTACTTATCTAGGCTCCGCAGTAATCAACTCGATTCGCGATCGCCGTGAGCCCCGTGGTGCTTTTGACTATTATGCACTGGGTTGCCTAATCACGGAGGGGATTTGGCCCCTTGGAGACTACCACTGAAGGTAAATCTCCCGAAGGTTCGTCTCGAGTCGACCGGCTCTGTACGTAGCTATCTACCCTTGTCAAAGTGCCTGCGGTGGGCGTTCGAATGAAAATGCCAATAATGGCTACACTTTAAGCCTAGTGCCCGGCTCTGCAAGACTGTGTTGTCTCGGACGTTTGATGTGCGGATGTAGAGAGTGAGCGGTGGGGTGGCTCGGGTAGGATTGGATGTGGAGACTTGTATTTAGAGAGTTCTTTGCCCTATGTGGCCCGGGTTTAGTACCGGAGGGTGGTCACTCTCGAATACAAGGGTTTGAAAGACGCGGTAATACCGGTCGAGCGAGTTCGGAGTAGAGTAGTCTTCAGTTAATGACACGGCTAGGTTTTTAGCGTTGAAAGTGCCAACTGAAGACTGAGGATTGCCCTCAGCTTCAGTCTGCTTATATATTGTACAAACCGCATGAGTAACTACATATTACATGAGAGAGCATATGTGAAGAGGAATGAGCATATCTGTGACATAGGTAAGGTCCGAGATAGGCATGAGAAAACAAAAGACATATATGGTAAAATAGAGATAAGGTTCCGTGGTCCGAAGTAATGCGTCCGAAATGAAAGAACCGTAACACATGCGAGCTTCTGGTGTGTCGCTTGGCAATTACAGCCGGCTCCAATGAGGAGCAATTCAGAGGAATAAAATACTCAGACCTTAGCCCGCTCGCAGTTGTGAACACAAGGTCCTGTGCGGGACGAGCATCGCGGCTTCGAGTCTGCTGCCATGGTGGTTAGAAAGCTTGAGAGATGTTGGAAAACGCGAAAACGGAGGACCGCTTATGTCATACATTTCCCACACATAAACACGAGACCATGAAGGTACTTAGATAAGCGTGGACATATATAAATAAATGCTCTTGATTTGATATTTTGAGAGGCTGTATGGCAAGCACGTGACGAACGCGACCTGGTTGCTTTTGTGGCACGCCCAACGCGTTCGGATGTCCACCGCGACTTGCTCTCTGCTATATCGAGTTCATGCATCCCTTGTACACTTAAGACTTACCCAACGCTCCCTCACTATCTTGCAGCACTCAGATGTTGATGGCGCGCCCGGCAGATCCGACCCCTCCCATGTCGGTGGGCAGCGACGATTCATCGCCGTTCCCATTACTCTTTGAGAGCCGCACGGAAACAAAACGACCACCCTTGAGGCGTACAAAACGGTGCCAACTTCCTCTCGATTTTTTCAGTAGCTCATGCAGCGAAGTATCCGACGATGACGATGACGAAGTCTTCTGCTCGCGCTTCGTTATGCCCAACCATCATGTGAAAGTCATTACTGGCTCCGACAGCGATTCGGAGTCAGATCCGGAAGATGACGAACTCGCAAAAATAATACGCCTCACTCCTGTGTCTGTGGAGTCGCTGAAGACTGCAAAGGCCTCACATGTGCCCGCGCCCGCCACATCTCCCCCGCCGCCTGCGGTAAACCCTGTACCTTCAGCACACGATGATTTTGACTTCTCTGCTCCTCCTGTATATCATGGCTTTTCCTACGCGGCCTTTGGTCTCGTGAAACGCGTATGGGATATACGCCGCGACGCATGGAACAATCAACCGGCTGCTGCTGTTGCCGCAGCTGCATACGGCGGCATCGCCCTTTCTCCTGAGCCGCAACCTCAAGATCGACCACCACTTGTCCCCCAACGAGTCGCAAGCTCGGATCCCTCCGCGCCAATATACCCACGCATTGGGTCTCTCGCCGGCCTACACGATCCCCAAAGCGCTGCCATGGACCGCGCGTTCTGCCGCTTTCCCATGTACACCATGCTCAAGATTCTATTCCTACATGAGATGCTCCGTTCATCCTCTCGCTTACCACCTCCTACCACTCCTACAGCACCCCAATCACGCTCACCGACGGATAGCGACGAAGAAGACACGCTTGTCGGGGATGAACACGCGGACGAGGACCTCGCCAAAGGCAAGACAAGGGCGCCCTTGTCGAATCCCATCCTGACTGCGACGGAGTGGCAGCGTACATGGCTCGAGCGCTGGCAGTTCCTCATGGACGTTTCTACCACCGACCCTCTTACCGTTTCCCCGCGGTTGACCTCCCCCGAGGACACGGCATTGCGGGTAGAGCTCCTCGAACACACTACTCGCCAATGGGCTTGCGCTGATGTGGACATACATGCCTACTCAGTGGACGCTTATGCCGATACGTCCGCGTACGTGGAAGAGACAAGCATATGCACCGACGAGTCTGAGGACGAAGACGCTGTGCGATCGCGCTTGATGGAGGAGGCTTTCCGTCCGCAAAGCCCAAAATTCTTCTTCGCCGGGAGTGATGACGACGACGACGACGACTGGGACGCTTTAGAAGAGGACTTCCGCGGGCTCGCGAGTTGCTCGGCGGCCGCACAGTTCCTATCACGGAGGGATATGAACCACCCTAATATGATGGCGATGGCTTGATTGCATGTCGCACTGGTCATGACTTTTGCCACCGGAAATGACAACAATGACGATGATTTCAACAGTCTAGTGTGTATATCGCAGCGTTCGAGTACTTGTAGTATTAATGTTTATCCTTATTTCTGTCGTTTTGTACTCAGTACTACGTGAATGTATTCCTGATACAATTCATTACGTGCGCAATGGCTACACAGGAGAAGTATATGGTTAAGAGACAAGGTGAGGTTCGGATTGGTACCAGTGAGTGAGATGTACGGATGAATTAGCTGACAGATATAACTACTGATTGTCCTTCAACTTGCTACCGGGACACCGGGAGGTGATGCATCCAGTCCTAGGGTAACACACATTTTCACGATTATTTAGAGAGTCCTGGATGCCCAAGTGAACCATTTCAGCCATGAATGAGCAGTACACGCTTGGCGCCTATTTCACCTTCATAACTCGAAGCCTCACGTTGGCTCCGTCGCATTGAAATCCACATACTCAAGGTATGTTTCAGGTTTCAGCATCGGGTTATTTATGATGACACGAGAAGCCTGCGGGCCGTCAGTCTACAATTTCTCACGAGGTTTTGGCGAGACTCACCTGTATGGGCTCTGATACACTCACCTCCGCGACGTCATGTCGTGGCGGCTCACTTTCCAGGGATTCTTCATATGTTGAATACGATGGCGGACGTCCCTCTTCGCCCAATGTTGTGTTCTGAATTTGGATAGATTCAATGGGAGACGCAGCGGACGTCGAGGCGTGAAGGGGTGTGCCTGCCGAAGGAGTTACCAGCTCCTCTGTAGTCATTATTTTCTGCACCGCGGACTGTGCACTTGTCGAAGGCGTGCAGTGTGATGGTCCAGAATGTGTGCAGAACATCCTCGGGTACTGGTTGCATACATAGCTACACGGCCGGAAGTTGGGATCAATGCGCAAGCTAGGCCTCTCGGCTAGACGCAAGTCAGTTGATCGATTTAGATAAAGCGTAGCAGGAGATGGAGATTCGCACCTTCGTTGAGACAAGGGGATCTTGATCCTGTTGTCCTTCGTCTGCTCAGTATGACGGCTGCTATAAGACAAACGAGCGTAGTCACGCCAAGGCAGGCGCCCATTACGGCGTAGAAACCCGTCGGAGCGCATGCATTTATCATAGATAACATAGTGTTATCGTTCGGGGCGCTCGTAGTGGGCACCGCACGGGCCTTCGCTTGGGAGAAATTGGCATATCGGCGAACGAAATGAAGTTCAAGCTGGCGTGTAGGTTGAGCTGCCCAGTGACTGAACAATTCCCGGTGTTGGTCGAAGTTGGATGTTTGGGGTGGAGCAAAGGAATGACTGGGGTAGGGAACCACGGGAGACATGGTGCGTGAAGGACTCAATTGAATGAGTATGCCCAAGGTAACGCGAAGGCTGACCTGCACGCTCGACATCTCTTTTGACCTCGAGGAGATGATAGGCGTATATCCGAGGAGCTGTTGCACTCGACCTTCTTTGTTCAACTTACTCGACCCTTGAAGAATGGTAGTGTGTCCTATTGTATGTCATGAGATCGCAGAGCGTGTACTCTGAAACATCATCGTGGCCACGCCTCGCGCACCGGACTTGTATAGTAGCAAGTGCACTGTAGCTGTCGTCAAGGAAAGATCAACGCATGCGGAAAACGTACCCGGAGGAACAACGATCTCGCACCCACAGATCGATTGTGCCTTGTTCCTGATCCACAGCATGCATGAGCTTTGACTCTCGAGAATCGGTTCAGAACATGAATTTAAGTGTTATGAATGTGGCTGGATCCGGAAGATAGATGCTATATGCGGGCCTGAGGCGCAAGTGAACCATAGTAAATGCTGCGTAGCAGACGACGTGAAAGGCCAGCATGTTTGTCATCAGAGACTCACAGGTTTCGGCAAATTTCAATAAGAAACCCGGTGAGAGTCGCTGTATTCACTTTACACATATTGGTCTGTTAGCAATGCACTCCGATCACTAAAATTGCTCTGCCACGCGTAGTTGGGGGCTTCTTTTGGCTCACAGCTGCACAGAAGGGATGCCGCAAGATTGCCGGATTATTATAATGTTATACTTGCCTGAGATATGACCGTCACGACACAGCCACAGTGTTGCTGGACATCAATTCAAAGCTACATTGTAACTCAAGTATTCCTGTATGTACGACATGGTATGTTGGCATGTCATGAGCTGGTGTTGGTAGTTAGGATCATCGCAACATAACCGCACCTTCGAACAGTTTCTCGGAAGACCATCTTTATTATGAATACGCATTCAGTGAGACATCGCATTAGTATAGAATGCCATTGAGTGTCAAGCTGTATCGTCTAGATATATCAATCTCTCACTCATGTGCGCGCCAAGCCCGAAGGACAGAGATCGCATTGTGCGTCTTTCAGCAGAGGCTTCACACCATTGTAAGATTGCGCTGAAAAGGAGGTAGCATCGGTCAGCATATTCCAGTCGGTCACCGAACGTAATCATGTCGTAGCGGAACGATGGGTCGTTGTCGGCGATGCGCGATGCGAATGCTTTCGCGAGACTTTCATCCGGCGAAAGGCCGATTGGACCACGAACAGTCGCCGTGGCATCGAGCGTGAAGCGTTAGCTGTTGGGGACGGCTAGCCAATCAAGGAAGAAACTCGAGAGATTTCTTCTGTCGAAGGCTTATCAGGTCCAAGCTAACCAGGCCCGGGAGAGCCGCGGCTGCCGATGCTACTTCCTGGCTTCCTGTCGCCTACTCCGACACAACGTCAGCAAGGGAAAGAGAAACAGACCTAAGACTATTGGTTTCTCGTAGGAGGGTAGCAAGGTAACCCAGTGCCATGAGGACTTCCGATCGGTGAAGATCGATAGTGAGGTGTCGCACCCTGCGAGCGCAATCGGAAATATACTCGAGAATGAACACGCATATTCTGCCCCAACGTCTTCTAGAGGTTTCACCCATGGTGGTTTGGCGTATTCCGAGCTGATGAAGCGAATGAGCGGTGACAGACAGGTCGAAAGCGTCGGACGTTTCCCAGATGAGATACAATCAAGAAAAGTACGTCTTCAGCTAGCAACAAGAACGCTGCGCTGGACGATGACAGTACCTGCGAGTATTGGCATTGTATACGGGGTTAGATATAATCGTATTCACAGTTGTGACGGACAGTTCATGCCGTACCTCAGATGTCTTCGTGGCACCTTTTTCTCCATATTGTGGTTTGTTACGTCCATGAGTTGAGCATTCGACGTTACAGTGCAGAAAGGCTGGTAATCATGATGCTTGAACGGGAGTCGATCGACGCGCTATTTCTGAAGGAGATCCTTGTTGAAGAACGCCCTGAAGTACAGCGTCGGGACAAGAATAGAGCAGAGCACGTATCAAAGGCCAGCGGTAGTGACGGTCCCTTGAAGCGGGATGGTTGACGATAGCGACTGCGTGCTGTCCAGTATATAGGGGACTTTACCGTGAGATAGCGATGTTTTACCAGTTAACAAGTACTGCTTGAACCACGACTTATACCAGCTAATTAGCCGTGAATTATATAGGTTAATTTGACTTCTAGGTCTGGGCTAATTAACCGGTCAAGCAGCCCATCGTTCCTATTTCACATACTAGTGCCCCTTGGACACGCTTGGTAGTCTCACAGCTCTACTGTACCTGGGATTGACGCGTCGTCCTGCTGGCATCCGGTATTGTGCTGTGGACAGCCTCTTCCGACATACCTGCATTGGAAAGTTCGCTTGTACAATCTCACAACCTGCCGTCTCATAAATCGATGTCGGGCGATGTCTGTTGCAGTGAGACTACAGCCTTGACATTAGTATGCGAGATACGACAGCTGTATTGCCTGCTTGGCCCTCGTGTGTGGCTATGCTTTAGTGCAAGATGCTGCATAGCCACTTGTCTTCACAAGCTTTGCCGCGTTGATCTGATGGTCGCAATACCCTTCCCGCCAGGCGCTCACTCTACGAATTGCCCTCCGCCGTGCCGGGTGCTCAGTGAACAAGCGGATTCTAAGTCATTTCTTACTCAGCTGAATTGCCGACGCGTTATATCAGGCACTGTGTCTTGGCTATCCCCTAGCGCAACACCGAGCCTCCCGACGCGCACGTTGTCTTTTGGGGCACTGACAGGCATGAGCGCTGGCGTTGAGACTGCCGTCATCAGTTATTTATTCGAGCGATCAACACTGCAGTTGATGGTGTACGTCTTTCTTCCTCTTCCTCTTTCTCTCCATCTCTTCTTTTCTTACGATGCGGGGTTCCGTATTTTCTGGTCTAGTAATGTTTTCTGCCCTCGTGGCGTCCACCTCTGCTCTCCGTGTGCCTGTGCGCCGTCAATCATTTGAAAGGAGCCGCTCTCATTCAATGTCCACTGGCAAGAAGCACACTTCCAATCCGGATCTGCACGCTCTCTCAGGATACGAAAATTTCATCGACGAGCGATACGTAGGGAACATTACAATCGGCGGGCACTCATTCGAGGCACGCCTAACTCGCTCTTAGCTCAGATACTTGGTCTGACTCTGCTCACAGGTGATTCTCGATACCGGTAGTCCGGATTTCTGGATATCAACGAACGTCACATTCGAGAACGCTATCAACACCAGTGTTATTAGTGGTACGAATTACGGTACGAAGGGAGGCCAGTCCAGGGTCAGTGGATATATCTTGACGGCGGAAGCCGAGTTTGGCGGCTTCACTGTTCACAATCAGACTTTCGGTGCGTGTGTCATGCTCTATCTATTTGCATGGTATTGATAGCACTTGGTTCGTGTTTACAGTCGATGTGACTAACATGACTACAGAGGATGGCACTGGGCTTCTGTTCCCCGGTGTAAGTGGATTAGTAGGACTGAGCCCGTACGTACAGCCATGTGCGTATTGCAACACAATCAAATCTAACCAAATATTGCGCTTTAGACCCACAGCCGGCAATGATATTCAACAGTCGCTGTCGAAGGCAAAGAGTCCGTACAACGGCTCGCGTCCCGTGTCCAATGTAGGACTATAACTAGAACGGTGTTCCTGTCTTTACTCACCATTCTTGTCAGATCTTCGCTCAGTACCCCTACTTCCCGCCTCAATTCACGATGCTCTTTTCACGGTACTACGGCAATAACATTACATCCTCAGGTGGCGAATTCACATTTGGTCAGTGTCGAGATCTGAGGCTGTGCATTTCCACTACTTTGTGCTAATTGCTGACAATTCAGGCGACCCGATCTCTGGATACGAATACATTGAGGACGCACCCGCCATGCCCGTGATCGACAACTTCCTCTTTGAACAGTAATGGTCGATCCACATGGATGCCATCATTATCAACGGCAAGCGATTTGAGGCTGGGTGAGTGAGCTGGCTTTTCCGGTCAATCGAAAGAGTGACCTGATATTAAGTGTCTTATCCTAGGCCAACCGGCGCGAAGAACCTCACGGCAATCCTTGATGCTGGGACTCCTACTGCCTTGATGGACTCAGAGTTCGTGGACATGCTCTACGGTGCCGACACACCCCGCTTCCAAGACGACACCATATCTTATGCACCCTGCGATCTCAAGATCAACATGACATTTGTGTTCGGGTATGTCCTCAATTCATGCTCAGGTTTGCTGTTGCATTGAACGGCGCTCCAGGGATGTTGAGATGCCGATCAACCCTCTCGATCTCACGACTCCCAACAACGTGACGCAGAATGGTACAGTGGAGTGTTATGGCTCCTTCGAGCGATTAAGTGGCTTCCCTCCAGGCAGTGAGTGTCTCTCCGGTTCCAAACCCGCATCGTTGTAACTGCTCTGACGACTGCCCTTGATAGCGCTTCTCCTCGGTGACAGTTTCTTGCGTAACGTGTACACGCTGTACAACCACAACCCAAACAGGAACTGGGGCAACACGACTAGACCATATGTTCAGATGATCCCCGTGCGTGTTGAGCCTGCTTCATTGCCCCGTCGGTCCCTAACGAGCGCTCGTTCTATCCGCGCCTTCAGCTCACCGATCCCAACGAGGCATGGGCCAACTTTGAAAACTGGAACCAGCAGCGACTGGATAGCTGGAAGAACATCTCCAGCATCGTCAACAATTACGATTCCTCGGACAATTCGAGCGACTCCAGCAATGATGCCAAAGTGTCCACGGGTGCACATCTTGCGGGCGACGTTACAGACTCTACGCCTGCATCTTCGTCCTCGCCCGACTTCTCTACGCTCACGCGCAACTCATATATCATCCTCGGCCTTCTTGCTGGCGTGCTTGTCCTCGTGCTAGTCGTCCTTGGCGTCTCGTGCGCTGGCCAGCGCTCCAAGACGGGTCAAGGCTACCGTGTTGTTGCCCCTATGGGTGAGCAGAAGACATTTGTCTCGAGCTACTCGGAGTGAGGCCACCTCTGCATGGGAACCTTTGAGCTGTGGACTGCTAGTGTGTATCGATACCGCTGAGCGCACATGCTATGGGAAGTATAATTTACATATTTATATTCCGCTTAGGACCGCCATTCCTGTATTGCATAACCCGGCCGCTTTCTGCTCTGCTCCAACAGTGCCATGCGATAGTCTTCATCAGAGCTTCGTCTGACATGCCAGGCTGTTACTGTTCCGTAGTGGGGCAATGCTATGATGTTTGGCGTTGGACATAACCTTAAGGTATCTGTCATTAAATTCCTTCACTGCTCGTGGGCGCTGTACACATGATGCTGTCTGCAACGTCGCACTTGGCCAGTAGCGTCCGCCAATACAGTGGACGCGAATCTTCCAGATATAGTAGGGCCGCCCTCTCATCTTGACGCGCACTGGCGGTGGTAAGGATGTCATAAATGCGATTATGGACAGTGAGTTTCCTATGTTGTTCACCGACCGGAAAAATCTACTTGGTCGTCCCAGCGCTGGCAGCGCGCTCAATTCAGCGGACAGTTGCCATCTGTCACTCAGGGCTAGTGCTAGTACAGCGTGTCCATATCCCTAATGTGTTCTTTCACAATCTGAACTTCACAGGTTTATGAGCGTCCTGATACCTGTTTGTCTTTGGCATGCTGTGTGTTGCGTACGGATTCGTTATATGGTACTTTCGGCGATAGCTTTTCCTTCACGATAACTTGCTGCTCCTTCTATACTTTGATAAAATGCACGCCGTCAGGGTCGCTGCGATCGTTACTAGCCTATTGTCTCTATCCGCCCCCGTTATGTCCAGTGGCGTTCGCATTCCTTTTCGTATAGAGCGGATTCCCAAGGGATACAGTAGCCGCTCTATTCGTGCCACGATGAGAACAGTGGATGAACTTGCAGGCTATGATAACCTCAATGATAGTAGATATGTTGGCGAAGTCTTAGTGTCAGGTAGACCTTTCGAAGTGAGTCTTCTGCCGTGGTTCCCAGCTCTCACTCTCGGCGCTACAACCCTGATCATTTACGGCAGGTAGATGATCTTGGATACAGGGAGCCATGAGTTCTGGCTGAAGACCGATACAACATTGTCAAATTACACAAATACATCTATTACAGTGATGATCGACTACGGTGGTGGCACGGGTCTTGGATCGGCCGTTTCAGGTTTCGTCTTACTGGCTGAGACACAGTTCGCTAATTTTACAATCAAGGAACAACCGTTCAGTAAGTTCGCGTCCCCTATGATACTCTTCCTGTGGTTAACTATATAACATCGTGTCTTTTACATTGGATGTAGTCAATGTGCTCGAACCAGCAAGCGGTTTTATCGTGCCTGGAATCAACGGACTTATGGGTATTGCTCCGTTAGTATACATCTTTCCATGTTATTACTGGCTCACGGTTCTTTTTGGTATTACCACCAGCCCGAATAATGACACCGCGATCAATAATGCCTTCAAGCAAGCCAATTACACCGCTTCAAATGGAGGGAACCCCGTAGAGAACGTGAGTACCGAGCCTCACTACTCATTCTCCCTGTCTTGCTTAACGGCAGCATAATCCGAGAACATGTAGATATTCGCACAGAACCCCAACTTGACACCCCAATTTACGATGCTAATGACCCGCAACGATGGAGAAGTTCGCTCATCAGGTGGCGTATTTACAATGGGTATGCAATCTAGGATGACCTACTTTACTTCGCTTTGTTGAGCGCAGAACTAAATTGCAGGGGACCCAATCTCGGAATACGCCGGTATCACCAGCCAGCCCGTGTTGCCTATCGTGAACACAACGCTAGGTCGGTATTACTGGACGGTCTATCTTGACGGGATCAAAGTCAATGGCAATTGGCGTAATTCGAGGCACGTCTGGTCGTATAATGAGGGAAAATATTATTCGTGACTCACAAATAACACCTCCAGCACAGCAAACGGAACTGTGTTCACGGCAGTACTCGACTCCGGAACGCCAACGAGTGAGATCCAGCACCTCTTTTTTGACACCTACTGATTGTCACGATGCATACGTTGAATAGCCTCTATTAGTCCTGAGCTAGTCGAGTTCATATACGGAGCGGACGCTGAGATTACGTCGGATGGACTGGCGGCTCTTGTATCATGCGAAACTATGCTCAATGTTAGCTTCGTAATTGGGTGCGTTTCCTACACGTCTATCTATTCATCTTTTGGTCATGTATCGTTGTAGTGGGGTCGAATATCCCGTCAATCCGCTTGACTCTGTTATCCCAACCGGACATTACTACAATAATACCGTTGCGTGCACCGGCGCGTTCCAGCGCGCGCAAGGTCCACCTTGGGACGGGAATAGTATGTGCGCTGTAATGCTATAGTCCAGGACGACAGTCTGATGTGAGCCGACATCCACCATAGTGCTTCTCCTCGGTGACACATTCCTCCGGAATGTATACGCCCTGTACAACCTGAATCTGCGACAATCTGACGGGAATACTACTCTGCCGTTTGTACAGCTCCTCAGCGTACGTTTATCAGTCTCTTCATTACAGCGCACAGCGGCTGACTCTGGCCTAGGTGACAGACGCAAACCTGGCAGCATGCCAATTCCCTGAGCAGAATCTCGCACGGCTCGAGAGCTTCGCCCAAGCCTATGGTTACACCGTGCCGTTGCCCCCCGACCCCCTGGCCCCCATTCTCCGCAATTCGGCCATCATCATTGTCATGTCGATCGTCGCGCTCATTCTTGCTTTTATTGCCGCCTTCTATGCTGTCAGGAACGCCCGGATGCAGTCGTCTAGGCGTGATTACGTTGTACTCAGCGAGGAACAGAAGGGAGGCCGATAACTTTTTGCAACAGACTAGAGAAGGGATAAATTAGGTTAAGTCGCCCATATGCTAGCATGGTAGCAGCTGCGACTATATCTTTGTATCGAGCTGGTATTTGATCCACTGTTGACAGGTAGAACTAGATATCAGATGGGTTCGTCTATAAAATACAGTAAATTACAGGAGTAATCATCTACTAAAGACTCTAAGCGCATCAATGTGCCGCGTTCACAGGAATTTATCAAATCATTTAAACGTCATCTCCACGAAGGCCGTGTCACCCGTTGAAAACTGTCCGAGAGTTTAACCACTCGAACTCTCTTAGCTGCTCAGCAAAGGTGTCCTGTTCCCCAGCGAATGAACCCGCAATAAAATGATCTGAATTGAGACTGCCGGTCTCTGCTGGATTGACCAGGGCGTACGGAGAGGGCGGTAGCGCGAGTATGTCAGGGAAATTGCAATCTAGCGTCTGAAGACTGGAAACGGAAGGAGAGTTCCAGGACGAGGTTGATGATGTCAGCGTCGTCAGGTCGAACAGCGATTGGGTCAAGAAGCGAGGATCGAATGTAGGCACATCGACGTCTAATGACCGCGATGCGTGCGCCGGGCCTATGAACTGGGCGCCGAGAGGAGCAGATGCGCTCGAACCATAAAATTGCTCGGCAGGTGCGCCACCATGCACTGCGGGTTGCAGAAGCTGATGACTGGAGTCGAGAGATGGGACGAGCTAACGGATAGGTTCAGTGAGCGAGAAAAAGCATATAGGAATACAACACTTACATAGCTAGCCTGAGGAGCGAACGATGCATCCTGAGTTCCAAAGCCTTGAACCGCTGAGTACAGGAAGGCAGGGTCGAATAGCGCGGGGTCGAGCTCAAGGGGTGGAAGTGAGGAATACAGCAGATCTACAGGCGTGGTGTGCCCCAACGTCATTGGAGTGTTGAACGCGACAGGGTGCGCTGCCGAATGGCGATGGCGACTGACGCTAGTACCTCGTGGTGGCCTCTGGAGTGTAGTAGCCAAATGAGTCGACGGAATCGTTGGAAGGGCAAGATGCTCAGTCATTGCCTCTCCTATGCAGGGCGCTGAGGCGTGGCGTTGCATTCTTGACGACGATGTTAACATGCCCGCCACCGCCATTGCCGGCTCGGACGCCACTCGTGATATCGACTGTGGGGTTGGGTTGTGTATCCGCGCCCGTTTGGTGGCTCTCTTTGGCAGCTGTCCGCAGTGAGGCTCACTCCCCGACTCAGTCTCCCCGCAAACCCGCTTCTTCGAAGTCTCCTTTGTACCGTTATTTCGCGCCGGACGGAAGACGTAGTCAGGATATCGCAGGCGATGTTCCTCCTTAGCCTTCTCTGCTTTCTCCATCCATACAGCCTTCTCGTCCTCAGAAAGCTGGTGCCACTCCTGACCTGCGTAGAATGGAAGCTGTGTTAAAGCTGGATGCAGCAGCAGCAGTCACGATGGCTTACCGATGATCTTGGAAAGCATTGACTGCTTCATCGTTCCCGTCTCATTCTTCCGCTCCTGGAACGAGTGGGTGCGAAAAAGAATGAAGGCATTTGGAGGTCGCCGGATACGGTCAGGCTTCTGGGTGCGTGTAGTGGGCGCAGATCTCTCAAAATCCTGTGGCGCCGATGGGGCCGTGGCTGCGGTACATGTATCGACATTCGCGTGCACCTCCTGAGACGTTCTGGAGGGCTTCTGAGCTCGTGGCGCTGATAGTCGACGCCGCTTGCTCAGTGTATGGGAAGGGTCGCTCTTGGACGCGGCCACAGGTGAATCGCTTTGATGTGCGGCTACCACGGCGGACTGTTCGGACGTGGCCCGTGAGGTAGAGGCTACGTTGAGAGCTCCCGAAGTATTTAACGCATGTTCGCTTTCCTCGTGACGCAACGGAGGTTCCAGAAGTGCATCGCTGGTTTGCGTATACCGCTGGTAGCGCGTACTTTGTGTAGGAGACATTCTTATTGTTTGTTTTGTGGTCGAAGGTGTGTGTCGGCAGCGAGCGCGTTCGCCAAAGGACTGAGTGCAAAAAGGCGGTAGTGGCTCGGAGGAAGGATAATCGGTGTTCTCTGAAGTTGAATCAAATCCAGGTCGGAGTTTGGACAGGTGGGGCCGTGGCATTCTGTTGCTTTGACACAGATAAGCGCCGAGGTCATAGCTTAGTGGCGTAACGCACCTTTGTCTTGCTGCAAGTATAAGTACGCATAATGGTGATGTATACCTGCGAACACATATTAGAAAGCGGAGAATCGAACAGATTGAGCCACTGTACTTATGGACACCTTCGAGTGCTCTTTGATTGTGTTCGCCCGATTATGTCGTTTCCTCGGTCTAGCCTGCGCGAGCAGATCGCCGAAACTCTTCCTGGGCGTACTCGAAGCAGTAGCAGTTATCGTCAACCATAACATCCGGGCTACTATTCGCTGGCTTGCGCTTGATTGAGAGGAACACACCTATGTTCTATCGCAGGATCACTCACAGGCCTCGTGGATATCAATAGTCAGCTTTGTGTATACATTCACATTCCTAGTTTGTGTTTAATGTGCCATAAAGAACAGCGACAAAAACCGTAGACCTCTCAAGGAGGTCGATAGTGGCCCAAAAATTAATGTCCATGAGACATGACGCGCACCCGCGAAGGGCGCAGCGTCGGTCCGCTCACCAGCGACGACCAGCACCGATCACAAAGTAGTCCAGTTGCTCACCGCACTCCCCTCGTGCAACCATACCAGATGTGAGATATGCACATAAATACCAGAGGCTCGCAGTACCTGAGTGAACTCAAGTTTCTTCCCATCGTGCTCGAGAACCAACGAGCAGAATCTGCTCTCCCCATCTCTGACCCACACAAGCCAGAGCAGGGGTAAGGAAATGTGATTTCCTCATCTCTCCTAAGAGAGATTATCTTGTCATAAGTTCATCTCGACGAACAACAAGATACTAGCAGGTGTTTGCATGCAGACAACACCAGCAAAATGGGGGCCACATCGTGAGCCTTCCCAGATTGCCTGGTTGCAATGTCATCATGCATACGTACAGCCTCTCAGATTTCCTGGAGGACTCCTGGTGTTGGTTGGTTTCTCGATCCCACAGGCTACATAGGACGCCATCCTATGCATCTGCGCTCGATAGCGCAGAGCGAAGCCGATAAGGAGAGAGGTAAGACGGACAGCTCATGTTTATCAGACAGGTGCGAGAGGGTCGAGCAGATCGAAGAGCTCGCCCGTTTGGCCATCGCTAGTACCGTCCTCCATCGACGAAGAGAACTGGAGCGGACATGGACGCAGGGAGATGGGAGCGAGATAGTGCGACCGCGATCGACAAGTATGCGGGGAGCTTTCCCAGCACGTGGGTAACGCGTCAACGCCTACGATTGCTATTACTCATAGCGAGGCTTATCGTTCAGCGCTGTAGTGCGGAAAAATTCAAGTGTATAAGAGGACGTATCGAAACCTGAGCAACCCCTAGAGCCGTACGTAGGGGTTTCAGAATGCTACATTTACCCTTCACAAGTGGTCTGTCATACTTGGTAGAGTTGCTGGCCAGTATGTTCACTGACGCGTCTCATCCGCATAGTAATTCGGCACCCGGAACATGTTGCATATTGTGACACATCATGTTAGCAGACACCGGTGCATTGTCATTCCGGCAGAGCAAAGCTCCCGATGGCATTGCACATCTACGACGTCAAGTGCGTAAGTAGAACGTCAACGTATATGGCTGGTCGTAATCATGATAAGATGAAGACTGATGCTGACAATATATAAGACTGATGGAGGATGTGGGGGAAGAAGGGGACGTGCGGTGGGATCGAGATGCAATACGAATAGTGAGACGAAAGCGAATGAGAAGAGTGAATCAAGAGAGATGCTCCTACGAGACAACAACGATGATCACCAAGGGGTATCGAAATCGGACTATGTGGGGGGAGAGAGTCCAACTGGCTGACGACCTGACGTCGACAACCCGCATGACAGAGAGAACCAACGGATAAAAATATCCACTGTGTTCACCGGACGACTTGGCAGTTTACCGCAGAGATGTCTTCGATGATCGCGCACTCATCGCAGGGACTGCTCTCGGCATTGCGAAGCCTTCCGGATCTACGGTGGCACCGCCTTCTATTTGACCGTTTGCGGGCTGACCTATTGTAGCGCTCGCGTTCTGGATGGACACCAGCACCTCCTTGCAGTACTTGAGCTTGTCCAGCAGACGCTGGTTGAACTTCGCTTGGTCAGGATCAGTAGCAGGAGGGCGAAGCGCTAGGGCCATGACCTCGGCGAGAGTCCACCGTGTGAGCTTGTAGTTCTTGTCAATGTGCGTGATGAGTAAACCCTGCGAAGAGAGAATGACTTTTGTGTGGTCGTAGAAGTTGAACTGGCGATCGCAAATCAGCACTGTCTAACAAGACGGAGACAAGAGCGGGAACAAACCTGTAGAACGTCATGACTCATCTTAAACACTATCACGTGTTTCATACGCAAGTACTTCTGGACGAAGTCCATGCCTTTCGTCCGGTCGAGGTCCTTGAACGTGTAGTCGTACTCGCCATAAAGCTTGTCCATGATATATCGCTCAAAGTGCTTGAGGAGGTATACCTTGCTCTTGAGCTCCTCCGGATACTCGGATACAGTGCAGTTCTTCCGGACGTACACCGAACCCTGGCGACGCGAAGAGATGTAATCGAAGTGCCTGCAACAGCATCAGCTAGTCGTATCTTCAGCTCATCGAGTGTAAGCTGTGCATACCGCTTATCCGCAGAGAGAACCATGGTCGTGCTATCATTGAAATGCACGCCAACAGATCCGTCGGTCAGCGCATAGCCCATGCCATACTTGTTGCAGTAATCAACCCAAGACGCAATGAACACGTTTGGGTCGGGCAACGCAGCATCCTCACGCGGGTCTCTAAACAGCCTGCCGGCCGCCTTGGCGTCGAACGCGGCGGTAAGTGTCTGGGCCGCCGCGTCGAATCCGTTGACACGGAGTGGAAGGCTTCCAGAAGAAGGTAGACCGGTATCCGCTACGGGTACGTCCTGAGCCTTCTCGTACACCTTCTCGCGCGGGCGTTCGCGCGTTCGAAGCTCGCCGCGTGCAGCAGGGGGTGGGATGTTCTCCTGGTCCTCCTGCCCACACGCGGATGGTGCCGCACTCCCAGGAACCATTTGCGCTACGATCCGGGCCTTCTGCGACTCGAGCTCCTTCTTCCGTGCCTCTTCCCTCTTTGCACTCCCATCGTCCTCTTCGTCGATGTTCTGCAGACGTACGCGTGCTGGCGAACGGCTCACAGCCGACACAGCCTGTAACTTTCGAAAAACTGGGTTTTCGCCACGCGCAGTCGCCGGTGCGACCATGAGCGGCGTGCGAGCGGAGCTGAGTAGGGCAGAGATTGGACTCCCGGGCTGGATTGCCTTCTGGAACTCCTTCTCCTGTTGCGCAAGATGCGACGATACGCCCTTGTACTTGGCAGCATTTGGGGCCGCACCTGAAGCAAGGGCTGTTGGAGGTGGTGCAGACGGAACAGCGATGTTCGTAACTTGGTCTTCATCGAGCTTCGCGTTCCGTCTCAAGCGCTTGAGATTTGCCTCCGAGATGTCGCGAGTAATATGTTTCCAGTCTGGCGCCCCATCGTGAGCAGTCGTGGGAATATATCCTGGCACAATGCCCCTCGTGAACCACTCGTGGTCAACGATCTCGTGTAACGTCGGACGCTGCTGAGGATCCGGCGTGAGGGTCTGCTGCACAAGCTCCTGCACTGCGCGTGACACTATGCGGTCTGCTGGAAACTCGTACTCGTTGTCCCGAATCCTTTTGTAGATCGCCTTCACGTCTTTCGTCTGGAACGGCGGACGACCAATCACGAGGGTGTACAAGATGACACCGATCGACCACGTGTCGACCTCGAAACTGTGGCCATTTGCGGTGTCGAACAGCACCTCAGGCGCGATGTAATTTGGTGTACCGCAGATCGTCTTCTTGCGCTCGCCCGGGTTCTCGATCAACGCCGCGAGCCCAAAGTCGCCAACCTTCACGTTCATGTTCCTGTCCAAGAAAATGTTGCCCAGCTTTAGGTCCCGGTGGATCACCTGGTGCGTGTGCATGTAATGACACGCTCCGATCAGTTGTACCATGAAGAATCTCGACTCTGGCTCCGTGAAGCGGCGTCGCCGGCGGAGCATGTCCATAAGAGAGCCGTTATGGCACAGCTCAAGTGTCATGTAGACGTTCTCATCGTCCTCAAAACATTCCTGGAAGCGTACAATGTTAGGGTGGTCGAGCGAGCGGTGAATCTTGATCTCGGCATACAGCTAGGAGAATGTCAGCGAGATACCTTTCACACAATGACACGCGTACCTTGGTCTTGGCTTTCTTCGTCTTAAGGGAAGATTTGGTAACTACCTTACACGCTGAACGATTGTTGCGAGAATCCTTGACTTCGTACACCCGCGCGAATCCACCCTTGAGTGAGCGAAATCAGCAAGTGTACGCAGCGCCATGTCAGCCTTTTCCAGGCGCACACGAGGCCATCCCGACATACCTCGCCGAGCATACCGACACGCACGAACTCCACGGAATGGCTCTTGTCCGTGATGATTTTTGGCGGCGATGGTGGGGTCACCTTGGCGTTCTGTCTCGGTAGTGGTGGTGATGACGGCGGCTTGACGGGGTCCTGAGGCTTCGGGGGCGTATCCGACATGATGTGTCGAGGGTTGACAACGTCAATAGCAGGGTTGAGGGCGGGGTGGTTGATTGCATGGTGGTTGAAGGGGACGCGACGTGGAGGAGGGGGCATATTCGTATACATTGGCGTCGACATCGTGCAAGCTAGGCCTAACGCCGTTCGATGTCGAGGTCGTCGTCGATAGCAAAGGAACCGAAAGCAAGAAGGTCAACTTGTGAATTCTGCGGTGTGTTCAACGCGTGTTAGCCACCTTACATAAGCACACGTGTTGGTTCGACTTTAAGGACGCGTCGGAGCGCGGAGCGCGTCTTATCACGTGATCGCGTATAGCCTTCGCCCAATTGCCGCTCTTATGTCTTAACGCAAGCTCGAATCTGGGTCAGCTCTCGATATCTGAAGCGGCTAGAGAATGTCACAGTCCTCGATCTGTTGTACTTCGTTTCTAAGGTGTCTCGCTAACATTGCCAGCTGGTATTTGTTTATTGTCTTTCTTGTTGTGTCGTTGCCGTTCCACTGCCACGTGATAACAGGGTACTTTCATCACTGATATGCTCTTGTCGATTGCTTCGTCTCAATCCCCGGTTATGTCTGCTAAACAATTGTATAGCTACAAGACATACAGTCACCCCAGATGGATGCTTTATACCCGAACAGCCATCTTGTATTCAGCGTCGCCTCGGCTAAGACCGCCATATCTTCCTTGCCCAGGACGGCCAAAGCTCAGTAAGATTGCCAAGGCAAGCTGTACATGCTACTTGTTCTCAGGTTGCCCAGCTCTGTACATATAACAGCACATTTAGTATCTCTCTTCACAATCAACTACTCTTTATCATCCGCATTCGTCTCGCCATGGGTCGGTTTAGACAGTCCAAGCAGCATGATCCTCAATGGTCCCAATACCGAGACACACGGCCAGTCGCTTTGCCGCCAAAAGTCTCCCATCAGAGGTATGTTCCGCTGCTGCCATTCGCTATGCTTTCCTGAGCGGCGCGTAGGCAGAAGCCATCTAAGGAGGATCCCAACGACTCAGACGTCACTGCACATTCTCCCGCGTCAACCACGTCGTCCAGCCCCCTACCGACACCTCCCGACTCCCCTCGCGCGCGACTTTCCTCTCCCAGCTCGGTCGAGGAAAGTGCATCCGCGCCCCAGCAACAACGAGAGGAATCATCTCTCCCCGAGAGTACAATTACACCTGCATTAACCTCTCATACTAACGACGACAATCGAGCGATCTCGAGTACAAGTACAAACGCACAGCCAGCTGTATTACCGGAACCGGAAACAGATGCAACGCCACTGGCAGTGGACCAAAAGGGAAAGACAATCGAACGAGTGCCACTGCCGTCAACTGCCGAGGTACAAAACACCGCCAAACCGGTACGTCTTGCCTCTCACCTCTCTACTCTCACGCTCATCTCGCTTCTGAACCGCTTTGACCGCCACACACCACCTCAAATCCCTCTCCCCCTGTCTTACTTTACGTGACTTTGAAATGATTGTGCCCCAACTCACTGCTCAGGTCCAAAAGCTCCCCAGTGCGACAGCTTCGACGTCCACCAACGCGTCGAATGCGAGCCGGGTCAACGGGGACAAGATCAACACGACAACCAACGCGTCTCCTGCCGTCGCCGCCACACGCCCAGCCGACGCACCATACCAAACGCCTCAGGGTTGGATGATACCAACGCGTCCTATCACACCCGCAAAGAGCGTTTCTGAACGTAATGCGGCTGTGGCGAACACCGTGAAGTCATATGTGGCGCCACCAGCAACGGTACGTAACATATTCCCTCCAAGTCTGTTCAGCGCTCATTGAATGCCACAGGCTCCTGGACCATCGCAGCCTTCCTCCGGTACATCCCAGGCCTCCACCTCAGCTGCGGTTGCAGGGCCGTCGCAGCCTTCTTCCCGGCCTTCTTCTTCGCCATCTTCGGCTGCGAAATCTGGGCCGTCGCAGCTAGCCCCTGCTCTATCCCAACCAGCCCCCGCTCCGTCTAGGCCTGCTCCTGCTGCGTTACAGCCTGCCGCCGCCTCCACGGCATCGCGGCCTGTCGCCACCTCGCCACCTGCCGCCTCATCATCGCAACCCGCCGCCGCCTCCTCATCACGACTTGCCGCGGCTTCTTCATTGTTACAACTTTCCGCCGCCGCCTCCTCCTCGCGGCCTGCGGCTGCCTCCTCGCGATCCGCCGTCGCCGCCTCGCCGCCTATCGTCGCCGCCTCCTCCTCGTCGTCCTCCTCCTCGCCGTCCTCTTCCTCGCCGTCCTCTTCCTCGCCGTCCTCTTCCTCGCCGTCCTCCTCCTCGCCATCCTCCTCATCGTCTAAACCAGCGGCCGCTTCGTCACAGTCCGCTTCGTCACAGGCTGCTCCGTCTCAGCCACTCGTCTCGGTTGCGAAGTACGGGCCGTCGCAGCCTGCTTCTACACCGTCGCAGCCGGCTTCTACACCGTCGCAGCCGGCCCCTGCGCCGTCGAAGCCAGGACTTGCAGTATCGCAGCCTGCCCCTGCTCCATTGCAGCCGACCCCCGCTCCATCACAGCCTTCCTCCGCTGTACCACGTCCCCTCGTCCCGCCTGTGGCATCTACGCCATCGCAGGGTCCCTCTGTGCTTCCCTTCCCGATAGTAGCTTCGCGCCCGCATGAACCGCAGGCGCACGTTACGTCGTCACAAGGGCCTGTGCCAATCACTGGGCGGCGCGATGAACAGGCGTGCGCCGCGCTCGTCGTCCGCCACAGGCTGACTCGTCAACGCCGCTACCACCCCATGCAGTCCCGTACTGCTCCCATGTTGCGAACGGGTTGGGTGGCGTCCGTTGGAGAGTCCAGGGACGCACCAGCCCTACCCCTTAGCTTGCGGTCGAGGACGCAGCGGGAGGCCGGCCCCGAGCTTCGCTGGCTGCACCCCGTTCGAGAGCGTCGGCGTCAGCTCAAGCGGGCGCGGCTGCATGCCGCTTGTGCGGATCGAACAGTGCTGTGGGAGTCGCTCGACAATACACCAGCGCGCGAGTGGCGTGCGCAGCTGGTTGAATTCGACAATGTCGGCGAGCTCTTCATGACGGATGATTTCGAGGCGGAAGCGTTGGACGAGGACACGGTCTCCCCAATGGAGGGAGTGGAGGGCAGCCAGGCGGAGCGACTGGCTCGGGAGTTGGTTGCACTCCAAGCATATACCCGCGTCGTGATGAAAATGGACCCGATGGGAGGTGCCGCCACCAAAGTCCTTCCCGTCCCACCCACGGCCCCTGCGCAAGGCACCAGTTCGACGGCGCCACAGACAACGGCCCCTAAACCGGCCGTAGCTCTAAACACCCAAAGCGTCGCGGCGTCGACATCCGGCTTAGGAGTGCAGCCCGACCAAAACGCTGCGACGGCAGCCACCAGCGCCACCGTGGCTAAGCCCAGCAGTCTGCTCGCGAGCACGAGCGAAGGGTGAGTGTTGCTTTCTTTATCTTTATACGTTGAGGATCCAACCGAGTTATATAGTGGACGCCCACCTGCGACGCCACCGGTCAGCATTTTCGCTAACCTCCCCCCGCTCCCCGCGAAGCCACCCTCTGGCACGCAGCAGGATCCGAAGCTTGGATCAACCGCAGCAAGTGCCGCGCCGCAATCTGCCTTCGGAGGCAACAAGACGGCGCCTAGCCTCCTCTCGAGGCTCACTGAACCCCAGGCCTCGCAGCCATCCACAAGCGAGATGCCGCAAGCAAGTGCCACGGCCACGCCGCCACCGAAGCCGGCTGCGAGTTTCTTTGGGCCGCCCAAGCCTATCCCAGTGGAGAGCGCCAGCGCCAAGTTCCACGCCCACTTGGCGGGCCTGCCGCACTGCCAGTCGGGCTCGACGCCCTTGGTGACCAGCGAGCACGCGAGGCCGAGTGCGAGTGCGCCGAAAACGCAGCTGAGGCTCGACTTGAAGCCGGCCTACTACCAACTGCCAGGCAACAAGCCGAAGTACACCTTCGACACGCCGCGCGAAGCACCCCGGGCACCCGCGCACCAGATCTACACGTACACCGAGGTCGACCCGGCGTTCTTAGCGGAAGATGAGCCTGCCGCACCGCCGGTCAAGCAGACACCTCGCCCGAAGCAGACCTCGTTGGCGCTTCGCTCCCCGATGGAGCTTGCCTCGCTCGCGTGCCGATCGCTACGCGCCATGGTCCCCGAGATCCAGGCTGCGAAACGGCCAAAACGCGCAGCATCCCGGAAGCCGGCAGCGAGCGCGAGCAACACGGCGCACAGCTTTGGCTACTACGCAGGGGCGAGCGTGAGGATGGTCCTGGGGATCACCAAGGTCTTCCTTAGCTGGTGTCGGTAGACCGTGCTTTCAGAGGTGCCCGGTCTTTCCTTGCGCTGTAATGTGCCTACTGCGTGCATTGGCGTCCGCATCTGTCGATGCATCCTAGCTTCTGCTGTCTCTCCGGTCGGGGAAGATGCAGCGTCGACCGCCATCGGTCGTCCTTGTCTGCCGCTGAACGCCGCTCCGTCGGCGGTCTCTGGTCGTCTACAATTGCCGTCAGACGTCGTCAGTCTAACCCAGTCGTCCTCAGCACTTTTCTTTCCAGATTCAATTCACAGCTGCCATCGAGTTTCTCCTTCCATTCGCAATACATCTACCCTATCTTCATCTCCATTTGACATCCATCTTTTCTTCATCTGCCGATACCTTTCATTTTGCACTTGATGATACCCCCCAGCTATTATACCCCCCGTCGGCTGCTGGCTATACCCCTCTGCTTCAAATACCCTTGATACCTATTCACCTTTTCATTTATACACCATTCATTGGGCTGACGACGACCAAGACGACGCTGACGCTCGCCGACGCACATCGAACGGCTCGCACTTGCGCGACAACGACGACGATCGGACGATCGTTTACCAACACCAGGCCACCAACGCCGCGATGCCCACGATGCATTTTGATCCAGACACTTTCCGCCCCGCTTGACTGTACGTTATTGTATCATTATCACGCATTGTATTCTTGTAGTTTGTTCGTACCCCAATCAAAGATCGTCCTCGAGCCACTCGTGCGAGGCGTGACCGTACTGCCAGTGGATGCCCAAGGTAAACCCCGCTTGTACTACACGTCGCAGCTTGCCCGAGATCTGTTCGGATTCGGAGCCGTCAGGTGAGGACCCCGTATTCTCCTTGTCTGTTGACCATCCCGTCTCACGTTCGACGTTCCGCAGTAACAACTTAAACCTGAGCAGGAGCCACGGCGGACGGCCCTTGCGCTCCCGTGTCGCAAGGCCTCGCGCAAGAAGTCGGTCGTGCCCTCAGGCTATCGGCAGCCTCAGCGTGATGTGGCCCCCGCCGCGCATAACACAGACGGCCAGACTCTCGGTCTGTGAAATACGTACACGCCGGCCACATAGATACATACATGCGCAATGGGCAGCAGGCTCGCCCGCATCGGCCGGGACGTCGATCGATCCCGTCCCCCTCGGGGTTCGTGTTCGTGCAACGCGACAAGACAAACAACGCTCGCACGCACAAGCGAGCATCGACATGGAAGCGAGACTGCCGGATGTCTCCCCCCCCCTCCCCCCCAATCTCCCTGCGACTCGTTCCAGGCCCAGATGCGGCCCACGCTGGCAGCTCAAATATACACCACTCCGTGTGACTCATGATTGCCGCGTTTGAGGCCTCCTCGCATCGTGCCGCGCGTCGAGGCGTGCAGCCGCCCACGCCGCCGCCGCCGCCGCCGCAGCATTGTCCGCCCGCCGGTGCTCGCGTGCGGCGCTCTGGCATGGCAGTCTCACTCTCAGTATTTGTCCAGCAGCGTAGCACGCGCGCGTGCCGCCACGCCGCAGCGCGATCCCCGGCTCTCGCACGCCCGGAATGGCGCGTGCGCGCATTGGCATTCCCGGAAAGACGGGGGAGGGTGCGAGGGGGGGTGGGTGCCGGTACGTACGCAAGACACACCAGCACGCCCCGATCCGCGTTCCAGAGCCGAGCGCAAAAAGCAGCACGAGCAGTGTGCCGCGCAGAAACCACCTTCACATCAGACGTCAGACGGCACGCGCAACCGACGACTCGCGGCTAGATTCGATTCGAGAGCAAAAAGAAAACGAAGATGGCATCGAGACGCGCGACGGCTCGCAAGCGGGCCGTCGTCGACGGGTACAGACTACATTTGAACTAATAGGGATGCTGGAAGCAGCGCATATAACTACTATGTACTGGTCCGGTCGCGAGGGCGTGCGGCGCGAAAGGCCGACTGTCCAGACGAGGGTCAACTATAGTGTAAGCGGGAAGTCGTGGGCCGCCGCCAGATGCAATCGGCGGAGACCACCGGGGGTCGTGATCAAAAGGGCATGTCATGGCATTGGGTCGTGCTAGAAGTGATAAGAAAATACGGACACAGGCGAAGATAGTGAAGGCGCGCGCAGCGGACGGAGGGGCACGCCCCGGTCGCGGTCGCACCGCGGCGCATAACTTAGATAAAAGTAACACGAACAGGTGAAGAGAATAATGAATAATGTGAAAAGGTGTGCGCGAAAGGTGGAGGGGGGGGGAATGGGCAGTGGATATCGTGTCGTAGCGGGGGTACAATGTTGTTTTCTTCAGTCGCGTCGTCGTCAAATTATGCTTATTTTGCGCCCGTGCGCGCTAGAAGCCGCCGAGGCAGCCCTGGTCGGGCACGGCGAGGCCGCACCCGATCAGCGCGCTCCGCTCGGACAGCGCCTTGTAGCGCGCGCGCGCGGCGTCGGGGCTCGCGCCGCTGCGCGTGCGCACGTGCTTTCTCCGCGGCGGGCTGCCAGCGACGCTGCCGACGGAAGAAGAGTGGCGATGCACACGCGTGGGCTCGTCTTCTGGCGGGTGGCCGGGGGCGGCGATGTGCCGGACGGCACCGGGCGAGGACGGCGAGGACGCGGCGGGGCGCACGCGCGGGGAGGGGGGGTGCGGGAGGAACGAGAGCGCGCTGGGGGACGTGCCGAGCTGCATGGCCGCGAAGCTCATGCCGAGCGCGTCGGCGTCCTTGGCGCGCGGAATGGCGAGGCCCGTGCGGTGGTACGTGCCTAGCGGGGGTCAGGCGTGAGCACGGGCGCGCAGCCACAGACACGCATGCATACCTGCGGCCACAGACTCGGTGGGCGGGCTGGTGAAGCCGTCGCTCTCCTCGGACTCGGAGGACATGTCCGGGATGAGCTGCGGGAGCGCGGGCACGGTGACGGTGGGCGTCGCGCGCGGCGTGGGGTCGTCGTCGTCGTCGTCGTCGTCGGTCTCGCGGGCGACGAAGCCGGGCGCCGCGCGGGGGTGCAGATGGCGGCCGGCGCGCGTGGGGCTGCGGGTGCGGCTGGAGCTGGAGCCTGGGGTCGGGCTCGCGGACGCGTCGTCGCCGAGGGTGTAGGTGCGGCCGGGGCAGCCGCGCTCGGGGAGGGCACAGCGGTTGGGCTGGACGACGATGGGGGAGCGGTCGTACTGGGCGGGGGAGTGGGCGGAGAAGGTGCGGGAGAGGGTGGGGTTGGGGGGAAGCGGACGACGGGCTGGAGGATGCCGCGGTCGATGGCGAGGAGCTCTGTGGACTCGTCGCGGGGGGCGGCGGCGGGGACGGCGGGGGTGGTGGTGGGGCGTTTGAGGATGGGACGGGGGCAGGGGGCGTAGGTGGGGGCCATGGCGGGAGAGGCGAGGGCGGCGGGCCTGCGCTGTTGCGCAGACGAGCAGTGGCAGGGCCTGCTGGGGTTAGCAGCGGCGGAGGACGAGAGACATGGCAGCGAGGGCAGAGGCGATTTATGATACGGGCAGATGTGGTTGGTTGTTGTCGCCCTTTTCTCTCCAAATTCTAACTGCCTCGCTGACTAAGCCCGGCCACTCTCTGCTCCCCAGCGCCTCTCGCTCCGGCCGCGCCCCCCGCCATGCCCGGCCCCGCGCCGTGTGACGCCATCGCTCCCTGGCCTCGCTTGCACCAGCCAGCCTGCGCTATGCAGCCTGCGCCCCGCCGTCGCCCGCCCATCTGCGCCTGCTCGGTGCTGCTATCGCCCTGATCCGGCTAAGCCCCTGCGCGAATGGCCACCCATCATGCATCCGGCCACGCACCGGACCGTGCCGAGCTAGTCCTTCTTCGCGCCAGGCCATACTCAACGCCCGCTTATACCATTCCGAGGCATCCTCCCGCAATCTCTTGGCCTGCGCCCGGGGGGAACCAAGTTTCCCCAGCCCACCCACAGTGCGCGCGATCACACCCGCTCCAAATCCACGCTCTCTGCCAGTTTGCCTGCCTCGTGCATGCGCGCGCCAGGAAAGGACTGCCACGCAACGCGTCTCGCTGCTATTGTTCGCGAGCCGGCCGCACGCAGATTGGCACGATCACCATGACAAGAGCGGTGTTCTCCCGGCACAGGCTCCGCTTCCTCCTCGGATCCTCCCTGCATGCATATGAATCCCAATCTCGTCGTTTCCCCCGTGCGCTTGTCGGTGTCCGTCCGGGCGCTCATGAACTTTTCCCATTTCCCACTGCGCGGAGCGCAGACAGCGACCACTTCGTGCCATCTTCCGCCAACATCTGACTGTACGACCTGCTTCTCCGCACAACGCCGTGTCCTATCTTTGCCCCGACCACGCACCCACGCACCGTCCCGGCCCTGGACGCATATCCAATCCCAGGCCAAACCTAATCTGCACGAAGCGTCCCGCGCGTCCCACCAGCGCCATTGCTCGCACCCCGTCCGACGCCTGCCTGGGTATATGCGCGGCCTCAGTACGCTGTTCGCGATGGCGGGCGGTAGCACCGTCATCTCCGTCCCCAGGGCCCCAGCGATGGTGCCTGACGTATGTGCCCCCGCCGGCCCTCGTCCCGCACTCCCATCGCTCTTCACTGATCGGGCGCTAAGTACCGCTCGTTCGCCCGCGCCAGCCCAGATAGGCACTCCTCTGCCGGGTCCCCGGTGCCCGTGCTCCGGACGTCCCCACAGTCCACATGCGTCACGCCACCGTTCACGCATGTGCGCGACTGCTCAGTGGTCCGCCCAACTCACCGCCCGCCACCATGGCCTCCGAGTCGCGCGCACGTCGATGCGCCCGGTCGAATACATGACAATTAAACCGCAACTCGGTCGGTCGCCCGCCTGAAGGCTGATCTTGCCGACCCTACCATACATAGCCGTTGTGAGGCCATTCTCCCCGCGCATCGTCTGCGCCCTGAATCGGTATAGCGAGGCATGTGCCTCACTCCAAAGAACGTGACACGCGGACTCAACTAGTACCAAGTACCAGGCAAGACACAGAGCCCCAGACGATAGGATAGCCTGAGGATTTGAGGATCCGCCGCGCGTGAAGGGCGCTGCTTCCGCTCCGACGCGATCGAGATCGCCCCTCACAGCTTCTCAGGCCCAAGAGTCAAAACCATATCCAGGCCGCAGATCGCGCTTCTCCGGGGGTGCCCACCGCCATACTTCTCCAGCGGTTGCGCTAATGTGCAGCGCCGAGGGCCATCCTGCGCGGTGTATCCACGCGAAGAGGGTGGCCCCTCGCACCTCGCGTTCCCGCCTCTGGGAAGGCGACGGCGTCCTTGGTCACTTTGGTGAGGGCTTGCACGCATTTCCGAGCTGCAGTATCAGCCAATTCGCCTCCATCCAAGAGCACACTGGGCCTGTGCGCCCCGACAGCGACACCCGTCATCACTCATTGTCAGATGTGTGCCTAACGCTCGATCTTGAATCCTGAAGCTCGACGGCCGAGCAGCAGCTGACAGCGACTCTCGGGCCTATCCAGAGCCTGTCCGACACGTATCTAACGCGCAACCTACGAAGGAGGCACTCTATCTGGCGTCTGCCAGCGTATCTTCGCCCGCGTTCAAATCTTCTAGTGTCCGGTTCCCCAGGCTGTTTGACGGCGCCCTCGCCCAGCCTTCCTTTCGCGGACGACGCCTCCAGTCTTTCGACGACCCCCTCTCGCTTTGGGTGTGTGGCCCCTGCCTCCGAGGTTTCCTCCCGGGCGCCCGCCAGACGCCGCAGACACACCTCCCCTCGTCCTGGATCTGGATCCGCCGCAGGTCGCGTGTCGATGCTCTCTTTGCACGTACAAACGGAGGGCCCTGCTTCATACGAGCCTATTCCCTGCCCCGCGCACGCCATCGGGCCATCGCGAGCCTATCACGATGCTCCGCCCGTGTCTATCACGCCAGCACGCGGCTTCGCCCTGCCAGACCAGGCGGGCGCACACTCTTCACTTGACGCGGCCCCTGGGCCCTTCACAGGCGCGTCCAAGACCCGCCGCCGTCTTGCATCGGCCGTGCATGCTGCATGCGCTTGGTCAGCAGCCCCTGTCCGCCGCGGCCCTCGCCGCAGCGTAATGTGTGCCTTCCCCGCACGCAGTCCGGGGCACTATTGCGCCCGCGCGCCGTACACCCCCCCTTCTCTGGCTGCGATCCTGCGGTCTTGGGCTTCCTTCCCTCGCCCGTGTCTTCTCCCTTCCCCTCGTCTGCCCTACCCCAGATTACGCGGGGGTTCCTGGACCCTGCCCCGCATTCTTCTCGGCCCTGCCCCGCGTTCTCTGCGGGCACGCCCGGCGGAAGGCTATTTGTCGGCAGAAGCGCGGGCGCGTGCTATTGCCTCCGTGGGATGTCGAGGGTGATATGGATATGGGATAGGGACGATAATGGGAGGTGTGCTGTCGTGTGTGTGTGCGGAAGCGCGGCTGCGGTCTGTGTGGGTCCGCGCGGTGGCTCGGAAAGGCGTCCGTGTGCGGCGGCGTGGCGCGGCCTGCGACGGGTTCCTGCGACGAGTTTCAAGTGGTCGTAGCTCGTCGCGGGCGTCGAGCGTTCGAACGTTCAGCACGATTATCGAGCTGTGGCTGCGGCTCCAGACGCCCGCCCATCCGCCGACTAGCGAATGCCTATGTAGCACCCCAATCAGGACTGGACACACAAGCCTTATCGGATGATAGAGCCCGCTCCAGTTCGAAACGATGTGCCTCCCTCAACGCCGTTCACGAGCGTATCGCCGCCCTTCTCAGGAAAGGACAAGGACAGACCCGGAATGAAAAGCTGACTGCTCCCGCGCGTGCAGATCAACGGCCACTGCACGAGTGTGTAGTTGCTCGGATGTGCATCCGGCGATGAGACCTGCTGCAGTTCATACAGACAGAAGACGGCGGCTGTATGCAGCGTGATCCGCTCCAAGAAGCACGATGCCTGCATCTGGCAAGGCCTTGCGTCTACTGTACGTCTGGCGCGGCGTCGTGGCCCGCGGTCCTGGCCCCAGGTGCTTTCACAGTGGCTGCTCCGCGTCCCGTGCCCCACGGCTCTCGGGAACAGACGCGCCCTGCTGACCGCGCTTCCCCGGATGCGCGCAGGCTCTATTTACTTGCCTTCCCTGGCCCATGACGACCGTGTCTGTACACTCTATTCAGTCGCTATCCCCAGCATCTCGCGCCGGGTCCTGCTCCACACCCGGCGACCCACGAACTCGTCAATTCTGCCCAGTCTCTGGCGATCGTGATCGATAGGCGCGCGGCTGTGTCTTCTCACCGCTGGGTTGGGAATTGGCTGTCCTCTCGGCGCTTTTCTGCCCGCAGACGGCACGGGCCGTTGCCTGTCTGTTCCTGTGGGGTTTCGCGGTGCACGCGTCGCTCTATCGGGTCTTGTCTCCCAAATCAACTCGACTCGACCCGGCGCCGGCGCCTTGTGTCCGCGTCCATAACAGTCTGCCAGCGTGCATAACAGTGATGGTGTTCCGAGCGTCTCGGGCATGGTCAAACTCCCGCAACTCGGTTCTGTCACGAACACGTCCGCAGGCGACATGTTGGGCTTGATGTGCAAGCGTGGTGGAGTCTGCCTCGAGAGATACGGACGGCGGTCTCGTGCTTTTCTTTCCTGTGTTTCTCTGTCACCGCCCGGGGCGTACGACGCTGTAACCATCGCTTCATAGCAAGGCCCATGATGCCTGGATCTTGTACCACCTTAGCTACAACCTTGTGCGTTTTCTCTCTTCCCTGCCTCCAGTCCACCACCAGAAAGTTTGTCCACCTGACGCTGGTCCTGATAAACCATATTCTGTGCCATGAGTGTGATTGCCGCTCATCTGTGCATCCGGCGCGAGACACCTGGTTTCCTCCGCTCTGCACTCCGGACATCTGTCACGTCGAGCATCTTCTAGCTCTTCTGGTCAGGCTTGGGTCCACATGCACGATGCCGTGGTTCGTTGACATTCTTCCTGTTCAACGCCGCTCGACCCTGCTTGTGGGTGAATCACGGCCTGTCGTAAAGCGCCTCGAATCCAGCACCACCATCTCTTGGCCAGCGTGGTGTTAACATTCCGGTGTCTCGCGTTCCCGATTGGCCTCCTGGCATCGCGTTATCTGCCTTCATTATGCGAAAATATGCTTGGCTCGACGGCTTTGGGAACGACGCTGATGGTTTGGACGTGCGACCGATAGAATCTGAGGGTGGAGGCAATGTCACGCGATCGCACGTTGCCGTTTTGGCGCCTGGGTTGGTCAGAACTTCTATCTGCGTTAGGCGAATGGCTTATATGGTTTACTCGGGCTATCTTCAGCCTCTCTCAAGGGCAACTGAGAACGCAATTGAGGCTGTCCGCTGTGCAGCCCTGGGCGAATCTTCCGGAGACATTTTGAGAGTGACGAGTCTCGTGGTATGCTTATCGTCAGCTATGGCTTCTGGCTTCCGCACTATCTACGCATGCGCAGGCGGTTTGCTGTTGCTCCTACGATTGCCAGTTGCCAGCATATCTTGTTCACGAACAACGCGCGATGTTGCGACAATGGCCACCCATCTGACTCCAGCGTGCCCACCCTAAGATCTTGGCTTACGCGACAGATGCTGCAGACCAGATCATTAATGGCAATGCTGGAAGGCGCCAGCGACCAAAGCGGTACGTCATCGCCCCGGTTTGAACCTCGAGGAAGGACCCTTCGTCGCTTGATTGGCATTTGCCGCGTCGCCTTTACCACAAGTCCGTGCGGTTCAATTGCTGGCGGTGACGCAAACGCTTCTGGTAGGCCGGGGAATCATTGACTGCGTCTGCATGACGCAATGCGTCAATAGACTGTTGCTGTTCTCATAGCAGGCCTCAGACAAGAATGGCGTCACATCTCACGACTGATTCCGTCCCGTGCAGTCGGGCGCGCACTTGCCTTGTCGAGCGCGACGGTAGACGGGCATACGCCGGCCCCTGCCTCAAGGCAGCATATTCTGTACCAGAATTCCTCAGACGCATGCACGGAATACCCGCTGCCCTGACCGCTCAGTACTCTCGACACGTCCACGATCAGATCACCCTTGCCAACCGACGGGAAAACACATGTGTCAGCAGCATGGACGCGACTTCCCGATGACATACTGACGGCAAGTCTTCGAGTTCGCGGACGCCCAGGTCCACGAAGGCCTTGCGATTGCGTCAGAATGGTTGCCTCAATGGCTATATAAGTCGAGGGACATGTCCCGCCACGGTTCTATGGAACACACACCCCCATCAGCTTGCGGACGTGTGCGTCTTCCTGGGTGAGAGGGCAGCCCTGTCGTCTGTCGGTTCAAATTGACTTAATGATTGCATCTCAGGGTACGCAGGGCGTTCTTCCTCGCGCCTTCGCTATATCGCCGCCGTGCAGCAGTTGCGTAATAGCCTACCTCTGGGGTGGATCGGGATGTCGTACGCCTGTGATTCCAGGTTGTGGATAAGTCCATCCTATGACCACATAGGCTCTCAGACATCTTATCAGGGTATAGGCCACAATCCTCGGACCTTCGTCGAGCAAGATTGCTCAAAGCCTGCCCGAATCGTCTGACGTCAAAGCTTTGAAACGGCAATTATGCGATTCGCTGGCCTCCCATCAAGCTCGGCCTCTATCGCTATAAATGCACGCAAGGTCTCGTGGACATGCCTCTTTCACCGCTGCTCTCGAGGACTTTGTATAATGTGCGCCGTCGATGACGGATCTAACTTCCCAGATTTGTGTATTGCGTCTATATTTCGAGCTCAGCGCCGCTGAAGCTCAGGGTCTATGACGTTACCTCCTAATCACAGTCCGCTGCGGTGCGATGGCATTCATTTCCGGAGCTTGACAAACGGGATGAACAAAGATGATAGCCCCTTTCACCTGTCCACACAATGGTGCTAAATTTACAACGATAGCTTATGGTACATCCGCGGATTCAAGGATTACTGAACTTGTGACCAACTGGGATGATTGTGTCTTGTACCTACGAGCGATCCTCGGGCTGCTACTGCACAAACCCCCCTGATTCGTGCTGATAATGTGATGCGTGTCTTTCATTATCGAGAATGGTAGTTCAGACAATGTCTGCGTACGTAAGCGTAGACGATTGAGACCAGATTTGCAGCATCAGATGGGCGCGTCGACGCGTCGACGCGCCAAGGCACGTGTACCGCGTCTTGAACAGCTGCCGCCAACCCTCTCTGCTCATCTTGCAATTATGCCACCGGGAACAGCACCGCAACGCACTCCTCTTCGCCGCATCTCCCAGGGGTCTCTCTTCCGCCTTTCTCGGTCTGGCGCGTATCCAGACGCGCCTCATGGACTCGGATTTCTCGAGCCCGCGCTTTCCGAGTTGGCGGACGAGATCGAGGCCCTGAACACGAGCGTGCAGTGTCTCAGGAGCCTCGGCGACGCTCTGGGAACGTTCAACGAGAGCTTCGCGAGCTGGCTGTACGTGATGAACATGAACGCGCTCACGGTTGACTGGCCACAGGTGCGATCCTTCTTTTCCGGACTCGACAGTTCTGATACTGATGCGGTCGGAAACGCAGGCCCCGACGGACGCATCCTACAAACTGGCTGCACAAAGAGCAGGTATGTTCTCCTCCCTCTACATGCTGAACTACGGCTGAGCTGAGAACACAAGAGGAGGATGCCGCAGCCGCACTGGCAGCTCTTCAGGCAGCTCAAGCCCCTCCACACCGCGAGCCTTCCCCTGAACCGCCCAGTACTGACAAGACGACCCTGAACGCAGACGCTTCGGCAGCCGGGAACGAGACCACCATGGCAACGACCGCCTCTGCTGGCTCCAAGATCGCAGTTAAGAAGAAGGGCAAGCCAAAGATGACGGCGAAGGAGAAGCGCGAACGGTCGCTGTTCGTTGACAAGGTCGTAACCGCGCTGCCGCTAGAGTTCCGCGGGAGCGACCCGAATTTGCGCCGAAACGTCGAGACGGTGATCGAAGGATTCTTGGATCGGCCGGAGAGGGGGCTTGGCAGTACGTTCACCGGTTGGATGAAGTTCATTTGCGTGCGTGCTGACGTGTGAATATGAAGTTCTAGAGCTGGTCAAACCACCAGATCTTACACAGGCTCGCGCGAATAAATGCCTGATAGCACTTGTCAACCGGAAGATCGTGCAAAAGGACAACAGCACCGTATGTCGTCTTCGTTTCACTACATGTACACGCTTTCATTCGATGTTTAGGGTGCTGTTCAATACCACTGGCACGGACTACCTGCATGATATACCCTTTGTTGTAGTAACAACTCATGTCATTGTACTACGTAAACTTGTTATATTCGATGGCGACATAACACAAAGGCAAACAACACAGACACAAGCTTGAAGAAAAACACAGTTTGGACGAACAACATGGCTAGACAAGACAATATGCAAAGGCACAACATGCATAGAACGGTTAAAAACAAAGGGAATAGGATCACACATATTACCGCTCTTCCGTGGACTGACGAGTCCCTCGTTACTTCTGTGGCATCACAGTACGATGGGGACGTGCATTCATGATGTCTCCTAAGAAACCTGAAGTGATGTTTGACGTCATGCCTGCCACAGGCCGAGCCGGGCTATGGGATGCGACACCATTCTCAGTGGCCCTGAACGACCGAGCAACTTTCTTATGCGCGGGTGAGGGCATCGACCTAGGGGAGCTCCTGGTTCTCCTTGTGGTATCTCACGTATCACCGACGGTGGTCCCGCACACAATGGAAGGACGTACTTGATTATACGAGAACGCCTCGGCGTACCACTCGTCAGATGCGGCGGTATGTTTTCTTTGTCCTCGTCATCGGCCATTGTCCTTGGGACATAAACTCAGAGGGTGCCATTGATACAACGATATGCATTCACCTGTGCAACCCCGACTCCAGACGAGTGACCTGGGGCAGCATGAGATTGGCTTGGGTTCCCTTCATGCTGGACGTTTCTGAGGGTCCAGTGGCTTGGCCAACAATCTGAACGTCGAAGTTTTCGGATGCAAGATCTTCGTTTCCGCCTAGACGCATTCCAGTCAGTGCGTAAAGCTCTCGAAATTGGGGCTCGTCCGCGTATAAGTTTATATCGAGGTTCTTGAGGCGCCGGCCAAATTGCTTGACGAAGCGACTTCTGAAACCGTCGAGTAAATTCTCTAGTGTTTGGTCATCGGTGAGTTCTCGCTATTTAACTGGATATCAGCATGGATGCAAGGGCCACAATCAACACTGAACCTTCTGCAAATCATCCAGTAGGATATGGAGCGTGGCTAGGGAGAGATCGCTTGCTTCGCTCGGTATGTACAGCTTGTCGAGTAGTTTACAGAGGGTCTTGCAATTGTCATCTACGGGTTGCCGGTCACGATGCTCACCGGATTTTCCATCCTCTTTCTAGAACGCACGTACCTATCCTTTCAGCCTTATAGAATGTCTTGAGGATGTCTATGGCAAGTGCGACATGCGTGTCTCGTGTGCCAGACTGCCTGTACCAAAATCATAAAATGTAGGAGAGAATGACGGGAGGCGTACACACCCCTTTACCAAATGCCGAGGATCTGTCCATTCGACAAGAAGCAGGCCAAATTGATACGGAGTGACCATCTCTTCGTCTTCCGACAACTCGTCGTTCACCTTATGGACCATGTTCAACGACATGATCCCAATCTGAACGGAATCAAGTCTGAGTCGGGTTATGTGTGCATAAAACATGATAGGCACCTTCTGCATCCGAGTCTGGTTCTCTAGGGACAAGTAACAATAGGCAGGGAGGAAGTATGCAAGGCATTGCCGCACTTCGTGGTTGTCTGCGGTTGCCGGCGACACGAATATGAGCACTAAGCTGGTCAACACCTGAACCTTGCGCATCAGCCTCGGATTTCATAGCATTACATGAGAAGCAGAGGTGTACTCGTTCGTCATCGATGAGCCCAGCGAGCATTAGTTTGGCTATGCCTATACACAACGCCGCCTGAACCGCAGGGGAATCCTCGATTTCCAGGACATGAAGCAGGAATGCAACAACCTGCTCCGACTAATGAACGTGCATCGTAAGTGTGCACGATGTTGTGACATCTCCGCAAGGGAATAAGCAACGTACGACAGCTTGCGAGCCGAGCAATTCCTCTTCATGTACCATGAGGATATCGAAGAGGACTTGCAATACGCTGGTCTTCAACTGTTCTGGAGCACTCTGTATCTGGTTCAGGAATAGCTGCAAGGAATTCATGGCTAACTCCTGTAAACATCTAGTAGTGGCATGCAAGGGACGAATGGCGTCCGTTATCTATTTACCTTCGAAATTAAGCAGCACAAGCCCAGACTTGTGAGGCCTCGCTCGCGCAGCGCGAGCTCCTTCCTCTTGATGGAAGGGATGATCAGGTCGGCGAGTATACCCTCGAGAGTCGAATTCTCGTTCATGTTCTGAAGCCATGTCAGATGATGTGGTGGTCGGCTACACCAGGCACGAGCATACCCCATTGACCCGGCTGAGCATCGCTATGCAGATCTTGAGGCAGCGCATATCAATAGCATTGGCCTTCGCTTGCTCTTCCGGAGACATCTCCGCGGGTTCCTTAGCCCTCTTCAATGAACGGGTACGAATAGAGCTCTGTGTTGTATCGATAGAGCCACTGCGATCTCCTGGTGCCTGCAAGGACGCGAAATCAGCGCATATAGTCAGCTTCTCTTGACAAATGGAATCGTACAAGTTGATCCGGGCATTCATCGTCACCATCCCGTAGGTCAGCTACGATCTCCACAACAATACGGATGCGTTCTCGTTCACCAGCGCCGGTTAAGGCGAGGACCTCCATACATGGCTCCAGTAGGTCCTCGGGCATGAGCTCGTGAGCGAGCATCTCACCTGCCAAGAACATAGAATTGAGATTCCGACATTCCACGCTGAAAGCTAGCCTTACGTGCGACAGCGAAGAGCTTCTTTCTCCCAATCTCGTCCGAATAGTCGCACAACGACACGAGGCGCAGCATTTCGTTTACGACGAGAGTGTGCTCGGCAACAGCGTCTTCTTTACTGTCCAGATCGTCTTCCTTCTCTTCGATAGCGTGCGTATGAGATTCTGCAAGCAGTTGAGCCTCTTCGAGATCTTCGATTGCATCCAGGAGTGAGTTGCACTCTTCTTGAAGGAAGTATGCCAGTGTGGTCACTACAGGCAATCTAGAGGCGTCGATGCTAGCCTCATCTTCACGCTCCCGACAGTATTCAACGTACACTCTTGCCGCGAAACAGGCTTCGGAGGACAATCTCGTCCAGAATGCATCTATCGGTCGATGTAGCGGACGTCTGGCTTCAAAATAAGAGGTACACAACACACCAGGGAAAGCAATCTTGCGTGTTATGTCCACCCGCATTGACATCAGCGCCTTCATGGCGTCAGTGGCAATAGAGTTTCCTTCTGGACTGGCCAGGTCAAACAGTTTGAGAAATTGAACGAGCATCTCCACTGCATCTTGCTTGTCAATGTTTTCAACGACTGCATCGAACCATCCGACGACCATACGGCGTGCAGCCGTCCTGACCGCGTCTTCCCTGTCACCCAGTCCGTCATGCACCATTCGTTCACGCTGAGTCAAAGTAAGCTGTCGTGGATGAATGGCATCTCTGGTGGCGGGGTCCTGGGCACCGTGGACCGGCTTGACCAACCTGGCCATCGTCGACAGGACTTGAGAGATCAAAGCCTTGCGCACGGAGGGGTCGACATCCTGACTCCTGGTCAGGAGGACAGGGAGTGTGCGGGGCGTCAATGGGGTACACAGGAGTGCTGTACGGCGCACCTCGCTGATGCAACCGGGAAATAAGTAAAACGACAACTATGACCAAGAAGGACACGCTCACGCTGAGGGGTCAGAACATAAACTATCTAGCAAAACGTTGATGATACTTGACCGGTCATTGGATAAATCGCTAGGATCTTCGCTGTCCACGAGTCTAGACAACGCTACTACAGCACAACAGCGTATGACGGATTCCCTGTCGCAGGTGCGATCAATGAGATGGTCGCGCAGCTTCCCGTATGTCTCTTCGCTGCGTGAGATAGTCAATGTCGATAGCCCCATCCTGGAAACACAGCAACGAACTCGAATGTATTGAGGCGCGCCGCTAGCTCTGCCACGATGCTGATACAGCGGTACCGTACCGTCTTGTCCTTCGCAGTGAATCCGCCGAGTAGCCATTGCAGCACTCTCGCGATGAATCGCATGCAACTGGAATCGCCCTCATTCGCGTGTATACCTTCTAAACTCGACACGAAAGAGAGCATGTGAGCGATCAAAAGGTCAAAGGCAGCAAGCACCGGTGTCCCACAAAAGCTTGAGGATGGAAATCCTAGAATTACAGATCACAATGGTAGTCGTGCGTGATGGTCGATATGTTTCATGCGAAGGAGCAGTTGAAGATATGTTACAAATTCCGGACTTACCTTTATTGATGATGTACTCCGCATATGCGCCTATGAACCTGACTACTTGATCGGCAGAGGCAGGCCCCTTCTTTATGACCAGAACGCGACCAATCATAGTGAGGAAGGTCTCTTCAAATATTAGTTCTCTTGCATCACAGACGGAGGTATTTTTTGGTGATCCATAAATACTAATCACTTGATTGTGCAGTTTATAGAGCGCTGCACAGTTCTTGTGATGATTCGCCAGAGACTGCTGTGCCTGATTGAAGATCCGTGGGATGGCGTCTGGGATCCTCTCAAACACACGCATTGAATCTGGCATAACCGCGGTATGTCTGGTGCAGATTGGGACACGTATCAACTTATATGTACCGAAGATAAATATATACGATTCTGGGCTTACAATTTCTTTCGCGAAGCTCGTTCAATATCTAGCGGTTCCGGCGTTGGTTTTGAAAGACGATTATTGTGAAGTGCTGCTGAACATTAAATAGTGGATATGTTGATAGCTGAAAGGTCCTGGCCCGGAAATGGTGTCACGGTATGTGTGCGAGTTTGACACTGTTGGAGTCGAACCTGAGCGCGTCGTGTGCACGTGCTGGGAATCGCAGCCTACCGGATGACATGCGGTCGTCCACTTCATCTTTCGCCTTCATCCTGCCCACCACCATCCTGGACGAGGTAGCCGGCGGGCCTCCGTGCTTGGGTAGCCGACGTATTCGCGTCGACTGCTCAACAGAATAGGTCTGTCTCATCTTCTCCTTATCGGCAACGATCTGGACCATCCAGATCCGTAGGGTAGTACCTTACGCGACCCGTGAGCAGAGAAACCCTGCAGTGCGCGAGGCGATGCGCAAACCCAGACTCTAGTGGATTGGCACACTGCTCGAGTGCCTACCAGTAAGGCTGGTGTTGCCTCCGCAAAGCAAGCTTTCTATGAAGGCGACGTTGTATGTGCAACGAACAGATTGTCGAATTTGACGGTCTACTCTCAATATGAGAGTCGTACAGCTGGAACGCAGCTGTGCTGAGGGTATTTCTCAGAGCGAGAGCGAGCTGCTCCCCATTGGGTGTTGTACGAGAGGAGGGAGGCGAGGAACCAGACACATTCTGTCACCAGTGTATAGCGCATGCTGATCGTCTCGTGATGCGCCATGGATACAAATTTTTGGATGTCCTTGACCTTCTCATGAGGTCTTTCTGATGTGGTGTTTAGACCAAATGTAATGCTAGCTGGTAATCATCCTTGTGTTCTCTACTATAAGCTTTACAACAACAAATCCATGATCAGGATAGACAAGCCCATTGAGCTATTTGCGTAATTTGTGGTTACTGGAAGCATAGTCGATCAAGCATACCACCACGACACATATTTCTCTACTTGTTAGAATTACAGCCAAACCAATATTGATAGACCTCCTCTCGCAAAGTATACACTTCGGCAAAGTAGGGCAGAAGCTCGCGGCAGGAGCTGGCAGTGGTGCAGACACGTCGACGAGCAGCCGATGGGCTACTGAGGATCGTGAGATAGACACTCGCTGTAATCCCCTCGTGCTCTTGCCGTCATTGTCAGTAATGTACAATATATTCCTCCTCAGAAGGAATTCGGTGTATAACACATGTCTGACTCCATGACTCGTGGTCAGATCAAGGAAGCTACTAACATCGCAGATTCCGTCGCTGTCACCTATCTTTGTTTGCAGAAGTAGAGAGCGACGATGTAGACTTGACAATCAGACGAATATCGAGACATCGGCGTGAGCTACATACTATATACGGCTGCAGTGAACAGTACTGAGATCTCTGAGGGATGAGGGCACATCACCCCCGAGGTGCCGCTATGCTCCATGCCGCTTATCTGTACTTTTCGCGAGGGAGATCTATCAATATTGGTTTTGCTGTAGCATAATAGGTAAGCTCTGCATGAGTGCTACAAGGTTCAATGCCCTCAGGACAAAAGCTAATCGTTCCTAAGTTAAGTTGTAGGACCGTGTGTATTTATGGCTGGAAACATTCCGTTCATGAACGATGCACTTATCTACTGTTTGCTCCGAAAGGTCGTATTAATCAGCTGCAACCCAACACTTTGCTGTCCCTGTGATAGAACTTTCAGCACGCCATTCCTATGTTAGATAGGCAATGCCCGTAGTAGAAAACGCTGTGAGACGCCCTGTGGAGAGAGTATCCGTGTTCGCTGTCATGGGCTATTCAACATAACAGTCCGCCGTGAGGGCTCTACTTTCGCCGGAGACAGGTAGGGAGGTTATCAGGAAGGTCGTCCCTGGCATGTTCGGCCAATCCCAGTCCTCGAAACTTGGCTTCGGTCGAAGAAGAATATGATACGTACTACTTGCATACACCTCAATGCAACCGCATCATCCCGTGGGGGGGGGGGGGGGGGCATTGTCTTGCGCGTACTTAGCAGGCTGGTCACAACGTCAGATAGTACCATGTCTCATTCACCAAATGTCGCGATATCCAGCGGGGGCATCGTCAGGCGAGTCATATCGCCTGACTGACGTCATGCTTTACCAACACCTCGACTCTCAGAATTCATACGAATATCAGCACGGCTTCCCTACCGCGGCTCTAGTAGATGTTGATGCGGTTTCAACGAGGTTTCTCATATCGTGCACATTCTTGCTACCATAGCTTGAGCATAGTCGTTGGGAACATAATACCATCGGTAGATCCTCCAGGTATACAATGACCAATCGTTGTTACAAAGCCCTGTTTATTGCGTACCGCGAAATAGAGAGCTCACGCCTTTGTGGAAGTGGCGGCCTTCTGTCCAATACCGCGCCCAGTGAAGCCCCACTCGATCTGCCGCGCCTGTCTGAGCGCCACGCCCAGGTCTTCCGCGAACGACCAGACAAGGCCAGGGTTCTTCTGGAAATAGCGACCAACGAAGACCACGTCTGCCGAGTCCTGCCGGGTCCGCGTGTGGGTCAATCCAACATGCCCTCGATCAAACAACAGACTCACCTCGTCGAGAATGGCCTGGGCAAGATGACCATTAGTGATACCACCGACGGCACTAACGAAGATCTTCGATCCGTGCGCCTGTTTGACGGCGCGCGCGAGCGGCACCTGAAAGAGGCCCGTCATCTTGCGGTCCTTGTCATCATGGTCGAGGAGGGACGCCAATGAAAATTGTTGGCGGGGGTGGACACCGCCGCTCGACACGTCGAGCAAATCGACCCCGTGCTCTGCGAGGACAGGCGTGAGGCGCAGTGTGTCATCCAAAGTCCACGACTCATTGGGCAGTACGGCCTGCAACCAGTCCGTGGCAGGGATCCTACAAAAATGCACAGCATAATTAACTACCGAACTCGGTCCAAGGAACGTAGGCTGCAGAAAAACTTACCGGACGAACAAAGGCATCGTGGGCGGTATTACAGCGCGAATGGCGTCGACAACCTCGACAAGCAGACGTATACGGTTCTCGAAACTTCCTCCATACTCATCGGTACGTTTGTTGACCGAGGGTGCAAAGAACTCGCTTAGGAGGTATCCGTGCGCAGCGTGAATCTCGATCACGTCAAAGCCAGCACGGAGGGAACGCCTCGCACCGTCTGCGAATGCCCGCACGACACGCTTAATGTCCGCTTTGGTAAGCTCTTTCGGCTGGGCAGAATTCTCGTCGTAGGCGAGCGCACTGGGGCAATAGACATCGTTTTGCCAGCCACCGTCGATCTCTGGGGCAGCTAAGTGAAAGTGGAGCCAGGGGGCAACAGTGGAGGCCTTACGGCCAGCATGGGCAAGCTGAATGGCGACTTTCTGGCCCTGCGAGTGCGCGAACTCAACGATCTTGCGCCAAGGCTCGATGTGCTCGTCGGACCAGATGCCCGCGCATTGAGGGGTGATACGGCCCTCAGGGACGACAGCGGTCGCTTCGACGACGGTAAGACCAGGGCCACGGGTCAAGATCCCGCCCACTGCATGAAGATCAGTACGCTAACGAGATGGCATACCTGCAATGCTTCACTCACAGTGGGCGAGCTGCCATGCAGTCACCTTGCCATCCTCAGAAGAGTATTGGCTCAGAGGAGAAAGCTAAACATAGGAGTAGTTAGATCGCGATCGAGCTAATGCATTGAGTTCAGCCCCACTTACCCAGATGCGGTTTTGGAACTCAACACCGCGGATCTTCAACGGCTGGAAGAGCTTCGGGATGGGCTTTCCATCTGGCTGGGGATCGAGGGCGGTACCCGCTGGAGGGTTCTGCGCTGGCGTAAAGTATCCGATGCCCGGCGCGGGCGCATTCACTATATTATTGATATGGGCCATGTTGATATCAGCTTGTGTACTCTGTGATCTGTCAAGAAGGGAGGATGGGAGAAATGGATGATGCGCACCCGCTATCCTTTATACTCGCCGATACTGTCGCTTGAAGGACATCTCAGCTTCCATTTGAGAGCAAATCAATGAGGCGTCCGCAGCTGACTCATGATAGTGAGATTTGTCTCGTATCCATACTCACCGTATCCGAGCCTCACCACTCATACCCACCGTACCCGAACCACACCACCTCGAGAAGGGGGGCCTAAGGCAGCTAGATAGGCCTTCCCCTCCTCGCGGGGATAAGCGCCCACAAGCGCCCGAATGTGATGGCCATAGTAGGCTTCTGGTATTTGGAAGTAGTAGGGTGATCTTTGATCGGCTTCCCAATACAGCATTCATACCTAGCAAAGTTATGTTGAGACCGGTGAATGCTACACTGTGGTCCGCCGCACAATTTCAAGTTCACTTGTGTCAAGCATCTATAATTAGCGTCTCCGAGGTTCGGTTCTTGCCATGAACCTTGGATCGGACTGAACCTTGGACCGAATCCAACGGGTTCGACGGGTTCGGAGCAGGTTCGAACCTAGCGAGCCTTCAGATTCTAGTTGATTATACACAAGATGTTAGAGTTCGAGTTTTAAAGTCGTGCTATAGCCACAACACATAAACAAAAGAGCGACTGTTTGAGAAAGATAAGCAACCTTGAGAGTAACAATCGTATTACATCCGACAGTAGGCCCTTCGTTAACGCGTTACCCACGTGCTGGGAAACTTTCCCGCATACTTGTCGATCGCGGTCGCTCCCATCTCCCTGCATCCATGTCCGCTCCGGTCCTCTTCGTTGATGGAGGACTGTACTAGCGATGGTCAAACGGGCGAGCTATTCAATCTGCTCGCCCCTCTCGCGCCTGTCTGATAAACACGAGCTGTCCGTCTTACCTCTCTCCTTATCGGCTTCGCTCTGCGCTATCGAGCACAGATGCATAGGATGCCATCCTATGTAGCCTGTGGGATCGAGAGACCAACCAACACCAGGAGCCCTCCAGGAAATCCGAGAGGCTGTATGTATGCATGATGACATTGCAACCAGGCAATCTGGGAAGGCTCACGATGTGGGCACCATTTTGCTGGTGTTGTCTGCATGCAAGCACCTGCTAGTATCTTGTTGTTTGTCTAGATGAACTTATGACAAGATGCTCTCTCTTAGGAGAGATAGGAAATCACATTTCCTTACCCCTACTCTGGCTTGTGTCGGTCAGAGGTGGGGAGAGCAGATTCTGCTCGTTGGTTCTCGAGCACAATTGGGTGGGCTTGTTCTCACTCAAGTACCACGAGCCTCTGGTATTTATGTGCCTATCTCACATTTGGCAGTGTTGCATGAGGGGAGTGCGGTGAGCAAATGGACTACTCTGTGACTGGTGCTGGTCGTCGCTGGTGAGCGGACCGACACTGCACCCTTCGCGGGTGCGCGTCACGGCTCATGGACATCAATGTTTGGACCACTACTGACCTCCTTGAGAGGTCAAGTAGATTTACGGTATTTGTTGCTATTCATGGCACACGAACTAGGAATGTGAATGTATACACAAAATTGGTTATTGATATCCACGAAGCCTGTGAGTGATTCTGCGATAGAACATAGGCGTGTTTCTCTCAATCAAGCGCAAGCGGGCGAATAGTGGCTCGTATGTTATGGTTGACGATAACTGCTACTGCTTCGAGTATGTGCAGGAAGAGTTTCGGCGATCTGCTCGCGCAGGCTAGACCGAGGAAACGACATAATCGGGCGAACACAATCAAAGAGCACTCGAAGGTGTACATAAGTACAGTAGCTCAATCTGTTTGATTCTGCGCTCTCTAATGTATGTCCTCAGGTATACATCACCATGATGCGTACTTGCACCACGACAAAGGTGCATTACGCCAGTAAGCTATGACCTCGGCGCTTATCTGTGTCAAAGCAACAGGATGCCACGGCCCCACTTGTCCAAACTCCGACCTGGATTTGGTTCAACTTCAGAGAACATCGATTGTCCTTCTCTGAGCCACTATCCCTGTGGCCGCGTCCAAGAGCGACCCTTCTGATACAATGGATAAGCGGCATCGACTGTCAACACCACGAGATCAGAGCCTGTCTAGGACGTCTCAGGAAGTGCGCGCGAATGTTGATACATGTATCACGGCCACGGCGCCACCGGCGCCACAGGACTTTGAGCTCGACCCTGCGCTATTCGACCCTGCCTTCCTGTGCTCAGCAGTTCAAGACCTTGGGACTCAAGATACATCGTTCGCTCCTCAGGCCAGTCATATAAATATTTAATTCTTATACGCTTTTGCTCGCTCACTGAACCTATCCATTAGCTCGACTTCAGTCAACTACTTCTGCATCCCGCTGATAAATGGTGGCGCCACCGTCGAGCAATCACAAGGGTCGAGCGCATCTGCTCCTCTCAGCACTCAACTCGTAAGTCAGGTGCACGTATCGCGGTCATCGGACGTTGGTGTCGAGCCTACGCTCGATTCTCGCTTCCTGTCCTAGTCGCTTTTTGACCTGACGACGCTGGGATCATCGGCCTCGTCCCGGGGCTCGCCCTCTATTTCCAATCTTCAAACGCCAGACTCCAATTTTCTTGACATGCTCTGCTCACGCTATCACCTCTCCGTACGCCCTGCTCAATCTAACAAAGACCGGCAGTCTATTCAGATCATTATATCGCAGGTTCATTCGCTGGGGAACAGGACACCTTTGCCGGGCAACTCAGAGAGTTCGAATGGTTAAACTCTTGGACAGGTTTCTCTGGGTGACACACAGCCCTCGTGAAGATTCCATTTGATGAATGTGATGAACTCCCATGAATGCGACACATGGATGCGCTTAGATGGTTCCTCCTGTAATTAATTGTATTTTAGAAACGAACCTTTGCGTCCGATGTCTGGTTCTACTTATACTTATCTACAGTTGAGTGAGAATACAGCCCCAGCTGCCACTGTGCTAGCACATGGGCGAGCTTATCTATAGTCCCTTCAGTCTGCTGCAAAGAGTAACCGAACTTCCTTCTGTTCCTCGCCGAGTACAATATAATCATCCCTAGATGATTGCATCCGGGCATTCCTAATAGCGTAGAAGGCAGCGATAAAAGCAAGAATGAGCGCAACGAGTGACATGAACATAATGATGCCCGAATTGCGGAGAATGGGAGCCAGGGGGTCAGGGGGCAACGGCACGGTGTAACCGTAGACTTGCGCGAAGCTCTCGAGCCGTGCGAGATTCTGCTCAGGGAATTGGGATGCTGCCAGGTTTGCGTCTGTCACCTAGGCCAGAGTCAGCCGCTGTGCGCTGTAACGAAGAGACTGATAATCGTACGCTGAGGAGCTGTACAAACGGCAGAGTAGTATTCCCGTCAGATTGTCGCAGATTCAGGTTGTACAGGGCGTATACATTCCGGAGGAATGTGTCACCGAGGAGAAGCACTATGGTGGATGTCGGCTCACATCAGACTGTCGTCCTGGACTATAGCATTACAGCGCACATACTATTCCCGTCCCAAGGTGGACCTTGCGCGCGCTGGAACGCGCCGGTGCACGCAACGGTATTATTGTAGTAATGTCCGGTTGGGATAACAGAGTCAAGCGGATTGACGGGATATTCGACCCCACTACAACGATACATGACCAAAAGATGAATAGATAGACGTGTAGGAAACGCACCCAATTACGAAGCTAACATTGAGCATAGTTTCGCATGATACAAGAGCCGCCAGTCCATCCGACGTTATCTCAGCGTCCGCTCCGTATATGAACTCGACTAGCTCAGGACTAATAAAGGCTATTCAACGTATGCATTGTGGCAATCAGTAGGTGTCAAAAAAGAGGTGCTGGATCTCACTCGTTGGCGTTCCGGAGTCGAGTACTGCCGTGAACACAGTTCCGTTTGCTGTGCTGGAGGTGTTATTTGTGAGTCACGAATAATATTTTCCCTCATTATACGACCAGACGTGCCTCGAATTACGCCAATTGCCATTGACTTTGATCCCGTCAAGATAGACCGTCCAGTAATACCGACCTAGCGTTGTGTTCACGATAGGCAACACGGGTTGGCTGGTAACACTGGCGTGTTCCGAAATCGGGTCACCTGCAAGCGTAGCTCTGCGTTCAACAAAGCGCAGTAAAGAAGGCAATCTTAACTCGCTTACCCAATGTAAATATGCCACCTGAGGAGCGGACTTCTCCATCGTTGCGGGTCATTAGCATCGTGAACTGGGGTGTCACGTTGGGGTTCTGTACAAATATCTACATGTTCTCGGATTATGCTGCCGTTCCACGAGACAGGGAGAATGAGTAGTGAGGCTCAGTACTCACGCTCTCCACAGGGCTCCCGCCACTTGAAGCTGTGTAATTGGCTTGCTTGAAGGCATTATTAATTGCAGTGTCATTACTCGGGCTGGTGATAATAACAAAAAGAATTGTGAGCAAGTAATAACGTGGAAAGATGTATACTAACGGAGCAATACCCATAATTCCATTGATCCCAGGCGCGATCAAACCGCTTGCTGGTTCGAGCACATTGACTACATGCAATGCAAAAGGATACGACGTTATACAGCTGGTGCAAAGGGGTGTTAATCTCAGTGGACGTAGGCTTACTGAATGCTTGTTCCTTGATAGTGAAATTGGCGAATTGTGTCTTAGCCAGTAAGACAAAGCCCGAAACGGATGATCCAAGACCCGTGCCACCACCATAGTCAATCATCGCTGTAATCGATGTGTTTGTGTAATTTGACAATGTTGTATCGGTCTTGAGCCAGAACTCATGGCTCCCTGTATCCAAGATGATCTACCAGCCGTAAACGATCAGGGCTGTAGCGCCGAGAGTGAGAGCTGGGAATCACGGCAGAGGACTCACCTCGAAAGGTCTACTTGACACTAATACTTCGCCAACATAGCGACTATCATTGAGGTTTTCATAACCTGCCACTTCATCCGCTATTCTCTTCGTGGGATGAATAGCGCGGCTATTGTATCGCTCGGCAGTCCGCTCTATACGAAAAGGAATGCGAGCGCCATGGGACATAACGAGGGCGGACAAGTATAATAAGTTAGTAACGGTAGCAATGACCTTGCCAGCGTGCATCCTATCGAAGTTCGGAAGGGGATATAAAGAGATGGTAGGTTATGATCGTGAAGGAAAGCTGTAGTTGGAAGTATTATATAACGAATCTGTACGCCAAACACAGCATGTCAAAGACTCAAACAGGTATCAGGACGCTCATGAGCCTGTGAAGGTCAGATTACGAAAAACAACATACCAGCGGTTTTGACACGCTGTACTAGCACTAACCCTGGGTGACAGATGGCAACTGTCTACTGAATCGAACGCCTAACAAGTACAGGAAGTCCGGAATGACTCAGTAGATTTTTCCGGCATGTAGATAACATAGGAAACTCACTGTCAGCCAATTCCATATCGTTAAACCTGTTGAGCTCAATGTGTGCGCAAGCGGATTTCCAGGGGAACAGGTAGGCGCTAGAAACAGCGGCCTACTTTGGTAAATTGTGGCTGTGACAATATTTTGCTAGGTCCAGCCAGGTCGGGACCATGGGCTCAAGCGTTCAGCGTTGATATCAAATTCTGCATCCACAAATATTCTCGAGTAGGTCTATCAATATACAATTAGCTGATACAGCATCGCATTTATGCCACATTGACTGTATCGTTGATGCGAATACGCTGCGAAACGCCAGCGCGCGTCGAGCCCAATTCGAGGGCGACCCTACCATATCTAGAAGATTCGCGTCCACATTATTGGCGCGCACTGCTTAGTTGGGCCGAGCCGATCGAGTGCAACATTGCAGACAGTAACATGTGTACAGCGCGCACGAGCAGTGACTGAATTAAATAGCAGATACCTTGAGGTTATGCCCAACGCTAGACAACATAGTACTTCTCCACAATAGTGCAATAATAGCATGGTATGTCAGACGCAGCTCTGACCAGAACTGTCGCACGGCATTGACGAAGCAGAGCAGGGAGCGTATTAGGCAACACAGGAGTGCCGGCTCTTAGCGGAAAAGAAATAAATAAATCATACATCCCACAGCATGTACGCTCAGCGGCACTTATAGACACCAACAGTCCACATCTCAGAGGTTCCCATGCAGAGGTGGCCTCACTCCGAGTAGCTCGAAACAAATGTCTTCTGCTCACCCATAGGGGCAACAACACGGTAGCCTCGACCGGTCTTGGAGCGCTGGCCAGCGCACGAGACGCCAAGGACGACAAGCACGAGGACAAGCACGCCAGCAAGAAGGCCGAGGATGATATATGAGTTGCGCGTGAGCGTGGAGAAGTCGGGCGAGGACGAAGACGTAACCGCAGAGCCTGCGATGCCACCCGCGAGGTGTGCACCTGTGGATACCTAAGCATCATCGCTGGAGTCGCTGGAATTGTCCGAAATGTTGACGCTTTCATTCCATCTATCCAGCCGCTGCCGGTCCCAGTTGTCAAAGTTGGCCCACGCCTCGTTGGAGTCAGTGAGCTGAAGGCGCGGGCACAAGGATGAGCACTCGTTAGGAACCCGGCAGGGCAATGAAGCAGGCTCAAAACGCACGGGGATCATCTGGACATATGGTCTAGTCGTGTTGCCCCGGTTCCTGTTTGGGTTGTGGTTGTACAGGGTGTACACGTGACGCAAGAAACTGTCACCGAGGAGAAGCGCTATCAAGGGCAGTCGTCAGAGCAGTTACAACGATGCGGGTTTGGAACAGGAGAGACACTCACTGCCTGGAGGGAAGCCACTTAATCGCTCGAAGGAGCCATAACACTCCACTGTACCATTCTGCGTCACGTTGTTGGGAGTCGTGAGATCGAGAGGGTTGATCGGCATCTCAACATCCCTGGAGCGCCGTTCAATGCAACAGCAAACCTGAGCATGAATTGAGGACATACCCGAACACAAATGTCATGTTGATCTCGAGATCGCAGGGTGCATAAGATATGGTGTCGTCTTGGAAGCGGGGTGTGTCGGCACCGTAGAGCATGTCCACGAACTCTGAGTCCATCAAGGCAGTAGGAGTCCCAGCATCAAGGATTGCCGTGAGGTTCTTCGCACCGGTTGGCCTAGGATAAGACACTCAATATAAGGCCACTCTTTCGATTGACCGGAAACACCAGCTCACTCACCCAGCCTCAAATCGCTTGCCGTTGATGATGATGGCATCCATGTGAATCGACCAGTACTGTTCAAAGAGAGAGTTGTCAATTACTGGCATAGCGGGTGCGTCCTCAATGTATTCGTATCCAGAGATCGGGTCGCCTGAATTGTCAGCAATTAGCACAAAGTAGTGGACAGGCACAGCTTCAGATCGCGATACTGACCAAATGTGAATTCGCCACCTGAGGACGTGATGTTATTGCCGTAGTACCGTGAAAAGAGCATCGTGAATTGGGGCGGGAAGTATGGGTACTGAGCGAAGATCTGACAGAAATGGTGAGTAATGACAGGAACACCGTTCTAGTTATAGTCCTACATTGGACACGGGACGCGAGCCGTTGTACGGACTCTTTGCCTTCGACAGCGACTGTTGAATATCATTGCCGGCTGTGGGTCTAAAGCGCAATATTTGGTTAGATTTGATTGTGTTGCAATACGCACATGGCTGTACGTACGGGCTCAGTCCTACTAATCCACTTACACCGGGAAACAGAAGCCCAGTGCCATCCTCTGTAGTCATGTTCGTCACATCGACTGTAAACATGAACCAAGTGCTATCAATACCATGCAAATAGATAGAGCATGACACACGCACCGAAAGTCTGATTGTGAACAGTGAAGCCGCCAAACTCGGCTTCCGCCATCAAGATATATCCACTGACCCTGGACTGGCCTCCCTTCGTACCGTAATTCGTACCACTAATAACACTGGTGTTGATAGCGTTCTCGAATGTGACGTTCGTTGATATCCAGAAATCCGGACTACCGGTATCGAGAATCACCTGCGGGTAATCTCAGACCAGAAATCCGAGCTACGTATCGCACGTCGAGGATATTCTCATATCCCGATAGGACATGCAGGTCCGGATTGGAAGTATGCTTCTTGCGAGTGGGCATCGAATGAGAGTGACTCCTCCCAAAGGATTGACGGCGCACAGGCACACGGAGAGCAGAGGTGGACGCCACGAGGGCGTAAAATATTACTAGACCAGAAGATACGGAACCCCACATCGTGAGCGTCGCGAAAAGAAGAGAGGTAGAGAATGAGGAAGAAGGACGTACATCACCATCTGTTGACTGCTCGAGTGTATAATTGTAATGACGGCAGTTTCAACGCCAGCGCTCACTCCTATCGACGCCCTCCAAAATCAACGCGCACGCCGGGGGGGGGGGGTTCGGTGTTTCGCCAGCGGATGGCCAAGACGCAGTGCCTAATGCAATGCGTCGGCGATGCAGCTGAGTAAGAAATTACCTGAGATCAACTTGTTCACCGAGCACCCTGCACGGCGGAGCGCAACTCGCAGAGTGAGCGCCTGACGAGAAGGGATGCACGTACCGCGACCATCCGATCACTCCGGGTCTCGGCAAAGCTTGCGACCACAAGTGGCTATGCAGCATCTTGCACTAAAGTATAGCCATACACAAGGGCCAAGTAGGCAATGCAGCAGTCGTATCTCGCGTGATAATGGCAAGGCTGTAGTCTCACTCAACAGACATCGCCCGACATCGATTCATGAGACGGCAGGTTGTGTGATTGTACAACCGAACTTTCCAATGCAGATATGCCAGAAGAGGCTGTCCATAGCACGATACCGGATGCCAGCAGGACGACGCGTTGATCCCAGGTATAGTAGAGTTGTAGGACTACCAAGCGTGTCCGAGGGGCACTGGTAGGTGAAATAGGAACAGGGGGCTGCTTGACCGGTTAATTAGCCCAGACCTAGAACTCAGTTCAACCTATGTAGGCTAATTAGCTGGTCTAAGTCTTGGACTAAGCAATACTTTGCGAAGCTCGTTCAATATCTGATGGTTCTGGCGCTGGTTTTGGAAGACGACTGTAGTGAAGTGCTGCTGAGCATTGAAAAGTGGATAGGTTTTATGGCTGAAGGGTCCTGGCCCGGAAACGATGTCGGGTGCGAGTTTGACACCGTTGGGGTCGAACCTGAGCGCGTCGTGTGCACGTGCTGGGAATCGCAGCCTATCGGATGACATGCGGTCGCCCACTTCATCTTTCGCCTTCATCCTGCCCACCACCACCATCCTGGATGCGGCAGCCGGCGGGCCTCCGCGCTTGGGTAGCCGACGTATTTGCTGCTCAACAGAGTAGGTCTGTCTCATTCTCCTTATCGGCAACGATCTGCACCATCTAGATCCGTCATCAGCAAAACTAATTTTATCCTGTAAGGCTTCTATAAGGCTTTTAGAACGCGCCACAATCGATGCAATCGCTCGTAATTATTGCAGTGGTCTGATAAGGCATTATAGCGCTCACGCAAAATGCCAATATTCGCAATCGATGCCAGAGGTGCAATTCTGATGATGTCCAGCTAATTGATGCCATGTTTGTGTTGCCTCGTAATACAATGCAAGTCATCACAAGATATGTATGAACTGCACATACATGGCATCTATTCCCGTTTGTGCTGTCATATATGAGGTTGCCAGGATTCTAAGAACATGCCAGACTGAGCGACTGTTTCCTTTTGGGCATCACATTGCTGAGGCGCTTCTCGCCAGTCATCACATTTGCTCAGACAACTCGCAGACATCAAGTCAAGGAGATATATTGTGTGCACAGAAATACAAGTACTACTATTTTACAATGTACGAGCAAGCGGCATCACTGGGTCTTTGCAAGGCATGCTCAAGCACCAATAGCCACAGTTGATAACCAATCTGTATATATAGAGTCAGTTTGTGTTATGATAGATAACATGCATACTCACTTAGTCCACCACTGCGAAAGCGCGCTCGGCTGCTTGAGGTGCGACAGTCCAGTCAAAAATCGCTATTGCTCCAGACAGACAATGGCGAGCAACGTACCGGGATCACTCCGGCTGCGCAGCCTATGGAGCAATTGGCCAGTCGATCAGAGATATCATTGAGTGTTCCTCAAATCTCGGACTTGAGTTGGTTGGAAAGACAAAGGCGACTCGAAATCGAGTATGGGAGGTCCTGCTTGGAAGGACCATGGTCCTATATATGCCTAGAGTGTGGGTCGAACTTGTTCAGAGCGGTCAGACATTGAAAATTCCATGCTATCAGCGGGGCAGCAGAGAATTCAGGGTGTCACGGTCACCCTAACCTAGACCATGCATAGCTCTGGCTATTTGATATGGCAGTAAATTCACTCACATACGGATCTCAGTGTTGCATAGAGACGGCGGCCACACTCACGTCATGTCCGTGTTGGCCGGGAATCGAGTGCCCAGCGAGTCCCTGCTAGACCCTACATGTGCGAAGCGCATGAAGGCAATTGAAATACGATCCTTATGCTGCCAGGTTGATTGGGAGACTACAGATGCAGAGCGATTGATGAAATAAAAATATGTCTATCAAATGCCAGTCTTCATGGGAGATGCCCACAGAAGAGCATAGTAAGTTCGACTCGAGATACAAAAATGATTGCGTCCAAGAAACAGAGCGGAAACATACCCCTCAGATGGCAATTCTAGGGAAAATCGAGCTTGGATAGTGATGCGTCGGCATTCCTCGAGGGTGTAACCCTAACCTACACGTGAGTAACCATGAGGTAATACCAGATCTCCCAATTCTGCTGCACGTTCGCAATCACTCGGCATACGGTCAGCCTTCTTGCAAGCCTCATACAAGCCCTGTCAAACCGGGAAAATTATGCCTCAGGATGACAACAGCCCCCCAATTATGTTGAGTGCCTCTCGGATATCATCATCATTGTACCTACATTATAAATACCTTGTCAGGGGTTTATTGCGGGCGGGAATGCTGGTGCATATTGGTCACTGGCATAAGGCACTGGCATTTTTCAGAGGTTTCGCTGATGGTAGGGTAGTACCTTACGCGACCCGTGAGCTGAGAAACCCCTGCAGTGCGCGAGGCAATGCGCAAACCCAGATTCTAGTGGATTGGCACACTGCCTGAGATCCTACTAGCAACGCTGGTGTTGCCTCCGCAAAACGTGCTCTCATAGAAAGCGATGTTGCATAGCAATGAACAGATTGGTCGACTTCGACAATCTACTCTCAATATGAAAGCCGTACAGCCGCATATGCGGGCAGCCGCCTTTGCGGCTGTACCAAGGGTTTTTCTCAGAGGGAGAGCGAGCTGCTCTCCATGCTCATGCTCACATCGGGTGTTGTACGAGAGGAGGGAGGTGAGAAGCAGACCCATTCTGCCACCGGAGTATGGCCACCACGGACCTTTGGGCGTACCCTTCGCGGAGGTTGCACACTAATTGTCTCGTGATGCGCCATGGATGTGAATTTTTGGACATCCTTGACCTTTTCGTGAGGTCTTTTTGATGTAGTATTTGGACCAAATGCAATACCACCGGGTAGTTATTCTGTGTTCTCTCCTGCGAGCTTTACAACAAAACAGTCAAGAGTCCACGATCAGAACAGACAGGCTCATTGAGCTATTCTTGTCAATCGTGGTTATCGGAAGCACACATTGATCAAGCGTACCACCACAGCGCAAAGTTCTCTGCTCGTTAGACTTAGCGTAATAAGGAGCTCTGCAAGCTGATAAAACGTTTAACGCGTTCAAGACAATGTGGATTGAAGCTAATCGTTTTTCATTTAAAGTGTATTTATTGCTGGAAACATTCCGTTCATGAACGATGCATATATCTGCGGTTTGCTCCTCCAGGTCGTATCAATTAGTTGCAATCCCAGCACTTCGCTGTCCTCGTGATAGTATCTTCGGCCCGCCATTCCTATGTTAGATAGGCGATGGCCACCGTAGTAGAAGACTGACACTCGCTGCGGAGAGAGTATCCGTGTTCGCTGTCACGCGTTGTACTAGTCATTCAATATAACAATCTGTCGCGAGAAATCTGGTTCCGAAGACAGGTAGGGGGGACGGAGAAGAGTATGGTACGTACTACTTGCATATACCTCAATGCAGCCGCATCATCCCATGGAGGCATCGTCTTACGCGTACTTAGCAGGCGGGTCACAACATCGGACTAATACCATGTCTCATTCACTGAGTGTCGCGTTATCCAGCGGGGGTATCGTCAGGTGAGCCATATCGACGGACTGACGCAAAGCTTCACTGTTACCTTGACTCTCAGAATTCACACGAATAATATCGGCACGGCTTCCCCACCACTCTGGTGACCGTCGATGCAGTTTCAGCTAGGTATCCTATATCGTGTGCACTTTTGCCACCATAGTGTGAGTATAGTCGCTCGGAACACAACACTATCATTCGATCCCCCAGGTATACAATGACCAATCGTTCTAGTCAATTTCTGTCTATTACGTACCGCGAAATAGAGAGTTCACGCCTTTGTAGAAGTGGTGGCCTTCCGTCCAATACCGCGCCCAGCGAAACCCCACTCTATCTGACGTGCCTGTCTGATCGCCACACCCAGGTCTTCCGCGAATGACCAGACAAGGCCAGGGTTCTTTTGGAAATAGCGACCAACGAAGATCACGTCTGCCGAGTCCTACCAGATCCGCGTGTCAGTCAATTCAACATGCCCTTGACCAGACAACAGACTCACCTCGTCGAGAACGGCCTGGGCGAGATGACCATTGGTGATACCCCCGACGGCACTGACGAAGATCTTCGAGCCGTGCGCCTGCTTGACGGCGCGCGCGAGCGGAACCTGGTAAAGGCCCGCCGTCTTGCGCTCCTTGTCGTCATGGTCGAGGAGGGATGCCAATGAAAACTGTTGGCGGGAGTCGACACCGCCGCTCGATGCGTCGAGCAAATCGACCCCGTGCTCTGCGAGGATGGGTGCGAAGCGCACTGTGTCCTCCACAGTCCACGACTCGTTGGGCAGCACGGCATGTAACCAGTCAGCTGCACTGAGTCTGCGTAGGACGCACAGCGCGGGTGAGCGAAGTCGGTAGAAGGAAGGTAAGTTGAAGAGCCTTACCGAACAAACAAAGGCATTGTGGGCGGGATCACAGCGCGGATGGCATCAACAACCTCGACAAGTAGGCGAATGCGGTTCTCGAAGCTGCCGCCGTACTCGTCCGTGCGCTTGTTAACCGAGGGCGCGAGGAACTCACTCAGGAGGTATCCGTGCGCAGCATGAATCTCGATCACGTCGAAACCGGCACGGAGGCAACGCCTCGCACCATCCGCGAACGCCCGCACGACACGCTGAATGTCCGCTTTGGTGAGCTCCTTCGGCTGTGGGAATTTCTCACTGTAGGGGAGCGCGCTGGGGCCATAGACGTCGTTTGGCCAGCCGCCGTCGATCTCGGGCGCGGATAGGCCAAAGTCGAGCCAGGGGGCGACAGTGGAGGCCTTGCGGCCGGCATGGGCGAGCTGGATGCCAATCTTCTGGCCTTGCGAGTGCGCAAACTCAACAATCTTGCGCCAAGGCTCGATGTGCTCGTCGGACCAGATGCCTGCGTCCTGAGGGGTGATACGACCCTCAGGAACGACGGCGGCCGCCTCGACGACGGAAAGACCAGGGCCACGGGTCAAGATCCCGCTCACTGCAAGAAGATGAGTACGCTGACTGGATGGCATAGGTGCAATGCTTCACTCACAATGGGCGAAATGCCATGCAGTCGCCTTGCCATCCTCAGCAGAGTACTGGGAAAGAGGAGAAAGCTAAACATAGGAGTAGTTAGATCGCGATCGAGCTGATGCATTGAGTTTAGCCCCACTAACCCAGATGCGGTTTTGGAACTCGACGCCGCGGATCTTCAGCGGCTGGAAGAGCTTCGGGATAGGCTTCCCGTCTGGCTGGGGATCGAGAGCGGTACCCGCCGGAGGATTCTGCGCTGGCGTATAGTACCCGATGCCCGGCGCGGGCGCATTCACCACGTTATTGACATGGGCCATGTTGATATCAGCTTGTGTGCTTCGTGATCTGTCAAGAAGGGGAGGATGGGAGAAATGGATTATGTGTACCCGCTATCCTTTATACTCGCAGATACTGTCGCTTGAAAGGCATCTCAGCTTCCATTTGAGAGCAGATTAATAAGGCGCCCTCGGATGACTCATGTCAACATTAGTGAGGTATCATTGCTGCCATGATCTGCAGCGCAGTCAATTTGCATGGCCCTCGTAGGCGTGAGTCATGCACATCAAGTGCTAATTTTGCCTCACCGGATCTTTGCGTACGGCGCTTAATGATCAGTAATGCGAAACTGATTGATTTTGCAAACCACCATGATTTCGTCTTTCCCATCAAAGTCTATATTTCTGACGCTTGCACGACCTCATAGATATACATCGTACTGTACATGTGAGGAAGATTGAGGATATATGCATTTGTCGCGGAATGGGAGCCTTATAACGGTTCAGATAGCCTTCTGCAAATTCATGATAGGACAGATCCCCGGAAAATGCAAGCCGCGGTCTCCAATCGGACTTCCGATCTAGTACACTTCAGCCATGCTTTTGATGATCCTCCAACCCGATATGTCCTCAATGAACTGGCTCGCGGCGCGTAGGCGGTTTGTAGAACGAACGTCGCTGTACGACACAGAGTATTTTCAATCCCCGTCTCGATCCGCACTCAAACAAATGCATGGTACTTCAAGAGTACGACCTAATTTCCGACATTTCACGAGAACCGATCGAGTGCTTTCCGGGCTTCACGGCCAACGTAGCATCGATCTTGCCGGAATTATCATTGCACGAGCAGCGATAAAACTATGCTTTGTTAGCCTGCTTCTTAGTCACTTACACTCCGAGTCGCTCGGTGACCGAGGCGCGAAATCTATACGTGGGATCTACTCAAAACCCACGTCGGAATCCGTACTGTGACTTCCCAATTATTATCAGACAGGCGTGAACCAGATCTTACCCAATGTCCCCATCTCCTTCCCTGCAGAGAAATCGGGGCCGCGCAATTGTATGTAGCTCGCAAGATATCAGCTTCTCTTACTATTGCGGATGTATTCATATTGCAAAGACGTAACTGTTGCATTAATGGATATCCAATTTCGAGTGAGGAACAAGACATGAAATAGCCAACTACGGGGATAATAACTATTTGAACCACATCAGCGCCCTCAGAGACATGATCATACCTAATGATACTCAACAACACTGGTCATGACTTTGCACCTCGCGAAGAGGCAAACCGATTCATACACATCGCTCAAAGAGGGGTAAGAGAATATTCCAAAAATTGAGTAATCAGCAGCAGGCCTATATGATTTGGGTTGACTGACACGCAGGGGCCTGAGCCAATGAAGACTCATGGCCGGCGTGCACCGCGAAGACCACTGAAGGACAACGCACCCAGACCTTTTTTGCATACCCACCCTCCGCTCGTGCGTCATGATCCACCAGAGACACGTTACGCATCTTTGATCAAAGGACACGTCCTGCGCCGGCACCAGCAACGTATGGACGTGTTCGAGATCGAAGCCACCTTCCAAGGATGGCTTCAAGTCCTCGATCTCCCCTGTCGCGATCCTGCATCAGAACGAGCTGCAGGTGTCACCGTCTCGCATAGCGACAGGGGTACAGCCCAACGCGCCCTTCCCGGTTGTGTTGCTGCATACGATGGTGCCTTGATGCGGAGAGACGGCGCACGACGCTGTCATACGCCGCGCGCTTTCCAATCGCCTTCTGAGCCCCGGGATGCGGACGCGTCACAAGTATACCTCCTCCGCCGGGTGGCAGCAGGTCCGATGTACATGTGGGGTACTGGCACTACGCGGCCGCGACGATGCACAACGTGCAGACAGGTCAGCCAGACCAGGCTGGCCAACTGCCAACGCATCATCACAGACCGCACGTACCAGCCTTCTGGGCTTGTCAATCGGTCTCGGTGGACGGCTACAGCAGAAGTGAGCCAGCTTCCTGCCATCAAAATAAACAACAGCGCAACGTCGATACAGAGGTGTGCGAGCGTGCTTGGAGGTTGGCGAATCGCCCACTCTACGTGTTCCGAGCAGAGCTCGGCCAGCGGTTAACTTCCAGGTCCTGTTAAGGACAGCACTGTAGAGTAAAAGTCCCAAATATCATCTTGCTCGCGAGTGAGGACGAGGAGTCCTGTGCGGGGCGAGCGTTGCGGTCATGGTCTGCTACCGTGGTGGTTGAGAGGAGATTGCACGCTGGGCGCTCGGCCGACTGAAGTGCGGCCGGGCGTGGGAATGATACACACAAGAGGAACCAAGTTCGAACTCCACGGTTATTTCTTCGCCAGTCAGCCTCAAACCATAACGTTGAACTGGTGTACGAAATAGTCTGACTCTTGTCTCACGAAAATCCAGGATAAGAAGAGCCTCGCAGACCAGCAGGTCCGCGCACGCCGCAGAAGTTAGAACGTGTGTTCATGTTTGAGTGAGAGGATAGAGGAAGGATGTGGCCTTTCTTTCCTCAAAGGATGTTAATAATTGATTGTTAAAGACCGACCCAAGCAACGGTAGAGAGGTGCGTCACTAATTAATTAATGATACACGAGAAGACGATAAAATACACGTATTTCAGAACACCGCATAACCCAATTTATTTGCGTAGCGCTTCGTCCTCACTTGCCGCCAATCATCAGCACATCACACAGCAGCTACACGAATTCGTACAACCCACCACGCCCAACCGTTCTCTCTTCCCTTCAACGGACAGGCCTTCATGGCACCGACGCATCGCGGACGGGTGTATGCCCCTTGTCCAGCGCACGGATGAACTCGTCGCCAACGTTAAGAGATTCTTTCACGATGTAGTCGGGCGTCACCGCAAGCCACTGGTTCAGCGAGAACTCCTCGAACCTGTGTCAAGATGCGTAAGCGCACCAAGACAGCCAGGAAAAAACACGGAACCACGTACTTGGGCGACTTGAAGATCTCGAGCATCTCGATCGGCTCGTCGCCTATGTTCTCGATGTAGTGCCCGCAATTGCGTGGGACTATCATGATGTCGCCCGCTTGGTAGTTGAACGTCCGCGTCGCTTGCACCGTGAAGATCGTCACCTTGGCCTTGCCGCGGAGGAACATAGACCACTGCGGCACTCGCGTGTCAGCCAATGCTTAACTCACTATGACCATAGGCGCATATATGCACCTCGTCTGCGTACGGGTGCCAATGCATCTCGCGCAATGCGTGGGGGTAAATGATAACGTGCGCAGCGCTGATCGTCGTGATGCTCCAGATGCTGCTGTCCGTAATGCGCACCTCCCCGCCGGCCGTCTTGATCGGCTGCTGTGCGAGCATCTTGTGCGTCATACGGCGTGCAGTCGGCTTGTTTCCTACCGGCATCTCCTCTGCCGTGCTTTTCTTCGACAGGATCGAGCGGAAGATAAACTTCTCCCGCGTCGGAATCTTCTCGAGCGTCGACTCTGGCACCTTGAAGTTCTTGCGCAAGATGTCGCGCGGGGTGTGCGCGAACCAGTCACTCAATTGGAAAGCCTTGTACTCGGACGACTCGCCGTCATCGAAGATCTGCACGGCGGTGAGCAAATGTAGGCGCATACAGCGAGAGGATATGCACCAGAAGGAATTCGCAGCCGCCCTCAAGACCTTGAAGCGAGTGCGGCACACCGGCCGGGAAGAACCATAGGTCACCTTTTTCGACATCTTCCTCGAAGTAGTGGCCTCCGAAGTCGATACCGGTTATTCGTACGCGACCTTCGATGATGTATGACCATTCCGCGTCGTTGTGCCTATATGCGCATTTAGCCAGACTTTGGTGGTGATAAACACGCGTGCGCTCACCAGTGCAGGTCGCGGACAGCGCCTTCCTCCAGGCGCATATTGGTTGCGGCCAAATCGCGCGACATGGGGAGCTCGCGCACGGTCGTCTCGCGCGCCCAACCGCCCTCCTCAAGGCGCATATGCGAGTCGGCCCAGGACTACTTCATGTTGAGGACGGTGCCCCAGTCTGTAGACGGAGGGCAGATCATGTCTGGGTTTTGACGTTCGCGGTCGGGGTTACGAGGGCCGACGATAGTCGAGCCCTTATTGCCGCGCAGCGGCTCCGGAGGCGGCGAGGGCATGTGGAAGTACGGAAGGTGGAGGAAAAGTTACTGAACGGACTTGACGGGAATGTGATGATATATATATATATACGAGAGCTGCCACACTTAAACAAGGACGCGCAGGTACGTCATGATGAGCGCATCCGGTCTACCAAAGAGAGCAAGAATAAGGTACTCGACCAGCTGAAGCTGCCCGATGTGACATACCGCGTCTGTATCAACCCAATACGCTCTGCATATTTGAACATTCTGAACCCAGTGATATTGGCTCGATGTAATACAATCTATTCTTCCCATCGATCATGACGAGGATGCGATCAAGCAGGCGACGTGGATCCACATTTGGCTTTCTTTTAAATCCTAAATTAGAAGATACTAAATACGGTAATCAATAATAGATGCGGGGTGACCAACATGCGCCCCATTTCATGAGAGTATGCAATTCGTGACTAGCGAGAAGAACTTCGTGTGTGTGTGTGTGTATCGCATGATCAGCAGACTCACGTCCGGTATCAGTACTGATCAAGAGTAAGTGAAACTTTAACCTAAGGCCAGACCATTTTTAGAACGTTGACTGACAAGCCGAGACATTATAGTCTTCTACAAACATTATACCCACCATAATGAGCCCTCCTGCGGCTGGCAGCACCAGGAAGGCGACATAGGCGCGGGGCAGCCAGTCGCTGGGCTTTGCGTCGCTGGGCTTTGCGGAGTTTCCCTCGCGCCTAAACTTAAAATGATTCTTGAGCGACGGCGCATCCTTGAGCCAACGCCAGGATGCTTTCCACACAGCCGAACCATTGCACCGAGCCGCGTCCATGAGACGATGCCAGGTGCCCCACCGGAAAGCCGCGCCCATGGGACGACGCCAGGTGTCCCACCGGGAAGTCGCATCCTTGAGACTATCCTGGGATATCCTCAAGAAAGCCGAGTAGAAAACGATTCCCAACCCGGATAATTGATTCGCAGCAAGCCACAGCATCATCATCACGCGCTCGGTGATGGTGCTTCGACCGTCGTGGAAACGGGTCAGTCCGTATATGACTGCATATGGCAAACCCATGGTCAGCAGAAGGCACACGAGAATTGCTGCGTACTCTTGCTGCGACGCGGGCAAAAACGTGTCCCGCGACAACGCAGGGTCAGGTGTAGGACCGATACCATCGAGGAGGGGGGAAATAGTGAGATCGACGCGGAAAGACGTATCCGATGAGTTCTGCGTGTTCTGCTCGTCGAGTATGAAGGTTTGCTCTTCCATGCCTGTGAGCGATCTCATGATGAGGAGCTTTCTTTCTCCATCCTGCTTCATCGACAGATGCTTCTTCTCAAATCCTTCGGCAGGTATGATACCAGGAAAAGGATCCGGTCTGCCAATAGCACCGTCGAAGAAAGCATCCGTTCTCCTCTCCGCTTCTTGCAGAATGTGTGTTCGGAGGACGTGCCTGCTTGAATACTCTCCGATAAGTGCGCAACAGATTGCGTTCGCAAGTGACATCAAGGCGTATGGGAATACCGAAAGCCCATAGGCAGCGTAGCCATATCGGTCCCTCTGGTCGCCAAAAGTAGATGCAAGGGTGAAGGAGGCGGATATCATCTGCCCAGCCGATACAATGATTTTCAAGTACTCTGGTCGTCGGTGAATGCGTATTTTCTCTACCGAGAAAAGTGTAGCCAGTATGAACGGCTTGAACTCAGGCATCGGAACTGCGAGGGTGTATCCAGGGGGGACAATGGCTTCACCATGCACCTTCCGCTCGTCTTCTCCGAGCGCGGCGCACGACTTGTCTTCGTCGAGCTTTATAATAGCGTATGGGTGCTTTGCTGTATCCCTACAGCCCATATAGAAAGGCTATTAGAGAAGTCGAGAAAATGCGAAATTAAGAAGACTCACTTCAATTTATCGTAGTTGGCGGGTAACTTAACGAAGACCTCGTCGCCTATCTCGCCATTCGGACGCCAATCCTTAGTTCGGGCAAGAACAAGGAGAGTACCGTGACTTAAGGCTGACAATACATCATCGTGGTGGCGCAATTCCTGGGCGATCAAGAGTAAATCTCGCCCCAACGTGCGAAATGGGAGGAAAAGCGAGACGAGCACTGCCCATGGAAAGCTGCCCTCGCTCAAGCTGCGATGCTGATCAGAGCCTTCGACCTCCACTGACAATGGAACTGAGGCTACATGGGCGACGAAATTTGTTGCGTAGAAGATAATGAGATGCCACGCTATCTCCACCGATCTGCGATCCAGAAAGACGATTTCAGGAGAAAGCGTGGAGAGCGGGGCGCTGAGTACCGGTGTCAAGAGCAAAAAGAAGAGCAAAAAGTGTGAACTCGTATAGTCTGCTCGTGACGGCGAAAAAAAGGCAAGTTCATGCGGGGGATCCCTGGCATGACGACTGACGGTGGGCTACGACTTGCTTTGCGACCCGTCATCTTCCTTATAACATCTTTCGCCCAGTAAAGCCGCTAATGACTCCGAAGTGATGTGCGTGCGGATGCACTGGCCAACATCTCACTATTGGTGCGTCGTCAACGTGTTAAACTTCATATAAATGATGTCGTGTGATCCGACTCCACTTACAGCGCAATGCAACCTACACATACGCATGGTGTGCACGGAAATCGCCTGTTGCACGAGTAGTTGACCACCGCGCATCTTCTCGTCCTATTTCCCACAGTTTCCGGGTCCATATCAACGGCGAACAACGCTTGACCCTTCAAGCTCCACGTACAAGGCGTCCTATTATTAGAACTTTGTTGTCCGCGCACCAACTCCTTTTTGAACTTGTAGAGTAAAGCTGCACAGTAGGGAAGAATTGCTTGCAGAAACTTAGAATGAAGATGGCACTCAGGGTATGATCTGGCATTAGGTACTTGCTTATTAGACAGGTAAACCGACATGATTATTCTGTATCAGACCTTCAGGCCGTCCTACACGTGCCGGACGACCTAGCCTTGTCGCCCTCATCTTCAACATTCGCGCCCAGTGGCGCCTTTGCTCATCGAGAGCCCGCGCAAGCGATAGTGTCGAGGCGCAGTCCGACGTGCAAGTACATTCGCTTTGGTTGGAAATTGTGGCGTCTCGCCACTATGCCTACGCGTCGGACCTTTCCGTGTGTACATCAAACCTTATTTATTCGTAGTATATGCGCACCAAGTTTTTTAACATGGCGTTTGCAACTACTGTCGCTTATTCTGATTCTGTAAGTGCTATTCGCTTCTGATTAACTTTAATTTGATCTTTTCTACAAGAACATTGATTCCTGCATGCAGTGGAACAACTACTGTACTGATGTGCGAGGTGCGGTTCCTCCTGCTCCATCTGCGCTGCGCGCAGACCCACAGGACGGCGCCCTCTACAGTCAATGAGACGGGGGAACCTGCTCTCAGTTCACTCCGGAGAGGTCCCCGGGGGGTATGCCGCTCTCTTCTGGTTGGCGGTCTCAAGCAGTAGCAGCGCAGTGCGCTCGCGAACACGAACTCTCCCTGTGCCTAAAATCACCTGCATGTTCAGATGGCCGCTCCGGTGAGATCTTCGATTTGGGTTGTAGGGCGACATGCGCTCGTTAGGGCTGTTCTCCGATCCCAGGGAAACTAAGGGGGGAGACTTCTCAAGCGACGTACCCTAGCCTTGGATGTTGAAAGCGGAGCTTCTCCTGTGCGTGGTGGAACTTGAGGGCAGCATGCTTGCGTGATGCTATTGTCTTTTGACCGTGCGTCAGTACCTCTCAATTGGCATGCTTCACGAAAGGAAGTTGCGGTGAGGGTTGGGACCACCGTGTTACTGGCTTATCTTTTGCGGGGTGTGCTGTAACTTGAGGTTCTGGCAGCTGATCTGATCTGATTTGCTAGCCAGAGTCTGAGATCGTACATAGTTGCAGTCAATGCCCGCCCCGAGTCACGCGACGCAGACGTGAAGATGCAACGAGAGCAGCCAGCCACAAATGAAAATGTAAAGACATGGGTCTTTGTACCGTATGTTCGATGCGCGTGCTGAGATTCCAGCTTCACACCAATATGGTCGTCAGGGTTGAGACTCCTCTCGCGCCATTGCAGGTTACTTGTTTGACACACATTTGATTGTTGTGCCTCTGAGGTTGATATTGAAGGAAATTAGGAAAATGTCATGGTATGATGAGACGATGAATACAACTAGATACAACGTGGGGTACAAATGGCCGCACGGCAGCGATGAGTTATTGGCGAGTGCAAAAGATTTAGGTGGATAAGATGGATATATTAAATAGAAAGTATTCCAGCGGGCCGTGTTGCATGTCAGACGTCCGGGGAGCCTCGTAGATAAGGCCTGGAGCGCAGAATACATTAATGAAGTCGAGTCGCATACCACATGCTCGATCAAGATGGCGGATTGAGAAGTCATGGAATCTCCAGCCTCATGCATCGGGGGCTGTCATAAAACATCCGCGACATTGCGGTCTTGAGCCGCACATTCAACGCAGACAATCCAGGTGGCAATGAAGCTTAAGCGCAATTGATCGCCACGGAAGCATTTCGCAACCTTCGCATGCTGACACAGCAAGCTGCCTGCGTAGATGGCATGCTAAATGCAGGTGTAAGTTCGACGAAGAACACGGGTACGACATCGTTGCGCGGTGCAAAGTGAAGCTGCCCGGTACTAGACACTGCACTGCAAGAGAGATTTGGCAGAATCGAGAAAGAGCGCTAGTACAAGGGATGTTGCATAAGTTCATCTGTACTTGCAGTTGAGCGATATACTCAGAATGGTACTATCAAGCGACAAACCTGAACAATAAAATCCTCCGTTTCGATCGTCACTAAAATGTGGAAGTATCACAAGCTCTCGCATGTGTTCTCCGAGCTCAGAGGATATGCAGCGCCAGTTGCCTGCCACCACTCCAACGCCGCACACGGCATAAAAGGGAACCTTACGCATACATGACATGGAACCCGGGCCTTCAAGCACGCCTCGTCCCACGGTAACACGTAGTGATCGTAAACGGGCGAGCTTCGATAGTTCTCGGAATGAAGTTCAGCGTCGAGGAGCGCATGGAAGGTACTGCGCAAGGGGCTCTCGCGACTGCGTCCCGCGGGAACCTAAAGACAGTGCATGCGGTATGCTGCCAAGTGCGGCAGGGAAACGAGTCAATTTTCCATATGATCGAAGCAGAGGAATTGTAGGCGGCCCAAATCCGGAAGGGAAGGCAGGGAAGGGCGTATTGTACAGCTCGAAGTCGGCGCAGGAACGATAGCGGCTCGAGCACGAATAAAGGAGATCGATGCTTACATCCCGCTGCGGCTCGCATACATGCCCCGCAGTCTGTCCGCACGATGGGGAGTGTCCGAGCATAACAACTTGCATGCGCTCACGATTTTGGGTCGAGCTTGAGTCCTTATGCGATTCAGCCTTGACGCACTTTACGCCTGCTTAGCGTTTGGTTCAAGGACCGCGTCGCGAAGACCAGGTACGACACAATCAAGTTCAATGAGTTGTCTGCCTCGACGCCACTGTTGTGCGTTGCGTCCAGCATTATTGAGCAGTCATGCAGCAAAATCAAAATGTAATTGACCTGAGCTGCTCGCAGAGTATGCACCCTAAGGGGTATTTACTGCGGTACTAATAGTAATAATATAACGAATTTTCGAGAAGCGCTGAGTTACTCGGTTTTTCTCATAAGCGCGATGTGTTTGATATCTATGATTACTTTTCGTGAAATATGCGTAAGGGTCAATGCAACAAAATTACAGTCATACCGCAGATGCGTGTACGTAAAACATCGAACAATCATTATGTATGAAACACAAACAGGACATGGCAGACATGAGGGATCCTATCGGTCGACGAAACAGTGTTTCGGTGTAGAGGAACGGCGGCGACATGTAGGGTATACGCAGAATGTGAGACGGGAAGAGGAGTTACACCGAGACCGAATCATCGACCAAGGAGCCATATGCCAATCTATGCGGCAGCGCGAGAAGGGTTACGTGCAAGCGTGGCACCCGCACGCTGAGCCTGGATGCTGCTGAACCGTTGCAGCTCCTCGGGCTTCATCGACACCTTCTGGCCGAAGCCAACCTTGCGTGCCGCGCGGCGAATGAACGAGACACGGTTCGAGTAGAGCGACTCGTGCACCGACGCAGCGCGCGACTGAGTGCGCGTGATCGGGACACCGCCAGCAGCAGTAGCGGCAGCCTTGGCAACCTCAGCCTGGTGGCGCTCACGTAGCTTTCTGATGACCGTCGCCTTCATCGCGAACTTGATCCAGTCGAGGGGAACGAACCAAACAATGTCCTGCATTGCGATGTCAGAGGCAAAGATATTCTGAATTGCATAGCAATACTCACCCAAACCCAGACAATACCAACCCAGCCTCCAGAGATACCGTGAATCTGCGTGAAGCCCCAGTCACCGTAGACAGCGATGATGGTCGAAATGAGCTGGGCAATGCAGAAGGCACCCATGAGAGCGAACGAGGGTCGCTCCATGAAGAAGAAGCTGTGCGAACGCGTGACGAAGATGAGCGCCTGAGAGATGATCGCGACCTGCAAGTACACGACTGAATGCAGGATGTAGTCATTGTGGTTCGTGGCCATTGTCGCACCGCCTTCGAACGTGACGCCGAACTTGCGATAGAAGAAGTCCGTCTTGATGCAAATAGCGACAAGAGCAATCCTGAACAAGCAAAGTCAGCACGGTGATGTGATCACAGGTAAAGATGGAACATACGTCGACGCGGTCAAATAGATACCATAGGCAATGGCATACGAGAAAATCTCAGCCAAATCCCAGCTATCAGGCGTGCTCGAAGGCAAGACACGGTCGACCGAGAGCGTCATGATGGTGCCGTCATTGAGGAGCGCAATGATTAGAACCATGAACGGCGGGAAGTCGAATTTGAACGCGAAGGCAAGGATGGCGAAGCAGACAACGATACGGATGGTGACGGCGCATGCATAGATCGAGTAGTTCCGCATGCGCTGGAAGATGACACGCGAACCACGGATAGCATGCACGATCGTCGAAAGACCAGGCTCCGTCAAGACAATGTCGGCTGCACCACGCGCGGCATCGGTGGCACCCTCGACGGCAATACCAACGTTAGCACGGGACAGAGCGGGAGCATCGTTGGCACCGTCACCAGTCATGGCAACCAAGTGACCGAGACCTTGGAGGCGCTTGACAATCTCGTACTTGTGCTCGGGGAAGACACCCGCGAAACCGTCGGCATCGAGGATCATCTCGTCAAGCGAACCGTGCTTGCCTCCGGGTTCGGGTCCGTCCTTGAGCACCTTGGCGGGATACATGTGGTCACCGAGACCGAGACGACGACCTGTCTCCTTCGCAATAGCGAGCTGATCACCGGTGACCATCTTGACACGAACGCCGAGGGCTTGAGCGTCGTCGATGGTCTGCTTAGTGTCCTCACGGGGAGGGTCGAAAATGGGAAGGAGCCCAATGAGCTCAAAACCATTACCCTCACCCTCGTGGTCGGTAGTCTCGAGCTCCTCGAACGCAACCGCAAGAGCACGAAGACCACGCATGGCAAACTCCTCGACATCGGCCTCGAGACGGTTCTCGATCTCGTCCGTCTTGTTACGTGTGCAGAGCTCGATGATGATACCAGTCATACCCTTGGTGACGCGTTTGAGCTTGCCAGACGACTCCTCGCGGTAGGTGATCTCCGTACGCTTGTCGACAGGATTGAAAGGCTTGAAGTCGAGAAGCTTGATGCCAGCGCGAGCGCGGGAGGTGTCGCCAAGAGCACCAACGACGCAAGCGTCGATGGCATCCTGATTTTCAGTACGGGAAGCGTAGGAAGCGAGGAGGATGACGTCTTCCGAAGAGAAAGGACCGTAGGTGCGGACGGTTTCGCGATCAATGGTGAGCTTGTTCGTGGTGAGCGTACCAGTCTTGTCAGAGCACAAGATGGTGACGGCGGCAAGCTCCTCGATGGCAGTGATACGGGTGACGATGGCTTTGTACTTCGCGAGCTGCTGGGCACCGACAGCGAGGGTGACGGACAAAACGGTGGGCATAGCAATGGGGATACCACCGATCAGGAGCACCAGGATGTTGTTGAGACCGCGACGGTACTGGAAGCGGAAACCGGCGTAGAGACAGAAAATCTCGGCAATGACGAATATCCCGATTGACACCAGGCAGAACGATCCGATCTGAGCAAGAATCTTCTGCAAGTGACCGGTGGTGTCATCATCCTGGCCAACAAGAGACGCAGCACGACCGAAGAACGTGTTGGGACCCGTTGAGATAACAACACCCTCAGCCTCACCCTGCTTACAGGTAGAGCCACTGAAAACTCGTGAGAAAGATGACTGGACAAAGCGTGCGACAGACTTACGAGAAGCACTGGTCACCAAGCTTCTTACCTTGAGGCAGAGACTCTCCGGTAAGCGCAGCCTGGTCGATCGAGACGTTGATAGCCTCAGTAAGACGACAGTCGGCAGGAACGATGTCACCAATCTTGAACGAGATCATGTCACCAGGAACGAGGTCGGCGGACTCGATCTCGCTCCACGAACCGTTACGCTTGACCTTGGCTTTGGGAGCAAGCGAGTCCATGAGAGCCTTGACAGCGTTACCAGCATTACGCTCTTCATAGAAACCGATGGCCGAGTTAATGAGCAACAATGTGATGATACCGATGAAATCTTCCCAGTCAGGCGGCATGTGCTCTCCGTTTGACAGGACAATGGCAACAAGAGCAGCTCCCTCCATAACCCAGGACAAGGGGTTCCACATGAAGCTCAGGAACTGTTCAGGTCAAGTTATTACGACACAATGACGCGTGAAAGGAACATGCATACCTGAAGGAAGGCATTCTGCTCTTCAGATTCGAGCCTGTTAGGGCCGAATAGCTCGAGACGCCGCTGAACTTCCTCAGCCGATAGACCATCTTCACTGCACTGTAACAACTTGAAAACGTCCTCGACGACGATCGTCTCGAGGTCGACCTTCTCCTTGTCATAGAGATCCTCCGCACGCAATTGGATTTGCGACATATCAACCTTGGCGTCTGAACACGGAAGTTAGAAACTCAAACCCGCTCTGTAATAAAAGTAGCATACGTGTAGCTTTTGCCTCCTCATGACCAAAGTCCTTGTACTCCCTCTTCCTGGGTTCCTCGGGAGCTGGGGGCTGGCTTGTATCTTTGGCTGGCTCTATCGAGCCAGCCTCCTTCTCAACGGGAGTCGACATGAGATAGGCGAACGAACTGAGGTGGGAGAGAGGGGTGAGGGATAGGGAAAACCCTAGGGCAGTCTAGCGGGCTCGCGAGAGCGGAAAGACGAGCTGGACAACACGAGAAGTGGCGAGGTTGAATGGGAGGGAGGATAGAGCGCCGACGGGGATGCTTAGGTTCTTATATTCACCCCCCCGCAAAGCAAACTTAGAGTAAACAGACGTCAACATGTCAGCCGCCACCCCGGCCCTCATCCGCACATGCCGAGGCTGCCGGGACCTTGTTTGATTGGCCAGGATTGGACGGAATCTTCCCACCGCACGCTGCGTGAGTTCTGCTGCTCGCCCACTGGATTGCAGGGCGCATCGGCTCGGATGGCGACGGAAAGCCCACATGCCTACCGCGGCATCCACCATCGGCAGCCTTCCCTGTGTGTTCGTCCTAAACGCTGGCCAGACGTGTGTGTGAGACATTCGTGCGAGACCTCCTACGGATGAGGGCTCGACGCTCCTCAGGCGGATGGATTCGCCTCAGCCTTCCGCCACACCACCGATAATCCCGACAAACTCCCATGGGGCGTCGAGGATCGTATCACTCACAATGACGCCGCTCTCCTACCCCTTCCAGGCTGGCGACCATCAACAGTCTGTCTAAACACCCCGTAGACCGTGGCACGCGAGATGGACATGGGTAACTCCTGTCCGCTGTCTGACAATTATTCCACCCTTTGCGAAATCCATCATGATGCTCGTGTCGTATTGATGCATCAACCACCCGCTGCCAGCACCGCCCCGCTTGCAGCCCAATGGCGGCCTTCCCAGAGTGCGCTCGCTTTGATTCACCCCAAATGTGACCATACGACTGCTTCCGGGACACAGGGGCCACCCGCCACCACAGTCGGCAATTAGGTGGCCCAATCCGCTGCGGGGCCGCACAGCACCGCTCCCCAGAACGCCTTCCTATTTTCGTGGCCAACAAGCGGCGGATGTACGTAACGGTCACCCTCCCCGCCTCACCGAGGCGTGGTTTGCTTCTCGGATTTGCCATTTCGAATGCCGGCCCCTCCAGACTCAGGGGTAATCTCACCCGGAATGACGAACACGCGCAGCATTGTAAACTGGCTGAACAGCATCGAAAATGGCATGGGTGATATCATAGCGCTTCGGCCGTTCTCACAAGACGGCGTCTTTCGGTTCAGATCAGTTCGGCTGTGTATGTCAAGCCCTTCTGGTCGTACGAGCAGAATCTTCTTACCGGCTACAAGCTAGATATCCTTCCCTAATGCATGAACCCGTATACTAATAGCTGAGCTGTATGGATATACAGTACCCCCGGTAATAGGACTTGCACCGCAGCGTGTTTTCAGCCAATCGAGCAGGTCCTGATTGGCGGGCATTCTTGGACTTTGGGACTAAAATCTTCAGCCCGTCTGCGCTCAAAATCATCGGAATCTGATCGGAGCAGCTATTTATAGTACGGTAGACGCGCAAGATTTTTGGCCGATCGCGTAACAAACATCCGCTGCGGCGTTAAACAAACGCTTCACCGACGCTTGTCTTGCGCAGCGGCGCGGCCGTCGAGCTCGACGGGGACCAAGTGCTCCCGCGTGCTTTGGTGCGGCGCATTAGCCCCGAGCCATTAAGGCCAGCGCCGAGAAATGCAGCATCCGGAACTCTCGTGAGCGCTCCTGCCGCTCCCGCGCGGGCCACCTGTCTGCCTGTCAAACAAGGACCGGTTTGGAACAGTCCTCGATAATGATCGGCACTGAGCGGCGACTGACGGGGTCGGCATCTATTGATAGTTGTTTGCTATTCCTGGCCTTCCGTCGAGAGGTTCGAGCGCGCGGTGGACTCGCGCAGGAGGCACGCTAATCGTGCGGCCCAGACCACACCTCAGATCCCGAAGTGAAGTTTAGACACAATAAGCTCGCGACAGGCCCGTGCACAACTCTAATTGTCATGGCATTGCGTTACCTAGAAGACAAGAACTAGTAGGAGTAGAACAACTGGGAGAGTAGCTCAGACCTTCCCACTTTGGCCCTGCCACATACATACCTAAACGCCCTCGCCCATCCGAATGGAAGCTGCCGAGATTGGGAATTTCCACGTTCAATGAGGTTCGAAGGGATGACGTCTTTCTTCCATCTTCATTTGAATACTCGGAACCCGAGTAATAGCATTCAACGCGGACTTCGGCCGCGGAAGGCGAACGTTCGAACGACTGCGGCGGTCGCTATTCGCCGCACGGGACGCAAGCGCAGTGCGCTGCACGGCGCATGACATAAAACATGCAGATGTCCGAGCAGACTGGAATCTACAGAAGGAAACGACAATATGAATTTGACGAAGACGAACACGAAAATACTCGCCTGTGGGTCCACAATTCGTAAGTACGCAGCGACGTGGCAGCGGCACGTGAAAACATGCACGTCTGACGCATGATGCGGTTTGTGGCAACGTGGTGGAAGTTAGAAATCCAACTTGTTGGGGAGCCGAACAACCAAACGAAGAAGACCAACAGGCTGCCCAACCGCCAAGTGGCCAACGCAAGGTAACAGGGTCCAGGCATCTATCTGTGCATTCAAGAACTCCGTAAACATAATCCTACACCCGCTAATCACTCAACGTGTCGCGTCGGCCACAATCGAGTGGTAGCTGTCGATAGACCCGCGTACTATCCAAGCCAAGTAAACCCCATCACCGAGCCAAGTGGAGCCCGCCGTATGTAGTGTTTCAGCTAACTGTGAGCTCGGCGCTTACACCACCATGTGTCATGCGTATACGTTCAGAGCTAGCACAAACCGATGTCCGTGAGGGGCCGTTGGTGGCGATAAGTCCCGGGTCGGTCGGTGAGGGTGAGACAAGTCCCAAATAGGACTAGGCACGCGATGACGTCATTCGCTGGCCCGGCGGATTAGCAGCACGGACGATGTATGTTATGGTGCAGGACGTAAGGCAGCTGGGGCCCTCCGAACGAGCTAGTCGAGATTCGACGAAGTTTCGGGTTGCGTCACAAGACTGCCCAGCCAATGTGAGCAGCGACCAAGAGGTGGGAGCGGGCGAGCGGGGCGAAGCGACGGACGAGCAAGAAGTCCGGGGCATGTACGACGCAGATCAGCCAAGAACTTCTGTGCGGGGTGAAAGAAACGTAGATCTGCAGATATTACAAGATCCAGAAATCATCTCAATAGCGGAGGTGCGTGCAGGCGTTCCCAAGCTCGACGATAACGAGCGGACCGTTACCATCGTGAAGCATGAAGACCCGAAGGCTCAATATTCAACGACAAGACCCTCTCGACGGCGGCTGAGACGCAATCTACACTCCACGAAGATCCCTCCGAGGCCCTTATTATTGCACCCTATACCGGGCGAATGATTCTGCCACCCCGGCCGCCTTCTGAGGGTACCCTGGCACACTTCGGACCAGCGGGATGAACTGCACGAGACCATGCAGAGGTGGAACTTCGAAGCGGGAAGGGGGAGAACGGCCCCAGGGTTCGCGGCCCGGCCACCATGCGTCCCGATCGATGCGACACACGCGGTCGTCGACGGTTGTGGGGGAGCCCTCGCCGTGCAGACCGTGTTCAAGCGCGGTCTCACAAGGGAAAAGTAAAAGTGGGGACAAGCGGAACGGGACCCACCGACGCATACCATAATAGGAAGGCGTCGGGTGGAAGCGCACGGTGCCTGGCGGGCCGCAGGAACCCACGAGCCGTGAGCGGACGAAAATCGGGCAAAGGATATGCCGCAGATCTGTATCTTGCGGGGTGAGGGGAAGGCCGTCCATGATTGCCGGAATCCCTCAGAAAATTCCTCAGACAGTGCCGCTACATTTTGTCCGGATCTGGTCTGTGGACCCACTTTCTGTGAACAGGAATTCGGGCACGGCGACAAGAAACGTTCAGTGCAAGCTTGGCGTCAGTAGTGAATTGAGCTTGTAGTATGCTTCTCATAAGCCCGTGTATCGGTGGCTGTAGAAGCACGCTCAAATTTACTTACTTACAGCCGTTTGCCTAGGAGACAGAGCTGAAGAAATGACGAAGCCCCGCAACTGTGATCCATGCTGCAAAAATGGCAACGGACAACTCACCCTTCCGGAACACCTAAAACTGCGGGACCCTGGAGCATATTGGACCCAGAATGAAATAGACCTCATTTTACGAAACGTGCAAAGTCTGCGTGCGCTATTACTGCTATAAGCCCGCGCTGCCCATAGGGCAGTGAATGTCGCGAGGCGCCGCGTTTGCTGACGCAGCGGAGATGTCAAACTTTCCGGTCCCAGTGGACACGGGTGGGCTCACAGCGACGGCGAAATCGCACCGTCACTCATCGAAGCTCACGAGTTCGCCCGGAGAGTCGTCAGACTGACCTGCGTCTGGCTGCACTGCGCGTGGCTAAGGGGTGCGAATTTAGAAGGGACGCAAAGTTTTGAACACAAACTCTAAAAATCGACGATAGCGCGTAAAGGTCAGGTCGGTTACTCAAGCATTGGACGTTGACGAGCGAAGGTGGACAAAATACTGGTGCGGACAGCCGCATAGGCTTTTTATGTGAAGAAACGGGAACAGCGGACGGTAGAGCGGCGGTAGTGACTGAGCGGAGGAAGAGGGGCTCTGCTGCTCGCGTGCTCCTTAGGCGCTGGAAACTCACTCTGCTCACCCGAACAAACGAACTACAGGGCATAATCTGCGCATGAGTCTACGCGACGTGGGCAGCTTTACACAGCACTCCCACATCCATCTATTTGCAAACCAGGCACCTGGGAGTTACACCTATCTGCCCTCGTGTTGACCTGCCCACATCCACGAATCACAACACTTACGGCAGCCACGGAGGACCTCGGGCTGCGTTGGTACGGGTGCCAGCGTTGTAGGACCCAGGATGGATATAGCACTGGTACACGGCAGAGGCCCGTCGAACAGTCGTGGCAGTCTTGACCCTGGTGCTACCGAGGACAGTTCGGAGCGGCGTTGGATCTTCTGAACTTGGTATGTATCACTGGCACTCATCTATCCGTCAAATTGCCATGTCAGCCATTAGCCCAACATCCGTACAAGACGCTGCCATCGACATCTATCGAGCAGCCTGCCATCTCGGATCCGTCCATCATCCGCAACACAATCGCGCATCACGTTGACGACAACCCGAGGCTGGCTCCGCTCGTACAACATATATCAGCTCGATGCATCTCCTTTCGATGGTCTCCAGGTACTCCCACAGCCGCGTCGGTATATCTCTCGATATTCAGCGTCTGCGCCCATGAAGTAATCATCTAAAAATTCACTTGTCTATGTGCCCTCTGCGTCTCTAGCTGTCAGTCTCTCTCCAGTTGTCTGGCGCTCCTGCTCGGCCGCCGCACTTGCTACAACGTGGTGTACATGCTTCAGCGCGCGACTTGAGCCCATGGTATTACTTCCGAGCCAACCAAACGAACTCCATCGCTGCTTCTGGTCCATTGGGCTGTCATGTTTCTCTTTTTTGCTTGGAACAGGACGCGCATTCACTGGGCTTCTCAGTTACCAAGGCGCGAAAACTGTTTGGGCGGTATGCTGGTTCTTCTACCCTGAGATTTGCTGTATGATCCGGAGCACTGCTTTAATCTACTCATGCCACTACGACCTCTAGGCCACATACATGCTCACTGGAACACCATGCCCCTTGTCCATCGTCTCGAATGCCTCTATTCCGGTCTATGCGTACTAGCTGCTTGCCGACGTTCCTGGAGATTACCTGCTCAGAGGTGCTAGATGTATGCGCAAGTCCTCTGCACCTGGTGTGTATATTCTCCGATGGCTGTCCAGATGTGTATACTATCTCCTATTGCGCCGCGCATGCCTTGATCATGAAGGTCCACCCGATGAATTGATGGTTTGCTTTCGTCTCTGACAAGCACATAAGAATGTTGTACGGCATCTACTGAAGAGGTGGTGTCTAAGGCATGTGAGTGAGTGGGTCTCGACGTAAGTATGATTCATGGGATGCAGGCCGACTAGGCCTGGCGAATTCACCACAATCTAGGCACAGTAAGTGATAGAGTTGCAGGCGTTATCATCTATGCGCAGTCCATGACAGGGAGACGCGGTATTTTGGGAGGGCTATTTTTAGCTCACGGTATATTTATAGATCTAGCTGTGGAGAGCGAGCGGTGGGGCTATCTGGGCATTGCACGTGAGTCGGTTCCGTTAACGCGTTTGGAGTACTGGCAGTCGACCCGCTGAACGTTATGTTATTCGAAACGCTTCTACCAGGTTGCACCGCAGTCTCGAGCACTTGATCCTCGCCCTCTCTCTACTATCGTGAGGTCTGAGCAGAGCAGAGTCCATTCATTACACAAAAATGAAGATGAACTGTGGACAGCGCGCGAAGGAGAATGCGGATGAAGGAACGGGGCATTGGCTGAGATGACATCGACATGGTGGAGTCCGTTATTTTTGACCTGTTGGTAGACTGGGTGCGCTCATCGTGACGTACCTGCGCGTCCTTGCATGCAGTAGACCACCTATAAATGCCCGAGGTCAAGCAGCAGATCCGTTAAAATCTCCTCTTCCCCCATCCCCCACAGCGAACATACAGCCTGACAAGATGTCTTCGTTACCCCCACCCCCAGAGCCCCAGAGCGGCAACTTGGGCTCGACCATCCTCGGCCCTCGTAACGCCGACCGCGAGCGCCAGAACCCCGACACGATCTGCTCCCCGCCGACCGACTGGGGAACCGTCCTCCACATGAAGTGGTCATGGGCAGATTCGCATATGCGCCTCGAAGAGGGCGGCTGGGCGCGAGAGGCCACCGTTCGCGAGATCCCCATGTCGCGCGACTTTGGCGCCACAAACATGCGTTTGGATGAAGGCGCTGTCCGCGACCTGCACTGGTGAGTACGGTCATATACATATAGTGTATCGAGATAGCGCCGTGTGCGTCCGTCTATGCTTGCAGGGGCTGCAAAATGAGTGCTTTCTTTTGCATGCCTGCTGACCTGCAAGCGGTGTTGACAAAGGTGATCCGCTTGGACGGCCACTCATAGTGGAATTTCGGAGGAACGGAAGTCTGGTATCTAACACACGCGCAGGCATAATGATTCCGAATGGGCATACATGCTTGAGGGCCGTTGCCGCATCACTGGCATCGATTATGGAGGCGACTACTTCGAGGAAGATGTCGGGAAAGGTGATCTCTGGTTCTTCCCGGCTGGTGTTCCGCACTCGCTCCAGGGCCTCGAGGGCGGCTGTGAATTTCTCCTGGTATGCCTCCCCTCGCTTCTTGCGCCCGCACCCATTGATCATCGCACAGATGTTCGACGACGGCGAGGCATCAGAGTACAAGGCCTTCCAGTTGAGCGACTGGTTCGCGCACACCCCGCGCGACATCTTGCGCAAGAACTTCAAGGTGCCAGAGTCGACGCTCGAGAAGATCCCGACGCGTGAGAAGTTCATCTTCCGCTCGATCCTATCGAAGAAGAGCACAGCGGAAGAGACGCAGCCAGGCAGCAAGCCGACTGCGCGCCGCATGACGCACAGGATGCTCGCACAGCAGCCGATCAAGACCGCTGGCGGGGAGGTGCGCATCACAGACAGTAGCATCTGGAGCATCACCACGGTCAGCGCTGCGCACGTCATCATCTACCCTCACGCACTGCGGGAAATGCACTGGCACCCGTACGCAGACGAGGTGCGCGTACTCTTCTTGATTTTGTCGTGTTGGTGAGTGACTGACAGGCTTGCGCTGCAGTGGTCCATGTTCATCCGCGGGAAGGCCATGGTCACGATTTTCACGGTGCAAGCGACGCGCACATACAACTTCCAGGAGGGCGACATCATGATCGTCCCACGCAACTGCGGGCACTACATCGAGAACATTGGCGACGAGCCGATCGAGATGCTCGAGATCTTCAAGTCGCCCAAGTACGTGGCCCCGTCTTTCTCCCGGCTGCTCTGGTGCGCTTACACGTCTTGACACAGGTTCCAGGAGTTCTCGTTGAACCAGTGGCTTGCGGTGACACCCGACTTCATTGTGAAGGAATCCCTGAGCGTTGGCGACGAGTTCATCCAAACGCTGGACAAGGGTCACACGCCCATCCGCGACGCGTCCATGCCGTGAGCGTTCGCCCGTCCATGTGCAAGAGTGGATGAACGGTTGAACGAACCGCGGATGCACAGGAGCTCAGGAGGCATGGAGGTGTTGCGAGGGTTCGTGCAGACGATGCGAGACGCGCTGGCGATTGGCGGTAAGTGAGGCGCTATGCAAGTGGATCAGATGGCCTCATTGCTCAAGATATTGTACTATATTGATTTTCTGTATATCGCTAGTGGTTGTATCACCTAGTGGTTGACCCTGGCGTCTCATAAACCTGCGATTTTGTCCATGACACGAGATCTTGTCTCTGGGCCCCGAGCGAGGTTGAGAGTTCCAACAATCGATGTCTGAGACCAACGCACACCTATGAAAGACGCGACGTGAATTGTACACGACGGCGTGTCCGCAAGCTGCAGGATAGCTTAGACCGTCTTCTCGTACAGCATGCGTAATGTAAGACATGGTGAGACATGAGTAATCACGGGCATCATGCACCGCGAACAAGACTTTAGAGACCCACAAGCAGACTCACCCGTCTTCGGATTCGGCGTCAGTGAGCCCAACTCCTGCGACACTCACAGACTCACTTGAGAACTTCGTGAGGAAATTCCTCAGCCATGTTATGGCTTGCTCCAAGCACTTTAAGGGAACAAGTTGCTTTCCAACCTTGACCAGGACTTTGTCAGGACCATCGCAAGTGCAAGCAAGTCCAGATGCTAAAGCTGGTGTTCGCCTGCGTACTCAAGTTTGTTGATGGCTCGGGCATGGGGGAAGCAACAAATGTTAGGTTGCATGAGAGATTTTACCTCAGGTATTTTGCCCAGAGTCTGTACCAGGCCTAACCCCTCCGAGTTGCGCAAGCAATTGCCATTCCCTATCAGTGCGCCAATTGGGCGCAGTTTTGCCAACAACAGTAATGATATCTCACTAATGATGACATGAGTCATCCAGCGGCGCCTCATTGATTTGCGCTCAAATGGACGCTGATATGCCTTTCAAGCGACAGTGTCTGCGAGTATAAAGGGTAGTGGGTACGCATAATCTATCTCTCCCATCCTCTCTTGTTTCCAGGTCACAAAGTACCCAAGCTATGAACATGGCCCATAACAATAACGTGGTGAATGCCCCCGCGCCGGGCATCGGGTACTTCACGCCAGCGCAGAATCCTCCGGCGGGTACCGCCCTCGACCCCCAGCCAGATGGCAAGCCCATCCCGAAGCTCTTCCAGCCGCTGAAGATCCGCGGCGTCGAGTTCCAGAACCGCATCTGGGTCAGTGGGGCTAATCCCAATGCATCAGCTCGATCGCGATCTAACTACCTTCATGTGTAGCTTTCTCCTCTTTGCCAGTACTCTGCTGAGGACGGCAAGGTGACTGCATGGCAGCTCGCCCACTGTGAGTGAAGCATTGCAGGTATGCCATCTCGTTAGCGTACTCATATTCTTGCAGTGGGCGGCATCTTCACCCGTGGCCCCGGTCTTTCCGTCGTCGAGGCGACCGCCGTCGTTCCTGAGGGTCGTATCACCCCTCAGGACGCAGGCATCTGGTCCGACGAGCACATCGAGCCTTGGCGCAAGATTGTTGAGTTTGCGCACTCGCAAGGCCAGAAGATTGGCATCCAGCTCGCCCATGCTGGCCGTAAGGCTTCCACTGTCGCCCCTTGGCTCGACTTTCACCTATCCGCGCCCGAGATCGACGGCGGCTGGCCAAATGACGTCTATGGCCCCAGCGCGCTCGCCTACGATGAGAATTTCGCGCAGCCGAAGGAGCTCACCAAAGCGGACATCAACCGTGTCGTGCGAGCGTTCGCAGACGGCGCGAGGCGTTCCCTCCGTGCCGGTTTCGACGTGATCGAGATCCACTCTGCACACGGATACCTCCTGAGCGAGTTCCTCGCGCCCTCGGCGAACAAGCGCACGGACGAGTACGGCGGCAGCTTCGAGAACCGCATACGTGTGCTTGTCGAGGTTGTTGATGCCATCCGCGCTGTAATCCCGCCCACCATGCCTTTGTTCGTTCGGTAAGGTTCCTCAACCCACTTTCTTTCTCCCGACTTCGCTAACTCGTGCTATGCTACGCAGACTCACTGCAGCTGACTGGTTACATGCCGTGCTGCCCAACGAGTCGTGGACTGTGGAGGACACAGTGCGCCTCACGCCCATTCTCGCAGAGCACGGCGTAGATGTGCTCGACGTGTCGAGTGGCGGCATAGACCCCCGCCAACAGTTTTCATTGGCGGCCCTCCTCGACCATGACGATAAGGAGCGCAAGACGGCGGGCCTCTTTCAGGTGCCGCTCGCGCGCGCTGTGAAGCAGGCGCACGGCTCGAAGATCTTCGTCAGTGCCGTCGGGGGTATCACCAATGGTCATCTCGCCCAGGCCGTTCTCGACGAGGTGAGTCTGTTGCTTGGTCAAGGGCGTGTTGAAATGACTGACACGCTGATCTGGCAGGACTCGGCAGACGTGGTCTTCGTTGGTCGCTTTTTCCAGAAGAACCCTGGCCTTGTCTGGTCATTCGCAGAAGACCTGGGCGTGGCGATCAGACAGGCGCGGCAGATCGAGTGGGGCTTCACTGGGCGCGCTGTTGGACAGAAGGCCACCACTTCTACAAAGGCGTGAAATCTCTATTTCGCGGTACGTAATAGACAGAAATTTACTAGAACGATTGGTCATTGTATACCTGGGGGATCGAATGATAGTGTTGTGTTCCGAGCGACTATACTCACACTATGGTGGCAAAAGTGCACACGATATAGGATACCTAGCTGAAACTGCATCGACGGTCACCAGAGTGGTGGGGAAGCCGTGCCGATATTCGTGTAAGTTCTGAGAGTCAAGGTAACAGTCAAGCTTTGCGTCAGTCCGTCGATATGGCTCGCCTGACGATACCCCCGCTGGATAACGCGACACTCAGTCAATGAGACATGGTATTAGTCCGATGTTGTGACCCGCCTGCTAAGTACGCGTAAGACGATGCCTCCATGGAATAATGGGGCTGCATTGAGGTATACGCAAGTAGTACGTACCATATTCTTCTTCGTCCCCCCTACCTGTCTTCGGAACCAGAGGTCTCGCGACAGATTGTTATATTGAATGACTAGTACAACGCGTGACAGCGAACACGGATACTCTCTCCGCAGCGAGTGTCAAAGTTTTCTACTACGGTGGCCATCGCCTATTCAACATAGGAATGACAGGCCGGAGATACTATCACGAGGAGAGCGAAGTGCTGGGATTGCAACTGATTAGTACGACCTGGAGGTGCAAACCGCAGATATATGCATCGTTCATGAACGGAATGTTTCCAGCAATAAATACACATTAACACAAAAACGATTAGCTTCAATCCACATTGTCTTGAACGCGTTGAACATTTTTGCAGCTTGCAGAGCTACTTATTACGCTAAGTCTGACGAGCAGAGGATTTTGCGCTGTGGTGGTACGCTTGATCAATGTGTGCTTCCAGTAACCACGATTTATAATGGAAGCTCCATGAGCCTGTCTGTTCTGATCATGGACTCCGACTTTATTGTTGTAAAACTCGCAGGAGAGAACTCAGAATAACTACCCGGTGGTATTGCATTTGGTCCAAATACTACATCAAAAAGACCTCACGAAAAGGTCAAGGATGTCCAAAAATTCACATCCATGGCGCATCACGAGACGATCAGCGTGCAACCTCCGCGAAGGGTACGCCCAAAGGTCCGTGGTGGCCATACTCCTGTGGCAGAATGGGTCTGATTACTCCTCTCCCTCCTCTCTTACAACACCCAATGTGAGCGTAAGCATGGAGAGCAGCTCGCTCTCGCTCTGGAAAAACCCCTGGTACAGCCGCAAAGGCGGCTGCCCGCATATGCGGCTGTACGGCTTTCATATTGAGAGTAGATTGTCGAAGTCGACCAATCTGTTCATTGCTATGCAACATCGCTTTCTATGAGAGCACGTTTTGCGGAGGCAACACCAGCGTTGCTAGTAGGATCTCAGGCAGTGTGCCAATCCACTAGAGTCTGGGTTTGCGCATTGCCTCGCGCACTGTAGGGGTTTCTCAGCTCATGGGTCGCGTAAGGTACTACCCTATGGATCTGGATGGGCTAGATCGTTGCCGATAAGGAGAATGAGACAGACCTACTCTGTTGAGCAGCAAATACGTCGGCTACCCAAGCAAGGAGGCCCGCCGGCTGCCGCACCCAGGATGATGGTGGCGGGCAGGATGAAGACGAAAGATGAAGTGGGCGACCACATGTCATCCGATAGGCTGCGATTCCCAGCACGTTCAAACTCGCACCCACCGGTTCCGGGTCAAGACCTTTTAGCCATAAACATATCCACTATTTAATGTTCAGCAGCACTTCACTACAGTCGTTTTCCAAAACCAGCGCCAGGCCAGGCGACTCTGGATGCTAAAGGAACAGTATGATAATGGCACTTTCTTATAATTACGGAATACCTGGTGTCGCATAAACAGATACGCCGTATAGCCCAAGCCAAGAAAGACCTGCAAAACAGTGGTTCCAGACAACATTAGTAACTCAACACATCCACGCAACAGGTCACCGTACTACAGCCCCCAAGACTCCGCCTCCTGCTCAAATAGCCTTCCCCACCGGACGGCCTGAAATCCAGTAATGATGTCGTACTCTTTGAGCAATGCCCCAATCTGCTTATCTCCTTCGTCCATTTCGAGTTCCTCATCGGCACCTTCAACTTGTGCGTTACGAGTGGTCAAGAGGATAACCCTGCTGCCTGAGTCGACTTTGAAGGAATACGCATGAGACTTTGGGCCCAAAGCATAGCCTTTCCTCATGAAAATGTTCATCACGCCGGTGTAGACATATGCTATCCACAGGTTGTCCCCGTCATCTGAGGGTCCATGTCCTCCAATCCCGGGAGAGTGCGTGCAAAGGTATGCAAGTCATCATATTTGACTATCCAGCCTCGTATTGTCCAGCTCGGAGACATTGTTTCAGCAAGTCCTATCCGGGGATCAAGTATGGCACCAAGAAAATAAGCAGCAAGAATACTCACAGGCAACAGCCACAGATGTCGATGCTTACACTCAAATGGCGAACTTAAATCACCCTCGTAAACTGGCGTTCTAGAGAGGTGATTTGAATGTGGGATATATTTCAGAAGGAATGGCGCTTAATGCGACAACTTACGGCGGCTAGATGAAAGGAGTGTTCTGGATTGTTGTTGTAACCGGGAGAGGTGCTCAAAATTTGCGTTGGGCGAAAGCTATAGCGTGATGTATGTGTGTTTATATGCGCTACTGTGGCAGACGCTGATAGGATCACCGTGAACGGTTCAACATTGTGTCTGAAGCGTCAGTGCTGATGCAGAAACAACCGTTGGCTTCGAACCTGCAAACGGATCCTCGTATATATTCCCACGCCGAGCAGCACTTGAGTTGGTCGAGCGCCCAGCGCACAATTTCTTCTCGACCACCACGGCAGCAGACCATGGCCACGACGCTTGCCCCGCACAGGACGTCCTCGTCCTTTTTCGCGAGCAGGATGATATCTGGGACTTTTACTCTACAGTGATGCCCTTAACAGGACCTGGAAGCTAAACGCCCGCCGAGCTCTGCTCGGAACACGTAGAGTGGGCAATTCGCCAACCTCCAAGCACGCTCGCACACCTCTTTACCGGTGTTACGCTGTTGTTTTTCTCGATGGCAGGAAGCTGGCTCACTTCTGTTGTAGCCGTCCACCGAGACCGATTGACAAACTCAGGAGGCTGGTATGTGCAGTCTGTGATGCTCGAGCGCGGCGTTGGCAATTGGCCAGCCTTTTGGCTGACCTGGCCGTATGCCGTGTGTCATTGCGACTGTGTAGCGTCAGTACTCCATAAGTGCATCGGGCCCTCTGTCATCCAACGGAGGCGATGATGTACTTGCAGCATAGCCGTCTTCTGAGGCCCAGAAGGCGGCTGGAAATCGCACAGCGTGTAATAGCGTCGCGTACTGCCCTTCAGCATCCAAGTCTCCGCCGCGTGTGGCAACGCAAATGGAGCATAAGTCTTCGACGCGTGTAACAGCGCAAGTGGAGCGTAACCCCAAAACCCAGCGGCCAGAGCCTTCCGAGCGCATGCCAATGCAATCGGGGCTTAGGCGTCGTGTGTCGCGCGGCGCCAGTGCCGCACAATTCAACCCCCTGCAACCCCAAGTCTCCTCTGCGTGTGACGACGTAAAGGAGCAAAACCCAAACCCAGTGGCCAGAGCCTTGCGTGCGCATAGCGTGCTCAGGGCTCAGGCGTCGCGTGTCGCGCGATGTCAGTGCTGCGCAATAAAACCCCTTCCAACCCAAGCCTTCGCTGCGTGTGACGACGCAATGGAGCATCTCTTGTGCACCCGCCGGAGCCTTCGACGTGCGTGATAGCGCGATCGGAGCACGGCACAAAAACTTGGCCCCCTACCTGCGCCGCTATGCGGCAGGGTGACATCTATGGCAACCCCGTCTTGCGCAGAAATGCGACGAGACACAAACATTCGAACCTCGAGCTACCCGTAAAGGGTGACTCAACACCACATATGCCCGTAGGTTGCTTGAGCCGGCGCGCAGGGCGTGGTGACGCATAACTATGGAATGGTTTCACGTGTGGACGGCGACGTACGAGGGGAGATGAGTGTGCTGACGAGGTCTCGGTGCCTTGTCCTTCAGTGTTTTTCGTGGCGCACGCTGGGCCACGAGCCTTCGTCGGCTCGTGCGCCTGCGTATCAGCCAGCCCAGATATTTCTTGGTCTGCTGCCAATATCTCAATTTTTGGAAACTACTTCCGTCTCTTCGTGAGGCTAGTCCCGATTCTAGTTGTGTAATCTGGTGCGGTATGTCCATATCCTCATACAAAAGCTGTTAAGCTATGGCCAGCTATTGTGCATGTGTTCGCATGCTGATTAGACGTGTCGTTCGCATCGCAATCTCTGGAGCTGTTGCATATAGGTAATACATTGATATTCTCTTATACCTATGGGACAATATCACATAGAATTGAACCGCTCAAAATTTGATTTCTGCGAGCCGCCATAGTAGAACTAATATACATGAGATGAACAATTGGGATGACGGCGCGTGAAGTTGCGCCGATATCCGTGCAAATACTGGAAGTCAAGATAGAGCCCGTTGAGGGCTAGTGAAGCGTCGCCTAAGTTTGATGATAAAATTCGCCTAACGATATACGTGCTAGACAACGCGTCCCCATGGGATGATGCTGTCGCATTGAAGTGTATGCAAGTAGTATGTGCCAGATTCCCCTTCGACGTCTCTGCCTCGTTCCGGCGCAACGAGAGCTGTCTGGATTTTGAGCACAAAGCCATTCGGCGGCGAGCAGGGCTATACACGCACCGTCCAGATCTATCGAATCTTTGTACTCTGGTGACTGCAGGGCCGCCAGAACGCGCATCCCAGAGTTGCGCGAAATCGCTTCGAGTGTCTTGCGCTGCTCGACGGTGTTTACCCGCCACCACCACATGGATCCGTGGTAATTGTCCTCATACAAGTTGCATGTCCCGATGCCCAGAGATATATAACGAATGCTCGCGACTTTGCTCGCTAGGAGCGTAAGCGAACGCAGCAGGTCACGAACATCCCAGAACTGATACGTCTCGTCCTCCACAATGATCTTCATGCAGACTAGGGGCAGCTCAGCATTTGCATCAGAGAAGAGATCCTGGGGGCGCTTCCATCAGTGACTTATGTGGACTCAACCTCTGACGGTGACCAACCAGCCAAGACCGAAAGTCGTCGGATGATGTCACGGTGTATCGGCAGACGAGTTCGAGGCCCCGTAGGCTCTCCAGGGAGAAAGGGCCACGAAGCAAAGTGGGCCAGAAATCTTCGTTGCTTCTGGATGCCTTCAGAGTGAGAAACACTGGAGTTGTGGCCCTCAAAGTACTCCACAGACTACTGTGGACGCTGTGATCCCAAATTTGCAGCTGCAGGTGCCGTACAGGACAGGATATATCGATATTATGGAGATTCTCGAATACAACCCGAACGTAGTCGAGGCTCGACCAGCGGGAGTTGGGATGGGATGGTCCTGTCAGGCCTACTTCATGGAGCACCAGTGTGCGTATATTGGGGAACGCCTGCTGTATGATCTGTAGTTGCCCATAGACACAGATAAGGGTGAGGTCGTGTACCCCAAGCCATTGCCGCTGAGGGTCGATCTGAACAGGAGGGTCCATGTCGAGGATAGACAATTCGAGAGACTGTACGGTTTGCACAGGAGTGACCCTGCTGAAGAATCTGTGGAAGTGAATCTGGTGTACGTCAGGACCGAGTTCGAGCTTTCGTAGAGGGGCTGCGGATTTCTTAATAATGTCAAGTGTGAGTTCTCTAACACTAGTGAGCTTTAGCTCCTCCAGGTTTCGGAGGGCCGCCAAGGCATCTATCATCTCCTGTTTACTGCATGCTATGCGTTCGGCAGAGTTCAGCGACAAAAAGCTGATGTTCAATGCGTGTCGGAAGAAAGCGACGAGGAGGTCGAGATCCCATTCGCGAAGCGACATACCACCAGCCCCTGAATATGGGGCATCAAGTGTCAGGCGACGTAGCCAGTGTAAACGACCGGGTATATCTTCCAGCATGTACTTGCAGAACCTTGCACATACGCCCGGATCACTGAACACGGCCTCGGATAGGGCGCGCCGCTTCGCAGGGATATGGAATTTCCTGCAGACAGCTGATAGGTCGCGAGCGTCCTCGGGAGCAACGAATGATACGATAAGGAACACGACGTCGTCGTTCAAGGTCTGCATGAGATGTTCCGATTCTGATCCTAGGTAATCAGCCTTGAGACTGAGCCGCTGTTGAGCGAACTCACCTCCGCCAGAATGCTACTATGTTGGTTCGGTTTGCGGTGTGCAGTAGATCAAATCAAGATCGGGCGTCCTCCCGAGTCTGTAGCCCGGGTTGACCACGAGCACTGCAGCAATTGCAGCCACTACACCTATGATGGCAGCTTGCGATCAAACAAGTTTACAGGAGGCTGCCAGGGCGTTCCGAGTGACTCGATATGTGCTTACTCGATACGAAGCCAGGCTCAACTGAACTCGCCACTTGTGGTTTCGATTTACTAGATGGGTGAATCACGATGCTTCCCGCAGGCAGAAGTCTCAGATTTGGAGCCGGTGGCGACAGAGTGAAGGGCGAAAGCCCGAGCCGCTCATGATTCAGACGTATCAGCGGCTCGGCTAGTAGTTCCGACTCTGACATGCGAACATGCCATTATCAGCAGGTCCATTTAAAATTATCGCTTACAGCAAACCCGACAACAATAGTAGACCTTCCTCGCAAATGTTACAGATAGTGCGGCATGGCGCATAGCAGCGCTCGGGACGATGTGTATGCAACGACTTCGTTTGAGCAGGATGGATACATCGTCTGTTACGTCGGACCATAACGGCAGGAACACGAGAGAGTTACAGGCTTACAACAGATTCGCGGCCCTCTAGCCGCCGTCTCTGCACCCCTGCCGCGGGCTTTTGCTCCATCTGCGAACGCCGAAGGGAGAGCGGGAACTTTGAATCGGCCTAATGAATGCAGATAACCTACGAGCAGCAAGAAATCAAGCGTGACCTTGCCCCCATAATACAGATTGATGAACGAACGTTCAGAGAGACCTACAGCCACCATTCTCGTAACTCACGAGCCTTCCATATTGATATTGAAAGGCGCGCACGTCTGTACACACACATCCAGCGGGGACAGTCGATCCCCATCACTTACGCGCAGCAATGACCTCATTGAGCCTGAAACTTGCGGCAATCCGCCCTCAGTATGCAATACCTGGTACAACCCACACATCCGATGAGTCTATTATGCAACATTCGAAATACAGCAAAAATCTATCGGCAAAACTATAGCGTCTCAGCAAAGCAGGAGGGAACATCCGTCGCGTAGCACAAGTCCACGCGGCCTATGCCTTCGTCGCGCTCACAGGCTTGCGGCCGAGCCCGCCCCGGCCAATGAAGCCCCACTCGATCTGGTGCGCCTGCGTGATCGTCACGCCGAGGTCCTCCGCGAACGTCCACACGAGGCCCGGGTTCTTCTGGAAGTGGCGGCCGACGAAGATCACGTCCGCCGAGCCCTGAGGAGCGGGAGCAAAACGTCAGTAAACGGGTCGAGGGCCGTTGATGGCATCAGGATGAACGCACCTCCTCGAGAACGGCCTCGGCAAGGTGGCCGTTGACGATGCCGCCGACGGCGCCGACGAGGATCTGCGACCCGTGCGCCTTCTTGACGGCGCGCGAGAGCGGCACCTGCAGGAGGCCCGCCGTCTTGCGCTCGTTGTCGTCGCTGTTGATGAACGGCGCGAGCTTGAACTGCTGGCGCGGGTCGATGCCGCCGGAGGACACGTCGAGCAGGTCGACGCCGTGCTCGGCGAGGATCGGCGCGAGGCGCACGGTGTCGTCAGGGGTCCACGACTCGTTGGGGACCACGCTGTGGAGCCAGTCGGCCGCAGAGATACTGGGTTGGAGATAGAGTGAGCAGGGGCACGGGTAGCGGGAAAGGCGAGACTTACCGGACGAAGAGCGGCGTCGTGGACGGGATAATGGCGCGGATGGCGTCGACGACCTCGATGAGCAGGCGGATGCGGTTCTCGAAGCTGCCGCCGTACTCGTCCGTGCGCTTGTTGACCGAGGGCGCGAGGAACTCGCTCAGGAGGTATCCGTGTGCAGAGTGGATCTCGATCACGTCGAACCCAGCGCGGAGGGAACGCCTCGCACCGTCTGCGAACGCCCGCACGACACGCTTGATGTCCGCCTTGCTGAGCTCCTTCGGCTGCGGGAAATTCTCATTGTAGGGGAGCGTGCTGGGGCCGTAGACGTCGTTTGGCCAGCCGCCGTCAATCTCGGGCGCGGACAGGCCAAAGTTGAGCCAGGGGGCGACAGTGGAGGCCTTGCGGCCGGCATGGGCGAGCTGGATGGCGACCTTTTGGCCCTGCGAGTGCGCGAACTCAATGATCTTGCGCCAGGGCTCGATGTGCTCGTCGGACCAGATGCCTGCGTCCTGAGGGGTAATACGACCCTCAGGAACGACGGCGGTCGCTTCGACGACGGTAAGACCAGGACCACGGGTGAAGATGCCGCCCACTGCATGAAGATAAGTACGCTAACGAGATGGTAGAGTTGTGATGCTCTACTCACAGTGAGCGAATTGCCATGCGGTCACCTTGCCGTCTTCAGAGGAGTATTGGCACAGAGGAGAAAGCTAAACATAGGAGTAGTTAGATCGCGATCGAGCCAATGCATTGAGTTAAGCTCCGCTTACCCAGATGCGGTTTTGGAACTCGACGCCGCGGATCTTCAGCGGCTGGAAGACCTTCGGGATGGGCTTGCCATCTGGCTGGGGGTCGAGAGCGGTACCTGCAGGCGGGTTCTGCGCCGGTTGGAAGTACGGGATGCCCGGAGCAGGCACATTCACAACATTGTTAACGTGGGCCATTGCAGGAGTATGAGGGAGTAATGGGATGGGAAAATGTGGGCGGTGTGGGGAGATGGCGCACAACCGCGACCTTTTATAGCCGCGACCATCGTCCTTTCGGATTTCGAGAGTAAAATGGAGGCCAATTACTAAGGCAGAAGTGAAGAAGGTTGAATAGATTTAACGGGATTAGCAAGACGGTGGGGGAACGTTCTCGATTGCGGATAGAGAAAAGGCTTGGGTAAGGTTGCAATTTGCAGAGCTTGAAGGGGAATCGCAGAGGGTGACAAAGCCAAGACAGACGCAGACACACTCGCAGAAACTCAGTCTCGACCAAGCCAAGTGCCGCAGTGGAAGGAGGAGAGACCCGGGCTTACCAATCATGGCAACTCGTCGTCCGGCCCTGCCGGTTACAGCCCTACCGGTGACTTCCTCTTTAGGACATATCTCCGGATGACGTAACGCGGAGGCATCAGCATCTCAGGAAGCAAAACAAATCTGCTAAAAACGCTTGTTGAAACGTTGAATGTCGGGACACGCGAAAGTTGAGGATAATGATCACGGAATCTGAAGCAATAACCTGCGGTCAGTGACACCGATCTGACGTCCTCATCAGTCGATCCGAAGAAGCTGCCTTTCAAGTTTCTCCCGACTCGGAGTTAGCAATACGCTGCCGCTACGCATGGGGTGGCACATCGACTCCGTCTCGACTCTATGCATGTCATTATGTTAGACGCTCCTCAAATTTTCATTACTCCTGGATCACGCATGTGCATATTCATATGTGTTAGCCCCGCATGGTTGGATTTTTTGCCAATCAAACGACGTGCAGGAAGGAAGTACTTCATCAAGAAATAAAATTCAAGCTGAACCCGCATGACGCAGTGTTCTTCACGATCTGTGCGGCCGTAAACGCTCTGAGGCCCCATGGGGCAAAGGTCAGCATCTGATGACAGTCAATCCGACGGCAAGTGTCTCATCTCCTTATGGACATGTGTCGTTAGCAACGTGAAAGATGCTACACAGCTGGATGCTCCTTCGAATTTACAGTTCATTCAGTCAGTCTCACATGGCCTACGGTCTAAAACTGTGCAAGCACACGAGGAGAACACATTGCCTGAGCAGAATCAGATGAACAGGCACTCCGAATATTCAATTGAGGCTCACCACCCGTATTGCAAATTCAAAACCACGTTATGGCACTAGGTTATGAGTCGAGGGTCGGCTAAGCTTCGCGCTAAGGTCTGGGGCGAGGTCGGTAAGAGTTTGAGCATATGTTGTCCACGACGGGGATCTAGATCCCCCAACTTTTAGCACAGGCTAACAAAGATCCGGCCTAACTCGAGGTCGGCGAAAATCACGTATGATATCAAGGCCTGTCAAAGCCTAAATATGTCGACGGAGATCTGTGTACATCATTTTGCTCTGTCTAAGCTTACCCGAGAAGATAGCTGTGTAACATCGCGATCTTGATCCCTGTCGAATTACCTCGTAGGTGATTGACCACGGGGATGCCGTCTCGATGGAGAGCGTTGACTGGAAAGGTCGGGAAATACCAAGCACTCGGCCCACAAGGTCTCCAATGTGGTCCTGTCTTCCGCCTACGAAGCAGATCTTCGTGAACGGGATATCCCATGTAGGCATCCCGCATGTCCTAGATAAGAGAATGCCCGGTCTTCCGGTGGCGCATCCGGAGGTCATGTTCCTAAGCCCACATGCGCTTGCGCTCCAGGTATCTGACAGCCAGTTAGCCTCCATTCTTACGACTTACGTCTGGCGTACATGCGCTCGCTGGATGTGCCTGCTTTAGCTCGAAACACCACCGGCGTGCTCAGCTACAGTATGTGGTCAGTGACAGCCAACCCGGAAGTCGAATACGGCGAACACATGCGTACTGCGCCTTCCATAACATGAAAATTGATGCATGGAACATAGATGATCCCGTGCACGCTCAATACGCACAGTTGAGGAACTCTGCGAAGAACTGCGCGCATAGATTCCCCTCGGCAGGCGGCCTTAGCTCGACAACGGCCTGTGCAAATGCCTTTCCCTCATACCTTCTCACGCACTCACACCCAGCACAAGGCGTGAGTGTCACCGTTGTTTCTGCTGTGGCATAGCCGACGCCGCACACAGATGAACTACGCACAGCAGTCGCTCAACTCAACCAGATCCACTACTCACAGAGCAACATCGGCGACCGCTTCACCAATGGCCGCCTCCTCGAAAACGACATCCGCGAGTTCCGGCAGATCGGGAACTTTGCACAACGCCGCGCCGCGATCCTCGCGCGATACCCGCCCCGATCCGTGTGGTGCTCGTGAGCGCGCGCGTCGGGCGCGAGGTGTGGGAGGACCAATGGGTCATGCTGGATCACCGGCGGCTGTACGTGATGAACCGCATGCTCCCGCCAGAGACCGAGATCCCATGCGTCGTCCCCGAACCGCGGGGCGACGACGTTCTGACGGACGATGTAGGGCAGGAGCTGTGTCGAAAGGCCACGACGCCGAACGGTGGAGTGTATATATACCGGCGCGGCCACCATGATGAAGCGGTACGTACCGGGGGTTCCATCTAGGTGCTTTTCGAGCCTGACTGCTTGTGGCAGGAGTTGTGATGCTTTGTGGCGTCAACGCGTACGAGATGCTGTCATCTCACGTTCCTTGCTATGCGTCTGCCTGATCGATGCGGCTTGTATTAAATCAAGGTCCCAGTCCGCCGTAATGACCAATGTATTCGCACCTCTGCGGGACTTGTCTCCATTCAGCACTTTCAGCTGCTCGTCCATTTATTAATACTATTTTGCTGATCTATGTTACGGACACATCTTAATTGATATGGGTATGTCGAATTCTCTTGCGCTACGGATGAGATGTGTTGTGACTCGTGCGCATATGATAGGAGTATCACATATTCATCAAGAGTCTCCGACTCGGCGAATCTCAACGAGTACGTGATACGGGAACACAGGGTCCTTGCGCCGGTCTGTGCCGGTCCTCAATTTTCTTCTCAGCAGGTGGAGTGTGTGGATACCAAGTCGATAGCACATCGTGTCGAGACAGAGTTACTGGAGTGGCGGAAGGAGTGGAGGGCACAGGTCGAAAAGCTACGGAGATAGTTGCAATAGCAGACCGTGACGCCAGAGTCATCAGTCTCGCGGAGCGCATTGAAGAGCCGGGGAAATGAACGCGCTGCTGCCAGGAAGAGGTGCTGGTGAGCCCACCCACCTCACAGTATAGAAGACTCACGCGTGAGGACGACGGACATGAGAGACGAGCAAAGCAAATGGTGCGGTAGATACTGTGCGGTTCTAACCACACAGGTTGTGTTGCAGGCCAACGCAGAGAAATAGTCTAGGAGTTATATATATAGAGCGCCCTGATCTGTGGGATCTCCAGATCTTTTTGTGGGTGATGGGCATGGTTCGTCAGGGACAATCCCTGAGCTTACCGAGGGAATGTTCCCTCTGAACCGCAGAGTATGGTCCTGCAACACTGTCGCAAACTCGAGGCACACGATATATGAAAGCAGGGGACATGTTACAGCACGATAAGGACATTCGGAGCGGGTCTAAGGGAATTGATCGCTTAGTAAGCAAGATCAAATCAGAGATGTGGTCACAAACGTAAGATCATTCACTTCTCTCTAAGTAAAGTCTAACATTCACGACGGGGAAGCCTGCAGACTTTAATTTTTGAAAGTATTCTGATACGCGTCACTGCCGATTGAGATATGAGAAGAGCTTATGTTAAACTGGGGTGAACAATCAGGTATATGACTTTCAGCCCTTCTTCGCAAACGGGCTGCTTTCATTCTGTAAGCTGTGATTCGTGAGTGTCCTATCCGTATGTCCCGCTCACAAAGCTCGGTGAATCTATCTCAATGAACTCGTAGTATTTGCGGTGCGTATCCGTCCATCCCAGCAACCTTCGCCTGCCCTGATCGATCCGGACAATGATACCGGCTTGTTTATAGCCATTGGGCAAGTTTTGAATTGCCTTTGCATCAGTATCTGGCTCTCCGAGCTTAACGGAGTTGATTGGTAAGCCGTAGGCATTTTTCCAACGCTTATACTGACGTGTGCGCGCTGCCGGCGGCATAGGGCTCCGATTGGTACAAAACACGCAGAAGAACTTCACAATGGATCCCTCAGTACCCAGTCTCTGCCCACCACACTATGGCGACCTCCACCTGGCTCATCACAGGGTAAGCTGTGGTCGTCCACGATTTTGATCTCCCCTGCGAGAATCTGAGTACTTTCACGTTGTAGCTCTTCACGCGGACTTGGTCTCGAGCTCGTACGGCAGCTGACCAGGTCTCCTGCCAATCTCGTCATTGCGACGTGTCGCAATCCTGCCGAAGCCACCGCGCTGCAGACGCTTAAGAGCGATGCGAAAGGACCGCTTCACATTGTTCCGCTGGACGTCAGCGACTCCGCCTCCATCAGGAGTTCTGTCAGGACGGTCGAGAGTATCCTTGGTGATCAAGGGCTCGACTACCTATATAACAACGCTGCGATCGTGAGCGATATCAACGAGATGCATTTGGGGTATTGCAGAGATATTGACTGGCCTTGTAGAGCCCGGGCCTCGAGGCTGCCTTCGACTTTGAGTACTCAGCCTTGCTTGAAACGCTCAAGATCAATATCGCAGCGCCTGCGCTGATATCGCAGGTGTACCTTCCCCTCGTTGAGAAGAGCAACCGCAAAGTTATCGTTAATGTGTCGACCTCGTTCGGCAGCATCGGGCTCGACGTGGGCCCCCTATGCGCTGCGTACAGTGCTACTAAAGCCGGGCTTAACATGCTGGTACGCCCCATCCATGTCGATTTGCCCAACATGCCGGACAACACCTGACTGGTCTTGGATAGACGTACAAGCAGGCAAAGGCTAAGCCTGGTCTTACCGTGATCACGCTGGATCCCGGGTGGGTCAAGACAGGTAAGGGTAATCTCATTCATTCTGCATGGACACGATCGCTGAAGCCGTTCTGCAGACATGGGAGGACCTAATGCTGCGCTTGAGCCACATCAGAGTGTAGAAGGGCAGCTCAGAGTAGTGACGGGTTTGACGCCGCAGGATTCTGGCAAGTACTTCAATCACGCTGGCGAAATCCTACCGTGGTAATGTACGGCGTGGCTGCCGATATGTACGTGTGCGATTGGCCAATAAAATGATGTTCAGATGGCGACGCCAATCTGTCGTGACAGCTATCCGGACGCTTGTGGTATTACAGACTAAAGACCGGCAGGGAGATTGCGTTCGGAAGTCCGGGAGTGGTGGTGGATACATTGACCTGATGGTTTGCAGGTCCTAAAAATGACATATAACGCAAGTTTCAAGCAACAACACTTTGACATCATCCTTTCGTGTGAGACGGCTTGACCATGACATCATCAACTACTTGGCTGATCAGGAAGTGAGTTGACTCTAAGCTTTCCATGAGCCTGTCACATGCTGAGAGGTATGCGCAGCACTTCGCGAAGAATCAGCCTAGAGCTCGTAAAGCTGCTGGTTGCGTCTTCGGATAACCTGATCATGGCGACCTGGCACAATCCCGACTTAGGCAACAGCGCTGCAATCCCTCCGGAAAAATGCAAAGCGGGATTCGCAATCCAGTCAAAACTCCAGCATGCAGGCAGCTTCAGCCGGTATCTCATCAGCAAGACGGCGTTGAATACGCTGGTGAGTTTTCTAAATCGAGTTTACCGGCAGCGGCGAGCACCCGCTAATGCGAGACGACAGATGTACAAGCAGGCAGGGGCATGGCCTTACATTATCACCATTGCACTCGGCCCCTGATGGAACAAGACTGGTAAGCGGTGAATGAACATCAACAAATTATGTGTAGCACTCATCGTGTTCTCCCTTTCAGACTTGGGTGGCGAGCCGCCGCATTCCCCAAGACGCACGTCTATGACTTGAAACTGGCGTACATGCGCGTGCACCGTGAGGAACGTCTGTTATTACAGGAACGGGCTACTGTCCTGCAGAAATTAATCACGAGCATACAGGAGCAAGAACGTAAGATCACTGGGAAAGAGTGAACTGCGGACGAGCTTGATGAGGAGGAGGCGTTCTATGCCAAGCCATGCTCTTATGAAGTAAGTACATGATTCAGCTGAGGATGGTGTTCAACTATGGCCACCTCATGACCTCTTTACTTTAAAAATTTCTGGCGCAGTGCTTAGATTTAATCCAGAGATTTTCACTTCCAATCAAATACCGGGAGGGAGGGGTGCAACACAGAGATCAATGTTGGATCCGATGTTATATGGCTAGAGTCGTAAAGATGGTGTAAGGAAGGAGCAATATATCGACTCAATCTTTCGCAGCCAGACTCGTTATACACAGTACGTTTCAAACACATAGCACGCATCTATTCAAGCGCCAAGTCTACAGCGCGATAAAACGGATAATTTGGATAGTACTTCCAAGACGCGCGTCGCCTTGATCTCGGCGCCTCGCTTTTCGAAATAGCGTTCGGTAACAAAGCTCCAATGCAATTTACCAACAATCCAGTCCTGCAACCCCTGGACGTAGACTTGAACGTCGGCATCAACAGCCGCGCCACAGGATGGGAAGAGGTCCTTGTTTTCCGTGAAAACATTCATTGTTTGCTTGCATAGATCGCCGGCGTAATCGATCGCGTCTTGCATCCCCAGTCCTTGGGAATTAATAAGGATCGCGATCATCTATGGCGAGTGAGCGAAGCGAATGAAACAAAGCGGGAGAGCGGCGATCCAGGTAGGGACCTACATTGTGAGTGTCTCCACGTGCTTGCTCATTGTTGAAGGAGTAGATATCCTGAAAGCATTAGATGTCAGACTATTTGACGTCGTGCACAGGACGTGATTTACATTGCTCCAGCTAAAACACCAGCACCGTTAGTTGCCCTAATTATCACTGTATAGAGGATAGGAGCACTGACGTCACAAGATCGTTCGCAGATTAGTTGAGTGCTTGGACAATTGGGTCGTCCACGACATACTGGGGAAGTTCGATCCCCATAGCGTATTCGATCAGGTCGAAGGAAGGCCTGCACACGCTTGTGTCCCTTCTCATCTTTAATATATGCGCAAGAGATGATTAGCTCCGGCATGTCATGGTAGGGTTAATAGACTTACGATGATATACGACTCGAGATCTGGAACCGTGCTGCGCTAGCGGTCCCGAGCCTGCTGCCGGACGGCCGCAAAGAAGAACTTCATATTGTCTCTGAAGCGCGTTTGGACGCATGGCTTGGCGTCCTGAGTGAAACGCACCCAAAAGCTGGCGAATTATCAGTAACGACGAATTGCGCACAAAGTTTGTCTGGTATACACTCACTCTATTGACAGCATGCGTGCGCTAGGCCCGTCCTCCAGCTCCTCCAGCTTTTGCTCAGACGAAAACACATCTACAACAGTGCTCGCCAGCTGCTCTGCACCTCCGTCATCGAGGTAGAACAAGAATACGAAAAAGTCACTCGCGACGCGCAGACGCGCAGACGTCGCAATCCGGGTAGCAGTATGTAGCGAGCGTACCCGCGTCGAGCCTACGCACCCCCTCGAGCTGCTCGGGCGACATCTCCGGGCAGTCATTAATCAGCCAGCTGGTAGAGGACTGCGCGGCGTCGCGGTGTGGATTGCAACGGAGGGGAAACTGGCAATACGAAACTAGAGCGGGAAGAATTGTGCACTGAGAGATAGTCTCTGCTATGACCCCCATATTGACGGCTTGTGTCCGAGTCGGTGTAGGGTAATGGGGCTACCCAAGACTCGCCTTGGTGAACATTTATATTTTACATGGACGAGGGATATTGGAGCCACTGGTAGAGTCCCGTTCCTGTATCATCTATAATGGTGACTCCTTTCGGCGGTCTGTGGGGCGTAACATAACGCTAATGGGCGAACACGTCACTCATGATGCATACATACTGGAATGAGTTTGGACTTACTAGAGTGACATGGAGAATTCTTCTCAGTACAGGGCGTCAAGTAGCTTGTGCGCTTCGACAGATTCAGATCGTACAAATTCTGACTTTTCTGGGCTTTCTGTGCGCTTTTGCATCATGGATTGCCCCAAATGACATGTCGACGCGGCGAATACGCCATCCACATGATCCGATGTTGCTTCAGGGACCTCATCAACTGCACGTATGAAGGACGCTGTCTCTTACGAGAACAGAGAGAGCCAGTATGTATGATGTCACAAGTACCTGTAGTGTATTGAGCCTGAGGAATAAGAGAAATGAGTCATTACTAAATGGACATACCTACAGATGACTGGATCCCTCACTGTGAGCATTGACTACCCCATTCTTGGGCTACTTGGGAGAAATATTCTGTTGATAGCGATGTGGCGTTGGCGTTTGTGTTGGCAACACAAACGCCAACGCCACATCGCTATCAAAGAAGAACCCACCGCTGAGAATTGTCACCACCGGTGTGAGCCCGCTAGCGAAAGGCGCCTCAAGCCCCTATAACGCAAGTAGACACACAGAATGAAGTGGCTCGGAATTTTTCTCGATCTAAAAGCTGGCACTTCCGCGGGGGTTTCATGTATTCCGGCAATCCTAATAACGACAGACCTCCCACACTCTGTGACGAAGGTGAGCAAAAAACTGCGGAAAGCCACGACGTGGAAGCTACTGCGGCGACACAGCGTTCTGCGCTACTTCATCGCATAGTGTTCGGATGCTCGTCTTGCATCGCGGTGTGCCAATCTCCTTCGCACACCTATTAGAGCGCTGCCACCCCGTCTACGCGCCTACTTGCGCCTACCACGGCGCCTACACTTACGCCCCAGCGCTTAGCCCGGTTTTTAGGAGCCCAGCACTGTCAACGGCGCAGCTCCTCCTTCCCGGAGGATGCCGTGATGCGCGCACGCGGGAGATGGACGCACCCACGCCGACTAGATCGGATGAAACAGCCTTCGACGAAGATACGCATGCGGACGCGCCGTCGGTGAAGTGCCTGCGGAGTCCATCCGGAGTTTGCGCCTGCGTGAGTTGAAGGAGGTGTATTTCGTTCTGCTCACAGGAGGATACTGCGGAGGACTCAGGAGACGATGCGCGAACCTGAAGATCTGCTCACTTTCAAGCTGGACTGAATCCGTGTAGACCGTACGCGTATTCAGTAGAAGTCAGCCTGTTGTGAATGCGGAGAGTCTATCAATATTGGAATTGCTGTCAAGCGTGCACGCGTGCACACTGGACATATGTCATCAGTAACTCGCAACTCTACGTCAGCCTCACCCGCTGTTTGATGCGGGCTATCTTGGGCGTCTGCAAAGTCAAGCAAAGTCACTTATTAGCGACGACGGCGGGAATGGCTTAGCTTTGGTTGATTGCTATTCGGCACGTCCTCAAGCCCTTCTTCAAGTCGCTGAGCCTTGCCGAACTGGTGCAACTTTGGGTGGATACTGCGCCACACACTCCGACCGGAGAGCGCGAGTGACTACCAGAACGTTGCAAGTTAGGCTGTAATCGTGGACTACGGCTCCATAAAGAACACTATGTTCCTGCGTTTCGACAGGAGATTGTGGTGCCAGACCTGCGCCACCTATGTCAATCAGAACCTTGGGCGCATCTCCTCTTCCTCTACGAGACGCCCCGCACGCGCGCAATTTTTGGTTCCTTCCGCGACGTGCTCTCTTACAGTAGACTGCTCAACGTTGCACACATACTGTGAGAAAGGTTTAGCACAAGTCAATAATCCTCGCCCGATCTTCGCTACTAATCCAACGACGAAAGTCAGGACTAGCACAATCACTTTAGTATCACTGAAACCATGTTTCGCACCACAGTCAGCACCAGATCCCATGTACAACTTTCCGGTCGTGCGGACGTTCTCCTATCTCCTGCATTGTATAGATCTCCAGAGGGCGGAGACAGTCCGATCTTCGTCAACAGGGAATTCAGTCTCCAGATATTTTTGGCGGCTGTCTCCTAATACCACGCACCCCAAGCGTCAGACTAGAACAGATTCCGAGGCTACTATGAAGGCCGGTCCCACAAGGAATGGACGATTTCTTGGCACGGTCAGGTCAAGGCAACAACGGTCCCTGACAGGCGCTCTGAGAATGAATGCAGATCAATGATACATTCCAAATTCCTGAAAATACCAGTGGCCTTAATCCGCAGGTGCGCAATCGCTCTGTTGCAAGGTAGGGATCAGATCGCACAATTTCACAGTGCCCTCGTGCTTGTCGCTCTCATACCAAGCCCCTTCATATCTGCTCTTACTGTCGACACTCAGGCCCCTTTGCGTACGATGTGTATGTGGCGAGGGACATGCTAATGCATCCCAAATACTAGACGCTGCTCATACCTGTACCGCGGTCATACGCCGATCTCGTCCAACCATTGCTCTATCTTTACAAACCCTTCTTGACTGTCCAGAGCGCGGCTGTCCGGCACTACGAGCTTATCCACGGCGGCATCCTTCCAAAGCCTGTTCTCCGACAAGCCGGCGGCATCACCCTCTCCGCATAGAATCGCGCACGGGAACTTTGGCTCGAAGTCGAATTCGCTTAGAGGAGTGGGAAGAAGCATTGCGGAGTTGTGTATGCTAGAGGGGTCAAACGGGGGGGAAGAAAGAGAGGCATTTGACGCAGGGGGGGAGATAAGCAACAGGCCGGACGCGGGATACGACGAGATGTATGTCTGCGCTATGAGTGCACCTGAGCCGCGTGCGATGATGACGGGTGCGAAGGGAATGGACGTGAGGCGAATGTGTGAAGACAGCTCTGAGAGAGACAAGTTAATATCAGTTTTCCGTTCGCATATAAGCAGGCATGAAAAGGCTCGCGCTCAAGGGCTACAAGTTTATAGCTCCAAATGGAGTGCGCCAGAACACGCAGGCGTTTGGAATAGACGAGACGTTGCAGTAGGAGGATCTCGACAACGTACCGCCTTCATAATGCTCCATTAATGCCTGAGAACTCTTTGGTGGCTTTGCTGGTGGCGCCAAGTCTAATTCCAGACACGTAAAGCCCTTCTCTGCAAACATTGAGGCAAATTTCCTCATGCTTTTCATAGGTTTCCATCCGGTAAGTGTAGCGAGATTAGAATTGAGCAAACGGAACTCCAGATTGTAACATCCGCTCACCCATGTTGTGATCCGGAATCCCAGCCACTCGCTGAGACGAAAACGAGCGGGGTGGGAACTTCGCGAGGAGTGTTCGGCGGAGGGGTGCGTAGTATATATGCGGTCGATGAATGGCGAACTGACGTGGCGCCGAGATAGCTGATGCTAAGCGTAATGGACCGAAAGACATTTTGATATCTGAAGAGTCCCATGACCGTTCGTGCAGGAAGGCAATAAATTAGGTATCTCGTTCAGTTCAAGTTATAGGTCCGTGTGTACGTCATTTAGACGCCGAAAGGTGCGAAACCTCAGTTTGGAATAGTACCGCTGACCGACATCACCCGCACATACTGTATGCATTGACGGGAAGATCTCATCGAAGGCTATTCGAGATTGTGTAGCATAAGGCTCGAACCGTGGAAGGATAATAGCACGCAATACACACGAAATATTCCGAGGGCGTAACATTCAATGAGACAACAGTAACAAAGATAAATACGTAGGCGACTTCTACAGTCTAATTTGTCTGAGCCCCGACAGCCTGCACAAGGCATGTGAGCACACGGAAGTAACATACGTAGAAACTGTAGACGTACCAAACGCTTCAGGTGGTCCATGAAGACCTGCAAGCTCACATCGTCTGTGAAAATAGCCTGTCCTGCACCAGCACCGGCAGCTGTGCCGTACATGCTGGTCGACATATGCGTCGTCGATGGGTTCAATTTTGACAACAAGAATCTTGCCTGACTGCCACCCTGATCACAAACAATGTATCGCGGAATCGGGAATCGGTCAACAAGCAAATCCTATATACAGGGCAATCAATGAAGGCTTGAGACAGATGTATTTGCAGAAAACCATACCTGTGCATCCCCAACGGGTCCCTCCAGGACCTCCTTGAAGTTCTCGTAGCCCTCTTGATCTTGGTAACCCGCCTTGCGCCACTGGGCAATCGTCTCTCCATGGAAAATGAGAATGTGGAAGAAAGTATCGAGCAACAGGATGACATCTGGCTTGATGGACACACTGTCCAGCAAGACAGGCTGCGACTGAGTGTCGAACGTGTACGACATGAGTGTCGGCTGTATCATGATGAGCGAGTTATTAACATCTTCCTCGTTCAGAACATGTCTGTCGGGGCGCATGTCAACGAACGCCGCCGGTAAGCTTCAAGAGTAGCACTCACCGGTAGAACGCTGTCTCGTCCGGACTGTTGTTGAACACCTGCAAGAATTGACTTCTCCGCAAGTGGAACATGAATTGCGGGTAGATGCTGAAGTTGTCCGACAGCCGGAAGCTCGCCGGGTCCTCCTTCCGGTAGTCGGCAAACTTCTGGCACAGCCGGATCAGCATGCGGTCCAGCCAGCGCAGCACATCCGGCGAGTCATCAATCTCTGCTTTGAATACCGCGATCCGCGCCATCAACACCGCCGCCGCCTCCTGGTCGAATGACGCCGCGATACTTGGCGAACCTGCCTCGGCAAAGTTGCGCGCAATCGTCGTGACGCGCAGTCGCTGCTGGCCGGACGAGTGCTGGTAGTGCGTCACGAACTGGATAAGTCCCCGCGACCCGGGCTGCAAGGGCTGACCAGCCGGGGTGACAACCTCGAAATACACCGCTTCAGCTGTGCGAGGGGTAATCGCGTTGATTTTCCATGCAGACGTCTGCCCGATACCGATCTCTGTCTCGCCAACACATGCCGACTTCTTGCCCGATGAGATGGCATGACCAATGAGACCAGAAACCTTCAGCTCCTTAGTTGTCTATGGAGATGCAGTAACAGTCGTCAGATATCAAATGACGTCATACATTTACTCAACCTACCTGTACATCAAAGGTTGCATTGAAGCCCATTTCAAGGTGGCCTTGTTCATCCTTGTTGAATATGCGTAGGAAGCTCTGTTTGAAGATGGACGTCGCGAAGGAGTCTGACAGAACAATGACACCGTTTGTCGAATTGGGTAGCGACTTCATTTCCAACAAGCCAACCTGGTCCAGACATCCCGCAAACAGGTCGACGATATGACCGTTGTTCGACACACGCTTTGCAAGACCTTCGTAAAACTAGATACCCGAAATGAGCCCTGAATGCGACTTCGATCCTGTTTCATTGTCCTGACCTTGATCGCGCGCTTGTAATGCTTCGCGCTGTCCCGATCAATATCATGATGCGAACGGATCGGCTCCTTCAACTCGTTGTTAACGACCATGCCAGGCCCCTCGGTCGCGGGTCCACCCGAAAACACCATGATGCGTGCGCCCGTGTTCGGAAATGTCGTCTGTATGCGATGAATACACACGCCTGATGTGTCTCACGCGAAGATTACTCACTTCGAGCAGCCCAACCGCAACACTGACCGCAACACCAGTGCAGCGCAGCGGCCGCTTGTCGTTGGCAACCGGCCACGGGTCTCTAGCAAGCGCCTCGAGGATACCGGTGAGCTGAAACTCGCATTGCGACACTGGCAGGAGGAAGCGAGCAGCACCGAATGTCTGTAACGGTTGGCCGGGACGCGGTGCTGCGCGGTTCTGCGAGCTCAGTCCCAGCATGTCTTGGATATGCTTTGGCGAGTACTCCTTGCCGCCTCGGAACACATATGACTTGCTGCACTCAGCATAGCCTAACTCATGCACTTGTGTCTGTTCACGGTCGATTTCGCATCGAGTTCGCGCGGGAAGACAGCAAGACGCACCATAGTGCCGTATGTGATCAAACCAACCAGAGCAAATGGCGGGATCAGGCTGAGACTGACAACAAGCGCATCACGGAGAGCCTTGAGATCGTCCTCGTCCAGACATGTGTCCACGACAAACAAGAATATCGGGGGAACCTGTGCGGGGCGAGAAAGGGTGTACTCGATTGTGGTGTATTTTGGCAGGAGTTCAGCGGGAAGATTAGTGTTCGAGATATCCTTGTAGTGAGGGGGGAAGGCATTGCGCTGCAGACAGAATGGACAGATCCATAATTTACCGCGGATATCGATCTGACTGGTGGAATGTGTTAGTGACGGCTTCAGACAGGATGACCGGCCATCTGCAGCGGGTGCAACGCAACTGTGAAAGCCCAGCCCCTAGTGATACACTCTGAGCATTCTACAACATCCGCGTCGAGGATTCTTCATTGCCCCGCGCGATGAACCCGCAGCATATACCGCATGAATGATAACATACGTACCAATATGGATTAAGCACCGCGCGGCAAGGAGGTTTGCATGTCACCGGCTCATACAAGACGGGTGGAAGGTCCTCGCGCTGTTTCAACGGAGTGTATAAGGCCGATATCGGCACCACCGTGCGCGTCGCTTCGATCCTGGATGAAGGCCAGACATTCCAAGACAGCCGTACGCCGTCGCGCTCCTCGACATCTTCGAAGTTCAGCATAGTATAGTTATCAAAAGCGAGAACAAGAGGACGCCGAAGGAACAAACAACGAAGGAGATGAGCTATGCGTTCTCAACCCATTATTGAGACTTCGTCACACCGACGTGTCTGTATGCACTTATTTGTGCGCGGTGGCTGAACCGGCGGCATGAAAGGCAGCAACTACTTGGAGTCAAACGAACTACTGCCTCAATCTGTTAGAATTCTACACTTCCAGGACATTCCGCTCTGTAAAAGGTTCACTGAGTCTGAAGCATTAGGTTGACAATGTAGCACGAGCACTCGTCCAGTCGATATGACAGCTCTATAGTCAATATTATCGCGCGACTCCAGGCTTCCCGTGTTTCATGAGAGCCGTTCATTGAGTAGGTCTTTCTGTCGTTACTCCACCTCCTTGCTTCCTATTACGGTCACTTAACTGCCTGAAATAGCTGGAAGCAACGCCCGATGCTCACTCGATGTGATGTCATCAATACAATAAATTCATCATGTGGACGCACATCTTCTGGTGTTCTCTAATTGCCCTGCTTGTGACTGCGACCGTCCCTCAAGGCCCTTTTTTGTTCTCATCGAGCTTCAAAACGATGACATCAGGTCATAACGGTGACCGTCTTGGCTCTGCTGCGCAAGTAAGCGAAATCTATCCGACTGCGCGGTCACTTGCAGTCAGCGCCCTTCGAGTCCGCAGCAGTTTAGAAGTCGCGAGTATCCACTCGTTGCGGGGTGGGCAACGAGCGCTTAGCATGCAAAACGCTATCGCGGGTTCCGGGACCCATCCGCGCTTTCTCCGACTCTATGAAATCCCAGAATGTGACGAGAACCTCTCTGTTCCGACCCTCATCTGGGCCGCACTCAGCCCAAGCTGCTCTGTCAGACGAGCATCACCTCCAAATTCTCGCGCGTCTCGACTAGAACTAGACGAAGAGATTTTGAACATAATTAGCAAATGCAGCCTCAGAGCTTAATGTCGACAATTACGGCCTCGTTCTACGAGCTCCAACTCGTCTATCTTGTCTTAGTCTGCGCATTCTTCCTTTTCTTAGATCGACAGCTCTCGCGACGGAGGCGACACTCCGAGCACAAGTCGAAACCTCAACAAGACATTAGTCTTCTGGGCGATGGTGTTACCAATATCACAACAGGAATGGGCACAGCGGTGTCTAAGTTGACGAGGCAATATCTGACTGTATACGCAATCGTAATGGGTGAGCTCTTGCATGCATGGCGCAAATTCTCAGATAAATCATCTTGTTCAGGCTCGGACTGGCTGCAGGGGCCGTACATTTACTCCCTCTACAGAGAGCAGTTCTCTCTACCGGAGCGGCTTGTTGCTGTGCTATTTGTAACAGGGTTTACGTCTGCAGGGCTTGCTGCTCCACTTGTAGGCGTGTGGGCTGATCAACAGTGAGTGCGTTCATTGCATGCCACATGCGTAGCTGCTGAATGGAATGGTGGTCTGCAGTGGTCGGCGGAGACTATGTCTCACCTTCTGCGTCACGTACACGCTCTCTTGCCTCTCCGTTCTTTTCCCTTACTACCCCATATTACTCCTTGGCCGTTTCCTGGGAGGCATCTCGACGTCGATCTTGTATTCAGCCTTTGAATCATGGCTCATCTCGGCATCGAGCTCACTTGCCCTGTCGCAATCAGACCTGTCGGGAATAATGGGTCAGGCTTCACTGGTGAATGGCATTGTCGCTGCCGTAGCTGGAGTCGCCAGCAACCAGTTGGTGGCGTCGACCGCCTCTTTCACTACACCCTTCATGGCCAGTGTTGCCCTGCTTCTGCTGGCGTGGGTCGTCATCAGAGGAACGTGGAATGAAAACTACGGCAGTGGCGGAGGCGCCGCCGCCGCCACTTCTGATCCACTGCAACTTAAGCGTCTTGGCCAGGCGTTGAAAATTGTTCGAAGCGGTTAGTGCCTTCTCTTGAAGGTGGCAGTTCAGGACAGCTCATCACAGCATGACAGAACCGTCCCTCTTGGTCATCGGCCTTACGCAAACATGCTTCGAGGGCTCCATGTACCTCTTTGTGTTCAACTGGGTACCAGCTCTGCAGGAGTCGGCTGGCTCGCAAAATGTGCTTCCGCTCGGCTATATCTTCTCCGCCTTCATGGTCAGCATGATGATCGGCTCTCTGCTGTACACGTCCGTCGTCTCGATCTGTGCCCTCTTCGATCCCACTGCGTACGAGGTAACTACAGCCGGCTCCGGCGGGGACGGGCCGCTGGCACTGCACGCGAAGCTGAGCTCGCTCGTGTGCGCCATCAGTGCGCTTACGTTTGCAGTGAGCATCGAGAGCCGGGACGAGCACGTGCGGTTCTGGGCGTTCTGCACGTTCGAGGCGTGTGTGGGCGCGTACTACCCGGTGCAGGGCATGCTCCGTGGGACGCTCATCTCGAATGAGCACCGCGCGACCGTGAGTGTTGTCTTCTCATCTCGTTGTGTCTGGCGTGTACTAAAGTCTGCCCTGTGTTTCAGCTGTCATCCCTGTTCCGTGTCCCGCTGAATGTTTTTGTGGTTGTGTCTCTCTTGACAGGCGTGTCCTCAGCGCGGTATACTGTACTTACCGCCAGCTCGCTTATGTTGGTGTTGTCGTCCATCGTGACTGGATCCTTCCTCGTAGACCATACCCCTTCATTTACTTCTACAGCACCCCATCCTGCTTGATAGCTGGTCCCTCTATTTTCATAAATCTATGTACAGTTACACTGACATTCCTTATCTGCCTCAAGGTTCTGCCAGATGTCATTTTGAATGGCTCAAAATTTCAACTTGTTCGTCGGCTTCGATCCGTGTTTCAGGAACTCGGCTTGAATAAGACATTGCATCCGTGCTGTATACCGCCCTACTACTCAAGGTTGGAAGTTCGATCTCTTGTTGAAACGTTGGTTTCTCACTGAGTCTCCGGTCATAGCGATGATCGTGGAACAGGTATTACGACAATATAAGATTCCACGGATGCGGGTCTGCAGACTGCCCGGTAAGGCGTGCTTAGAAGCCAGCTCGTTTCTTTACTGTCAGGTTCCAACTTCCACCGCCTCGTTTGACGTTTGAGCTCACTTGATCCCAGGGTGTTCTCCGTTGCTGCGGCGACCGAGGGATTCGCATCATTCGAATCCGCCCTGTTGACAGATTGATCGTGCGTATAGCCCCCTGCGTCTCTTCTGTGATGTCCGAGTTCTGCTTCGCTCGATATCGGCCAGCGAATACTGTGTGGGGGATATTAGTCAGCACTCGCAACCAAGGAATCGTGTCCGCGAGCTGTCGATCACCACGATGAACAATCGTGTCTCAGCAGTTTGCTTCTGTTCCTGTGGCAGACAACCAGCCAGCTACTAGAATGAAAGACCACCCGCCTCATGCTACCATCGTAAGAGAAGCTGTTCGAACTCAAGGGGTGGTACTGATGCCCCGATAGCCCCTCGTAATGCTATGATGCACCACATGATGGTCGGCCAGGTCTTCGCGGCTCGGGAGTTCCAGCGCTACGTATACGCGGCTGGCTATGTATATGTACGACTGTGTCTCGCTGCACCGCACGGTGGATGTTTCCCTCAGTGTCGGATACTACGGAACCCGCTAGACGTTGTTTGCTCATCCAGTAAGTACTATGGCTATATTTGTGGCCTTGCGAGCTGATTGTCTTCACAGCTTGACGTGGTGTATCATATACGTCAAGTAGAAACCGCTCGTTGTTCTGCACCTACATACCCACGGCTGCACTGATACATGCTCTGGGCGTCTTAAGCTCCATATATGTCATCTCATAGTCCCTCCCTGTATTCGGTTGCAGATACAAATTCACGACTCAACTACGCTCCAACGGGTGCCTGGACCCAAAGCTCATCGCTTTGCTCGTACAATGACTCTACTTACTATGGCACAAACACACCAGGGTCATCAGTGTTATTCGAATTCAATGGTGAGCAGATATTCCTACTGATAAGATAGTCGCAATTTCAACGACGTACAAAAGGCACTTTCGTTGCTGTGTACGGTGTAGTCGGGTCATCGGGCACAAATGCAACATTTGTTTTGGATGGGGATAAAACCAGCAATTACGTCGCTCCAGTTCTAGCAGGCCCCTCTTTACAACCGCTCTACTCCTCGGCCGCAGACCTCCCAGACGGCGTGCACACGCTGAATATCACTGCTGGCGGTGATCGGACGACGTTCTGCCTTACATCCATAGAGTACACTGGCTATCCCGAAGCGATGCCTGTCAAAGTGACGTCTCACGCCTCCGCAGCGTCCTCTACGTCATCTGCATATGCAGAACCGCGGAGAAGCCTTACGCCTGGTGTCATAGCGGGTATCGCAGTGGGTAGTGTAGCAATGCTAGTCGTTGTTCTCTTAGCCATCTGGAATGTTCGACGTCGCACGCGGAGGGGGCGGAGGCCGCGGAAGGGCGTCGACATCATTTTGGATGGTAGGCTGTTTTGCACGTTCAAACACATCTGCGGGCTGAATGCTCACATGCACGGCTCCAGATATGACAGACCCTCCGCCTCCATCCTTACCCTCGACCGACATCCTGCGGAAATTCGTTGCCCAACACGGTGGCAATCTCGCGGTCTCACACTCGAATACCACCTCATCCGGCCCTACGTCTCAGGGCGCGTCCTCGACGGTCTTCACGTCTGTCATTATTCTTACACCTCCTGTTTCTGTGTCATCGGACAACCACAATCAAAATACCGCCCCTGCTCCCTCTTCACGATAGATAACTTGGACTGGACTCTGACGATACTGCCGCATCACGCCGATTGGACTATATACTCTGCCATTCTCTTACAACAGACATCGACTCACTTGTAGACTACGCTTACTTATATGGGTCAGGGATATCTTATCGAGCTGTATAATCATCATTGTTTATCATCATGAGGTGTGGGCGTCAGACTTCGCAGCACCTACGTATGTCCAGCAAGAGTAGTCATGTTTCCCAGACAGAGGTGCTCTCAGAATTGCGTATCATGGCGACCATTGAATATGGTTCGCAGGGTGATGTTAATGGCAGTCCGAGCGGCATGCTTCATCGTGCAGCGTCATTCTTCATGCCTTCTTGATCCCGAGGATGGCGTGGGCAGCAAACAGGTTAAGATGCATCCAAAGTTAGCAAATATTGATGACGATGTAGGGATATAAAGGGGAATTCGTATGTTGAAATGCCAGTCTTGTCTAGCAACGCTGTTGCATATCCAACATACGTACGTTGGCACAGATGATCTAGAACGAATACGACATGGCGACACTGAGGCCTGACCTATCAGCAGTCCCTTTGTTCATCCTGACAAACTGATGATCCCAAGATGGTCCGAAAGACGCTTCAGGTATGTGTTGCTCTGCGGTCAAGATCCTGGGGAGATGTAAATTTGAACTTACCAGAAATTGGGCGCTGCAACGAGCCACGGAATTGACTTCATCGCCCAAAGAAGGCTTGGTCCTTTTCCCCGCAAGTTCCCTAGAGAACGGGGGACTCTGAGCGCCTCCAGGCGCTGCCGCAACGGCAAAGGCCTGACTGTCTCGTAAAACGTTTTCTCAGCCTTGAGGCGACGACTGGGCAAATGAAGATGATCTATCATTACACAAATGAAGAGAGGGTCAGTTTTTTCATCCAAATCAGAATCAGGTTGAAAGTGAACAGCACCTTTAATCTTACCAATGTAAAATTCGAGAGAAACATAGGCCTTTTTTAATCCTTTTTCCATACTTGGCATTAGAATATGAAATAGGCGCCTTCACTTTTCTCTCAATCTTGCTTCACACTGCATGCAGTAATCAATTTTCTAGTACAAGTAATTAAATTAAAACCAAAAGAAAAGTTGATTTACCTAATCAGTATTCTGGCGCCTAATATATAAGTGAAATCGAAGGAAAATCGATTATGTAATCCATTTTCTATTGTCTCTTTCAATTTTTCTTTGAATTCTCTTCAATTTCCATTATATTTCTACATCAATAAGATTCATAGGTCCTATTCACTTTTAATTCAATTTAAAATTAACATTTTGGTATGAAAGATTGATCAATCTTTCATACCAAAATATTGATCTGCCTTTTCGAGTATGATGGGTTAGGAGCGGGGAATAGTTGTTTAGACGCCGAAACCTCAGCGCTCGGGGATGACTCGGCGACCAGTTGCGCCAGCCCCTCTATAGCATTCGTCCTCCTCTTATTCGGCTATTCTGACTTCTCACGTGCTCTCGCTTTCGGATCAATCACGTGATTTTATTTTTTTCGTATATAACACTAAGTTGGCCTCTCGTATGTAGGAGCGAAGAACACGATTGTGGGGCTGGTTTTAGGAGCCTGGGCACGAGGCAGTAATTGGGAACTTTGATTAACCGAGGAATGTTGATCATCTTGTGAGATTGATCGAACACTTATCCGGGCCTGATGTTAAAACAGATCCGGGCTTCAGACGGGGTGGAGCCCCAGCGACGCCCTCCGCACTGCACCAGCACACTTCCTTTTCGCAGCCGTGCTGCCGGTATGTCGCAGGTCGACCTAGCTGTTTATGCCGCGCTGGTCGCGGCAAAGTTCGAAGAAATGTAAGCCATACTTGGTAGGGTTTAAATCGCAGACGTGAAACCGTACCCCAGGTTGCTGAGCAATTTCTGCTCCGTGGCTGCGACCAGTGAGTGGCACTAGCGTCAGACTCGGGACTAGACTGTCTCGCTTACCCGGCACAGCTCTCATTTTCTACGATTACTTCCTCACATTCTCGAGGGAGGTGCGGTGCATATGGGGTCGCAAATTCTCGGGGGCGACCGTCATCTTCATGTTGAATCGATACCTGACACTGGTTTATCGTGTTCTCATGCTAGTAGACATGCTACCGTGGCAAAGTCAGCCTCAAACGGTTGCAAACGATGTGCGTTATTTGAATCATGGCAACAACGTGCGATACTATCATCGAGCGTACTTTTTCAACAGGTGTACGTATCACCGCATATCCAGTAACCTCAGCTTATAACGGGACTACAGTTGCATTGGGGTGTTGCATACAACACAAGCGCTTACCCTTGTCTCTCAGCTGATCATAACAGGTGTGTTTTTGAAATGGCTCAATACTCTATGACTCAAACTCAGTGTGACTCAGCGTTCACCTCTCTGCGCACGTATGCAATATGGAACAAGGATTGGCGAATATTTGGGCTGGTTTTCTTTCTGGGAATTGTGCCATGTGTCGTGAACATAGTAGGTGCTGAGGATAGATCCGAATGGTGGAGATCTGATTGATAACACCAGTATTATTACACCCTTCTCGACATTGTCTCCGCACCTCCGCCTTTCCTGGGCTGCGGGGAATACGTGAATCTGAGTCCTTCTGCTGCTACAATGTGAGCTCCTGACCAGTAGCTCGAGTCGGTCCGCTGATGCGTGTGTTGCAGACGTGCGTTTGATTTATCACCATTGTCTCCAACACTCACAATTGTGAGCAGTGAGCATCTTTAACTGTGTCTTTGCCATAGTGTCAGACAGTATCGTCCTCATACTCACATGGCTGAAGACGGCGGAGATACAGCGGTCATTTACCGGGGCCAACCGTAAGGGTAACCTGGTAGCCCTCATACAGCGGGATGGTATGTCTACCTTTGTCATTATTCTTCAACTCCCACTCCTTCCGTTGTACTCACTTTATACAGGAACCCTATACTTCGTGTGTGTGTCGTCCCCTCTGAAGTCCACGATAGGCTCTTGATGTTGCCAACCACAGAACTATACTGATCTTGAACGTGCTGAACCTGGTCGCAATCAAGTTCCAGGTGCGTTGATGGTCGGTTCTCAAAACCGCCTATCTGCCTCATTGACCGTACGCAGGCTTTTGGGTCATTGCCTGCCATTACCGAAGTGTCCGTATGACCCACTTGGGATCGTACCCTATTTTGACCCGTCTCACAGACTCACATCAATCCTCATCTCACGCTTCATCTTGAACCTCCGCGGAATCTTCCTTTCGCCAGGCGGAAGCAACGCGACAACAAGCACACTACGTATGTCGCAAATGTCCTCTTTGCATTTCGCCAGCAGCATTGCCGGCAACCTCGGCGCGCCTCTTGGGGACCTTGTGGATGCGGAAGACCGGATAGATGACTCGTCGACCGCACGAGGTGAGGTTGCATACGTCTCAGACGACCCGCTCGCGGCCGGGCTCCATCCGGAGGAGGACGAAGAGAGCCTTGTGCCAACGGAAAGGAATTTGAAAGAGTGAGTACCAGATCTCTTACTGATATTGAGTCGCTGAGCGGCGCGCAGCCTGTATGATAGCGAAGTGTAGATCACCAGACGTTCTGAAGGTAGATTCCATGCAATACCACGAAGTGTAGAAATCACAAGGGGAGGGCAAACGCGTCGTAATTATTTCCACCTCATGTGTTGAAGCCCCAGGAATGGAGGCAGTCCTTACCTCAGTGAACATGGTTTGCTGTCTTCAGTCGTCTGCGCGTCATGGGAGCTCACCATCCTCGCTCGGAAGTGCCTCCCGGAGCCGCATAAGCCCGTTCCATCTCTCGTCCACCTTCCAGCCAATAGATCTGTCCTCCTTAAGAGCAAGCACCTCCTGTAGACCATGTGTGTTTCCCTGTGTCTCAACTAGTTTTACCTCTGCCGCAACGGTATCCAACCACTTGCGTGCCACATCCACTTGCTCTGTATCTAGGGCCGGCAGACGCAGAGCCCATATAGGTCTGTCCGTCGCATGCGTGACATAGCCTATGGAGTCCGATGTCATGATCAGCCAATATATACTTTGGCTAGCCGCATAGTAAGCTCCTCACCGAGAGGTCGAACCTGCTCGGGCGTCCAGCGGATCTCATAACGTACGACAGGGAAGTTGGCTGCCATCAGGTCCCGCGTCAGCAAGCGCACCGGAAAGTGCACCTGCCCGTCTCCCGTCATGTCGCCGAAAAGACGCTTCACCTCGTCCTCGGACGCATGTACACCTAGCGTGCGGTACAGCGGGATCAGCCGCGCGACGATATCCGCGGGATAATAGCGCTGCATGTTACGAGGTATATCGAGCACGCTACCCAACGGGTGCGCGATCGCGTAGAGGTACCATTCTTCCGTGAGGTCGCCGACGACGATGCTGCGCACGCCTTTGTTGCGCAGCCCATGCGCGAGCCCGCCGGAACGCTGCCAGGTCATCGGCGGCGGCGAGACGGGTAACCATGTGCCATCGAGGCAGCCGCGATATGTGCCATTCTCAACGCCTACAGCGTCGGTCTCAATGACGTGAGTGATCGCGGAAGCGGGCACCTTGGCGGGGTCGCGTAGGGTCTGCAGGACATCGGGCACGTCGGGGTCGAGGTCAAGGGCTCTGCAGAGTGCGCGGAACTGTGTACGCAGCTCAGCGGGCGTCTTTGGGTTCGTCCTGCGGGTGTCGCCAGTAAACGTGGGGCTATCTATCATCATGCAAACGGACTTACAACATAGCATTAGATTGGAGCATAGCAGATTGAAACGGTGATTGCTCGTCATTGGGCAAGTGGGATATATGGTGGAGAAGCTGATGTACCGAATGAGCACCTGATGACGATCGATATAAATAAATCAACGACCGAAGTGGCCAACGGAGTTACAGCGCATACCTGCAGAGAGACCTATCACTTGTATGTCAGACGGCTCCCCTGCATACGCACGATTATGATCAGAATGAAATGACAGTGATGGCTGCGCCATATACCTCCGAAGGCCTCAATGTTGTCTCGAATCCACAGCAGCGCAAGCCACTGATCTTTGAATCCGAAGTTTCCGTCGACCTTCGGCTCATCGCATGCAAGGAAACCAAATGCGGATAGACGGTAGCCAATATTCACCCACACCTCCGAGCGCTCTGCCGCAACATACTGAGCTTGCCCGCTGAGACCGTGGGGAGAGCCGAACTGCAGGAACCTGTGCACGCTGGTTAAATCCGAGATCGCTACAGGATCCCCGTACCCACCCTCCATGAATATACACCTTAACCGGATATCTCGAGACGAGAGTTCCCTGAGGCGGGACGACAATATTAACGAACAATCTGCGCAGAGATTGTCATTTGAAAGTAGGACAACGCCCTGCAATGAAAGCGTGCGCACGGGTTTTCCGTGGGGTTGCCCAAGCCCAGGACATCCTCGCGGGCAATGCCTAGCCAGAACAATATTGAGCAAGAAGGGCGGGATCACCTCGCAAGCCATACCAGCGGTCTGGCCATCATTGTTCGGCTGGGCACAGTCTGTAGTATAGTGCGGTGAGAATCTTACTATATCAACTGATCGTCACTTACAGCTGCTCTCATATACGTATTCCTTGTCTTCATACCGATATTGGGGTAGTAAAGCTTTCGGATCCTCGAATCTACCTGGAGGGTACGCATATGGGACTTCTAAAGCCCGTGGTTGCAGTCGGTTAGATCGGCACTCTATGATGCACTTCGTAACGCACCCAAGAAAACAGCCGCGCCATTGGCTGCACGCCTAGTCTTTATCTGACCGTATCGCGTCTGTACGACGACACTAGCGGTCGACTGAAGGAGCTCTTCTTGCAGATGCACGCCAGACATGTCCAGACGAGAGTGGTCCGACCAACTGGCAGGTTAAGAGGAACAACTACTGCTCAAGAGGAGGAAATCTCAGGGGAAAGGAGGCTGCAGAGAACCCACGAAGCGGATCGTACGGAACAGCGTCGGGGTACGACCTTGTTAATGATGCTAGTATCTTCGATAAGGAGTCACCAGGGTTGCGCAATAGACTCCAGTATTACTCGGAAGCAATTTCTCACTGCCGAGTTGGTGTGTACTTTGAACACAGCGAGGAGTTGTGCCATTAGCAATCGGAGATCGTCTCATCACTAGTAACAAGGCTAGCTTAGGACCCTTCAAGCTTTGCTAACACAACGTTCACGTCTGCGTGCCACTTTTATACGACGTTAATAAGAAAGATGATTTGAGTAGATGTCAAAAAGTAAGCCAGCGAAAACGACTCGGTGTCGCTCCTCTTGTCATCTGCCACCAGGTCAAAGTTGAAAGTTAAACGTTAAACGCTCGAGTGCGCGCGTTTTGGTGCGCATCGGGCGCTTACGCACATACGATCACAGTCTGCTTACTCACATACGTTCAGAGTTTGTTGACACAGACGCATGGTTACATGATGAGTAAAAACTGCGCACTGTATTATCGTGTTGCGAGATATCAAAACAGGTCAGTGTCGGCTGTCTCCTGGGCGCATTAGCCTGTGCTCTTCACATGCCAGTGCAAGGCCACTACCCACTGGAACGATCATGGTTGCAATGCTTATGCTTATGTCCTACCTTGCATCGGGCAATCAATATGTTCTTATGTTTGTTGCCTCAGCATTGACTGGCTCTTGACAAGGTGATTATTACTTCCTGAATATCCATCATGTCTCGACTCTCACACAGGTACTGACGGACTGCGCCATGAGTCAGGTAGCCCCTTCCCTGAGCGTCTCGCCTATTAAGCTTCTCGTTTCAAACGGTCAGTGTCTTTCTGGGCTGGAATGACTATGCCTCCCGCTCGACATCTCCAAGACGAGTTATTGGAATTGGGCGACCGGCCCACAGTGCAGACGCGATACGGGACTATCAAAGGCTTGCGCGCTGCAAATGGCGCTATCGTATTCCTAAGCTGGTATCGGTTAAACTGAGATCCGTTTGCGTTTATGAACAGTCAAGGCTTGTGAATAGACATTCCGTACGCGCTGCCTCCGAGGCGGTTTCAAGATTCAAAGCCTCTATCCCCTGGTTATCGATACGAAGACAGAGAATACATTTACGAGCGTACTTGTGAGAAGAGAAATGCTGTAAAGGAATTATTACAACGCTGACTACAATCGCAGACGCTGCTCAGGATTCGATACAGCTATAGGTATCGCTCTGTATATGCTTCGATGATGACTGGTACCAACACTGTTTCGTAGGCATCGCGTATGAGGATCTCGTCGGGCTTGGAATGTTGTCCGAGACTCCGTAAGCTCAGTTATATCTTTTTGTATTCGCTACAATGAACATAACTTCTTCAGATTATTCGTTACTGTTGTTGCCCCACCGCACGCCACAGCTACATCAAAATTGCCTGTACGAGTCTATATACACGGAGGGTATGTTGTGCCTCCACGAATAAAGCAGCGCGCTCCTTTATAACCTGATATGCAACCATAGATTCTTACAATATGGCTCTCCTCACGCAGTGAGCGGACAAGCGCAATATATAGCCGTCGAGCGTTCAGAAGTATGGGTGAACGTCGGATACCGACTCTCGGCGTTTGCTTCCTTGCATGCGACCAGCCAAGACTAACAGGAAACTACGACTTTAAGGACCAATGGCTCGCATTGCTGTGGACTCGCGAAAACATTGAACAATTCGGAGGTATATCATGACACTTGTTTTCCCACATAACAATGAGTACATTGTTCATATCGCCGTGCACATTAGTGGACAATCCGCAGGTCCGTCAGCTTTACCTAAAGGTGCTAGCGTTCAATGTCATAGGCTGTGGTTGTCTACAGGTACACATTCCATCCATCAAATGCTGCATCGTGTCTCGCGTCTACCGAAAGGCGAGAAGTCCCCCTTTCAATCTGCACTGCTGCAGTCCAACGCCATCTTGTCAGTGGGCATGGAACGCCGGCGTTCCGTGCCTAGGCACATGCCAGTGGGTCGCTACAGCCCTATCTACTTACACGGCGATTTGCTAACGAAGTTTGTCAAATGTGTCAAGGTCTGAATCTTTGGAAACAAGATGACTGCGAACAACTACAGAAAGCAGAAAGTGCCGAAGCACTTGTCGTGACATGCTGGCATGCGCAACCCGCCTATATGCGCTTCTCCCTGCTGATCCCACGAGAGCGTATATCCATCTTGCTGTAGCTCATAGACCGGCGATGCCACCGCCCCGACAGACTCTTGAAACTAAGTCCGGATTACAGAAGGCTTGTGGTTTTGAAAAGGCTGCCATATCCCGCAGCTGCCCGTGCTTTCCGTCGTGCAGGTTGCGCCTTTCATTCGTAGGCATGTTTGTTGGGTATGCTATAAGGACGGATACAATTATGTATCCTGTGGGCATTCTATTTGGATGGATTGCCCTTCTCTCTCACTTACAAGTCCCTGTCTGCCTTTATAGCAGTAATGCATCAAGCGAACACTGTATGGACGCCTATGTAGCCGAATAAGTGAAGCAGCGTGGAACACCGTAAAGATCAAATAAAACAATAGACAATAAACTAAATACGATGGAAAACGCCCGTGAGATGCTGGCGGCGTGCACCCACCATTCAATGCCATAGCCCTTCCAGCACCCGTTCACCCGCGCCCAGAATCACACCTCCCAGGAAATGACTCACGCGCTTCCACTCCCTACCTACCGAATTGCGCGGCTGGTACCCCTCCCGGAGCCAGCCCGCCGGACCCTGTACGTTCTGGATCCCATACACGGCCATCGCGACGCCAAGCACGAGCACGGCGCCCGCGACCATCGTCTTGCGCTCCAGTGCCAGCTTCCGAGGCTTGCGCAGCTTCCTCCGGCGGCGCTGCTCCTTCGCCCGCGGGTGCCGCGCGTGCGCGGCGGACTCGTCGTCGGATGCGACCTCATCGTCGGGCTCGATGTACGGGCGCACGACGAGTTCCGGCTTCTTGACCATGAGCTCGGCGTCGTCATCGGGGGGAAGCTCGGCAGGGTCCTGGGACCAGGTGAGCATGACGCTTTGTGGACCCATGACGGAGGAGAGTGCGATGGAGGGGTGCGAAGGGGGAAAGCGCGCGAAGAGTTCGTCGGCGCGGATGAGGAGGGAAGTTAAAGACACACGGGGACGTGGTAGTGTGAGCTCAGGTGAGGAAGAGCGTGATAATGGCACTTTCTCGGACACGTGGGCCTCGTCGAGCTCTTCGGGAGCGATGTCGCCTTCAACATCAGCACAGGCTGATGGAAGGGAGGTCGCATATATAGCAGCCGCTGTTGACGCATCGTCATCAGACAGTGTGTCCTCGATACTCTGCGCTTCGTGTGAGCTCGAACTAGACTCTAGTGTCGACGGAGATTCAAGAGGTTGGCAATCTGTGGAAACCGTAGATACTGTCGATGGCTCTATGAGAGTGTTGGTGTTTTGTGCAAAGTCAACGCTGACGTCTTCCACCAGCTCTCCGCCTTGCTGTTCCGGAAGGGGGCTAGGTTCCAACTTTAGCGATGTTATTGATAGCTTTTCTTCTTTAGTTTCATTCTCATCCGCCTTCAGCGGGTTCGCCTCTTCTTGCTCCTCGTAGAGGTCAGGGAGGCTACTGAGGATGGAATGTACCATGCCTTCCTCTCCTTCCTTTTCTAATTGGAAAGCTTGGTCTCGGCGGAACAGTACGACCTGCTCGACATACACCATTGTGAGGGGGATTATGATCGTTCACACTGGCCAGACGTACCGCGGCGACGAGATACACGATAGCTATTGGATGTCTGCACAGTAAATAATCGAAGATGTGTTGAATGAGAGGCAGCGTCGGGACATCGTGGGATAGCAATGTCAGTATGTTTGAGAGCGCAAAGTAGGGCAACGGGGCAGTTCTACGGCATGCAATGTCAGATCACGACGCAAACGCCGGTAGCTGGCCATATACCTTTCTAGGAGAGCTGAGAATTCCAGATCGGTTGCTTGCAGTAAGCCCTTTAGTATTCTGTGGAATCAAGTGGTCAGCCAAAGCAAGAATACATATACATATGCTTTACCGTAATAAACCAACAACAGGCTCAAGACTAACCCCCATGGAATCACGCAGTCGGTGCAAACTCATTTGCTCGACGGAGTTCACCCGTATCTCGGGAGGTAGCGTAAGGAAAAACACGGAGACAATGTCGTGGTATCCCTGGTCAATTCTTTAACGCGAGCATTTGGCCTGCCCACCGTCTCAGCTCACTCACCTGAAAGTAATTCAAGTGTTGCCTTCTCCGGAAGACGGTCACGATGAGCTTGTGTAACTGCGATTGCAGATCTTCTCTCTTCCGTGGGTCGTCTAATGTATTCCATGAGGCTTAATGAGGGTTGTATGGACGATGAGGGCGGTAGTCACCTACTGGATACAAGACAAAGCTCCGGTCTGTGTCTAGACCAATTTGGCGTTCATCTCGGTGAGCCATCAATGTACTGTCAGGATCCTGGAGTTCTGTCTGCCCGCCGTCATCCTTGTCGTTCAGTGTTTGCTCCTCTGCTTTCGAGTCTGAGCTTGTCGAATTAGTGGTCGAATGATTTACGTTCAGGAGCTTTGGCCTGGAGCATCATTATGAGGTGACTGAATCCAAATGTCAGACCTAGCTCACCATAGATATCTTCGCTCGTGTCCAAATCCAAAAGGCTGCAAGCTGCGCGACCGCAACAAGTCCCAGTCAACGGCGTCGGTCTTGTCATTTTCATAATTCATCCCGACTGCCGACTTGGTCGAGCTACAGTTATGTGAGTCTGCAAGTTATGCTCGAGTTATAAGGTAAGAGACTAGTGCACTTACAGGCGAGAGACTTGCACTCGCAATGCGTGAGTCGGGCATGGGCCAGGAGTATGGGCGTCTATGCACTGTATACGTAAACGCTCATAGGTTATGAGCGTCTACCATTTTGACTGCATCGATTTCGCTGTCCCAGTTACTCTGGCTTCAGTACTTTTCCCTCATACGACGCCGCTCCCCCAGCATTCACGAATATACAAATATTTCACAGGACTGCAAGGGATCGTACGACGGAGAGCATTGGTCGTCCCACGGTGTCCGAGTCATAATTCAAGGGCAGTCAATTGTCTCACCACCACTCGCCTTCTGTCATGACTACAACCACCACTACCACTACCACTACCATGAGCAGCCAGCAGCTCACGCTCGGCGCATCTGTACCCCCCTTCACCGCGCACGCTATCTCTGTCTCGCTTCCGACATGGCAAGACAATATCAGCTATGAGGAGGGCGATAAACGAGTGTTGGACGTAATGGTCACAGGCTACCCACGCTTTTTCATTCATCGCAGCACTCAAAAAGTGAGTAGCGATGTACCCGCCCACTACTGGATACTGAATACGTTCAGCTAGCAGAAATATGCGTACAGAAATTTGGCGTATACGGCGAGCGCTGTCTGCTTTGTCCTACTCACAAGGTCGCAGAGGCATGTCGCGCCTTCATGATCGACCGATCCTCGCAGACTGGAGCAGCGGTGCCTGTGCGTCTCGTCCAGTTTCTCATCTGCCCTGAGGACCAGCAGGATGCCCCTAACTCCTCATGCATCGAGTTGCACATTGTCTTGTTCCCTGCGGAGCACTTCCCTCTCGCGAAGCAGTTCTGGCAGCACACAGGGCTGTGTATCTCCAGCCGACGAGCAGAACGGTGTCTCTCCATGCTACCGCAGGAATCTCCGGCATCTCCCAAGCCCGCATTCGCTCGCCCGCCGGTTAAGGCCCCCAATCGCCATTACTCTGCGAAAAGCTTCGGTAGATCCCCACCATCGTCACCTACATCCCCGAATCATCTCCAGCGCGAGCCAGTGGTGAAGGCTATAGATGAGGCACTTAGCGCGGACCAGAGTGTGTATGTTGAGGAGCGCTATGGTCGCAACCTACCACTTGAGTCAGCGGCAGCGGCGAAGAGGGCCCTCCGCAGACGAATCGCAGGTGTGCTGGTACACGACAGCCCGAACGACTGGTCAGCGGCTGGCGGGCAGGACGTCGAGTTAGGGCCAAGCACGCGTGGTGTTGAGAGCGTAACAGAGGATGATGTCTTTATGTTCTCCACAGGCATGTCGGCGATTTGGAGTGCACACCAATTGGCGCTTGGCGTGCGGCCTGTGGCGAAGAGCATTTGTTTCGGGTACGTATATGGTCTCGTTCTCTGCTCGCGGGTTGTTGATTAGATCATAGGTTCCCATACACCGACACGCTCAAGATCTTGCAGAAGTGGGGTCCTGGCTGCCATTTCTTGGGACACGGCCTGGACAAGGACATTGACGAGCTCGAGATAATCCTCGAACGCGAAGCCGCACAGTCGGAAGGGCCGCCCGCGCTCGCATTGTTCGCCGAGTTCCCGAGCAATCCTCTGCTGCGTACGCCACACCTGGGGCGGCTGCGAGCTTTAGCAGACAAGTACGACTTTCTAATCGTCGTGGACGAGACGATTGGAAACTTCGTCAACGTAGAAGTGCTGCCATACGCGGATATCGTCGTTAGCAGCCTAAGCAAGGTCTTCAGCGGCGACGCGAATGTCATGGGTGGCAGGTGAGCTATGCGCATCTGCTCACACGTACTGGTCTCCGACACTCATTCGTTTTATAGCGTTGTCCTCAATCCGAAGGGCCGGCACTACGCCGCGCTGAAGGCGCACATGGTGCAGACATACGAGGACTCGTACTTCGACGAGGACGCGATATATATGGAGCGCAACTCGCGCGATTTCAGGCGACGCATCAGGATCATTGACGATAACACGCTTGCTGTCTGCGAGCTCCTTCGCAAACGGTCGCTCGTGGCGTCCCCTATCCCCGCGCGTGCCGTCGTAAAGGACGTGCTGTACCCGAAATGGGTAACGCCAGATAACTACGAGCGCTGTCGGCTGCCCGGAGGCGGGTACGGCGGGCTGTTCTCGGTCATGTTTACGACGCTGGCCGCGTCGCATGCGTTCTACGACACGCTGCCCTGCTACAAGGGTCCGAGCTTGGGGACGAACTTTACGCTCGCGTCCCCGTACACGATCCTAGCTCACTATGCCGAGCTAGAGTGGGCAGCGGGGTATGGTGTCGAGGAGGGTCTTGTGCGCGTGAGCGTTGGGATGGAGGATAGGGCCACGCTGCTACAAGGCTTCGAGCAAGCGCTATTGGCGGCAGAGGCGACAGCAGAGCATCCCGCAGCATAGCGGTGATGTGTCAGCTTGTAACATCAAAATGATAGCGCACCAGCGGGGATTCAACCTCCCCTTGGTTGCCCGGAAAAGGTCCGGCGCGCTGGGAGATACCACTATAATCTAGACGTAGTATACTTGTCCAACCAAGCTGTAGCAATAAATCACATATCCGAGGCTACTATGTACCGGTCTCCGTGCCTGTATCTAGATTTGTCCGAAGGTTCGTCTCTTTATGCGTTGGGTCGATCTCCACAGCTTCGTCTTCGCCATGCGTGCCATTGACGAGGCCTGTCGCGCGCAAAGAAGCCTTCTCGTCGAAGGACATGGGCACGCCCTTTTCGTCCAGCTTCTCGTCCGCAAGGCCTTCGTCAGCCTCATCATCGTCCGCGGCTTCCTCGATGATGGCCCCTTCTTCGCGCTGGACAAGCCATGTCCGCTCGGCAACAACTAAGTTCTCTGCGGCAGACAACGCTTTGACGATCTGGCCCTCATGTCTTGCGTGCAGCGTCCGACGGAGAGAACGGGCCACAAACGTCGATAATATGCGCAGTGGCCAATCTGGTGGAATGAGAGACGCCACCTGCGGTGATAAAGGCCATGTAAGCCAGGGTACATCGCAACACACATCTAAGAAGAACGCACGTCCAGGACATCCAGGTTCATGGCCTGTGCATTGAGGAATCGTGCAGTACGCTCCGCGGCAGCCTCGCTATGACGTTCAAGGTGAGACATGAATGATGTCTCAATAACTCTGATCACTCACCCTTCGCTGAGGTACACCTCAAGCAGTATCCGTATAAGGCTCTTCTTGAGGTCACTGTCGACAGTCACAGGCCTGCTCATCGGTACAGCGCCAGGTCTTTGTTTGCCCGATATCGTCGGGACCAGCAACGATGCCCATGCCTGGAGACTGAATCGCTCACCCAGCGACTGTGCTGTCTTGGCTGGCACAACCTCGCCGCCAAGAGTGCAGTATATCTCAGCTGAAGTGGTATCTTTGAGGTCGTGCACAAGGGACGTCAATGCAGCGCGATGTTCGCCGAGCTGGGAGTAGCAGAAGTCATCAGTGCGCGCTTGCGCCCGAGGCAGCAGAAGTAGACAGACCTTGCCATCCAAGATAGCTAGCTCCAATCGTAGGATCTTCTGGTGCTCAACAAGGCGGTCGCGGATGGCTTGCGGGTTATATAAAGGAGAGCCCTGGAGGAACAGGACCGTTTGGAGCCGCATTCGCGTCTGCACCGAGTCCGGTGTAGTGGAGGCGAAATAGGACAGGAATGACGAGTCGTTTCTGCTCGACGAGTACGATGATGCTGGGCGGCACGTTTTAGTGAGCTTCGCGGAGGATACTAGAGGTATAAGGATCGGACGATACCTTTCGCTCGCCAGAGTTTAACGGTAGACTCGTTCAAAAGACAGTTGAGAAGCTGTTTGACACATGACATCGCGAGCTGCATGTGAAGCTCTGGGTCCTGCAGAAGAGGTCCAAACTCTGAGCGAAAGTGGAACGATCGGCACGCACGAGGCTGCGCTTTTGGAGCACGAGGTATTCGAGATACCGCTGCCCGGCCGAGGCATCTGCATCGTGAAGCTGCTGAAGGAGCGAACGGTCGTCCTCGGGGGTGCGTTTGCCCGAATTGACAGACATGAGCAGCTACCCGCGCAGAGCGATGAGCATGTAACAGCCAGAATTGACGTGGCATTCTAACCTTCAGCGCACGATCTGGGTCTCGTTTTGTCAACCAAATCCCCCATTGCTGGATCAGCGCCCGATCTCGCTTCTCGCTGAGCAGCGCAAACATTTTTGATAATGGGTCGGGAACATCACCGGCGGTCCACTCCCCATTAACCAGCCTGCAGGGATGAGATATAGGTGGTGCATGCATATGAGTCGTGACGTCTCTTACTTCGCCCACGACTCAAGCAGCTTGGCGTCGTCCCCACTCTGCTGGTATAGGTTGCACAGTGCGTTGTACCGGCGGGTCTGCTGGAGCACAGGCTCAATCTCGGTGAGGACGATGTAGTTCTCCTGGCTGAGCAGCTCGTGCAGCTCGCTATTCTTGTCATGTGCGGCGTACAGCTTTGCGAGGACGGTGTCCACGGCCTGCAGCGAGTGAGCGATCGATGTCAGCGTCAGTCCCAGAAGCCAGCGTATGCACGGCCGCGTACCGCTCTGAGCACAGGCGAATTCGACAGACAGCTGGCGTCCTCCAGCTTCGCCTTACGCCGCCACTTGCGCAGATACGCCTCGAGCATGTCCCGCGCGGTCATGTTCAGGATGTTGCGCAGCTCGATCGTCGGAGCCGCGGTGCGCGTGTTTGGCGCGAGGTGCGGGGAGTAGTTCCTGACTAAGTTTGCAGCAACTGTAATCAGTCCCGACAAGAGGCGGAGCGCGGGAAAGTAAGCCCATGGGGTGTACTACAAGAAGCAAGAAAACGGAGGACACCCGGTGTATGGAGAGACAGACCCTCGCTGCGAGTGCAGGTCGGGCTGTGAAATTGTGAAGAACGAACGGATATGGATATGCTGGCCTACCCGGCGACTGCAATCGAAAGTGCCTTCGAGAAACCAGTCATAGTCACAGTCTCCATCAACAGCAGTGTCAGACTGCTGATGCGCGCCGCAGCAACGCATTGAACGTAAATAGAAACGAAAGTATAACTTCAGAGCAAATATTCTCATGTCCGGCCCGCACGTAGTTAAACAGCATGAGCCGCATATAAAAGGGTGTAGAAGCAGGCAACGGGAAGCCAGGAGCAATGGTGCTTACTGATATCGTCTATCGCCTGCTCCCTCGGCATATGCTCTGCGACTCCGGCGAACACGTCTACGGTGTCGAAGTCGCCGAATATCGCGCCGCGCAGGTCGGGGTAGTAGCTAATGAGCACCCGCGGGTCCAGCTCGCCCGCGAAGAGATGCCTCCCCGCGTCGTCGAAGAGCGTCTCGGTGAGACACTGGAAGCCGAGCCGCTGGTAGACATAGCACAGCTCCTCCGTCTAAAGATCGAGGGGGCGCATGCTTAGGGGCGCGGATGTGGCAGTGGACGTGAGACGACCGTACCTCGTGTTGGTCGACGTGGGCCATGGCTTGGAGCTTCTTGCGCTGCTGGTCGGCGAGGTCTGCCACATCCTCCAGTCTGTGCGCGTCGAGCAGAGCGTCCGCTTGTGCTATCAGGGTAGACGGGACGAGAGCTTGCACAGAACTGGACCCGAGGATGAGAACATTTGCGCGAGAGAGCGACGGCTGCATCTTTAGTCCCCAGAAGCCAGTTTCAATCACCACAGGCTAGGTAAAGTGGACGCAGCGACGAGTCCACGACACGACGATAGCCCAAGAGAGGTGTATGCACTGAGATCGCGGATAGTTTGGAGAGGCAGACTCGTAGATGTCCCAGTTGTATAAGTTCACAAAGCAGCGCTGCACAGAGCGTATTCAGCACCGCAGACTCGAGAACGTAAATATGAATGAGAGTAGTCCCGACGCCGAGGACATCCGAGTCGAGGGGACGGACGCACTCGACAGGCGCCCATTAAGTGTATGGGCGCCTGTATGCATCATGCGGTGGCGGATGGGCGCTTCAGCGACGCGTCGGCCACTACGACCTGCCTTCTCGCATATAGACTATTCAGTGCAGGACAGAAGTGCCTGACAAAATCTCACAACGCGAGCTATGAGCCATGCGCTAACGAATCCGGTGGACGTACCACCGTACCAGCTGCAGCCTCTCGTCGAGAGAACAATAGGTGACCGTAAGTTATTCTTTAGTGCGCATGTAAACGGGCCCTGCAACATTGACAGGAGTACAAATACGTTGCGCCCAAGCATTCGGTGAATACTCGTCCACCTTAGACCTGTCGTAATGCACACCCATACACTCTCCCAGGTTCTGAAATATACATCGGCTGCACTAACGGGGAGCTGCTTCGGTATGCGCTGCAAGCCAATCCACATGCCGTGCGTTGCTTTCCTTTCCGGCGGCGCGGACAGGCCCTCAGTGGCTTACAGCCTCACTAGCCAGATTCGTACACCCTTCTGTCGCGGCAGAACGTCACGCACGAGCGACCCGTGCAGGAGATCGTCCTCCTCCCTGGCCTATCGGCCGCCCTCGTGCTCGCTGGTATGCATGCCTTCGGCTTCCTTCCATTCTGTGCGCTTACGGGCCCATAGACCATCAAGTATCCATATACAAGCTGCCATTTCTCGAGCTGATGCCCCCGACTGTCATTAAGCCAATACGGAACGTGGTAACCATTGCCGTGGATGAGCAGCATCTGCGTCGTCCGGTCCGCTCGGATCCTTCCCAGCCCGCAGATGCAGTTGAGTTCTGTGTGATCAAGCGAAACACGATCGCGCTGTACAGTCTCCGAGAACGTCTATTCTTCCAGAAGGTGAACACTCTGCAAGCTTCTTCGGACTCAGTCCGAGCCTGTTACGCTCCGCGTTGTATGTCATTCCGCGACTAATGCTCCCGTGCCTCAGGAGATCCCCCTGCCCAACGGCGGGCTCCTGGCCAGACGCAGCGGCCGCTCGCTGTGCGTCGCGGACAACCAGAACACGTACAACCTGATCGACCTCGACTCTGCCACCATGTTCCCTGTGCTGCCTATCAACCAGGCGGAGAGCGACGTCGCACTGAGGCCGTTCATCACGGTCATCAGCGAGAACGAGTTCCTCATACTGTCGTGGACCGGCGCAAGCACGCTCGGCGTGTTCATAACCGGCGACGGCGATCCGGTACGGGGCACGCTGGATTGGCCGAGCTACCCTGAGTCGGTGTGTGAGTGGCTCTACCCTCAGGTCTTCTGGCCCGCGCGCTGTGGCGGGCGCTACGCGGGCCTCACGCGACCCGCGTCGCGCCAGATGCAGCTGCGGGCCGCCATTGTATGACACGTCTTCTCACGGATGGATGACGTCGCGCAGGCCTGGACTACCCGTACATCACCACGCTGCTGCCGAACGAGACGATAGAGATCCACAACATCGAGACGCAGGGGATTGTGCAGGTGGTGTCTGCGCCGGGGACGACGACGCAGGCGGAGGTGGCGGACCGGAAGCGGCTGGTGGTGTGTGCGGGAGGATTTGCGGTGCCGTCGTCGCAGCGGTCGGACAAGCTGCGGCGGACGGCGGTGGCCCTGGTGCGGCAGCGCGCAGGAGACACGCCGGAGTTGGAGACGGAGGTCGATGTGGATGTTGATCGAGAAGAGATCTAATCTAATCTTATCGTTGTTACGTACAAGTGAAGCTCTGGGACGTCCATGGCGCTCCATCCCACCCGTCCTTTACCCAACTTTTACATGCAGCCTCCCACCGCGCGCCCGCCGCGCACTCCCGTCCCCTCGCAAGTGTGCGCGTGCAACTTGACCCCCCACCGCGACCATGTCCCTGCGCAAGCGTCTCTCCGCATCCAGCACCAGCAGCCGCAGCGAGTCTCCCCTCGTCTTCGCCGCCGCTCCGAACTCAGACTCGGACCATTGGGTCGGGGCGTGGCAGCAGGTTCTCGCCCGCGGTGCGGTCTCGACAGCTTCTCCCTCGTCTGATCCGGCGTCGCTTACCCCGCCGACGCAGATCTCATTGACTCCCCGGTCGTTGCGGTCGACGCGGACACCACCGTCGAAGACGCCTGTGATGTGAGTGCTTCCTCGCGGCTACGCGACGTCGCGATGACCCGTCACTATGCCGTCAGCTCTTGCTTTCCAAGGACCTTGCTTGCGTTGCCGTGAACAGCAGTTCGGGCACTTCCCCGAGCGCCGGTCCCTACCAAGGCCTCTTCGACGTGAGTAGTATGGGCCGCGCGTGTCGTCCCAGCCATGTACATACACATTCAGATCCTAACGCCACGCTGAAAGTTCTCCGATGTCAACGCCTTCCTCACATTCGCGGCAACTCGACATAAGCTCGCCTCGGACGAGTTGCGCGAGAAGCCGCGCATACAGGAAATCCTAGCTGCCGCGAAGGAGGGCAAGGTGCCCGTCCACCTTGTCAGCAGTAAGTGCTCCCCTCCTCCGGCATCATCGACGTTGACGCCCAGTGTTCAGACCTTTCCGAGAAGAACCCGCTGGAGACGTTGCCTTACGACGCGACGCTCCTCTCTGTAATGGGCGTCGTTGCGCGAGGCGCACACAGAGGTACGTGCATATCCCCACTCCTCATACACTGTCTGACGTCACACAGTTCTCATCCAGGCCGAGTCACCCTCCTCCGAATACCTAGGCATGGTCTCGGATAACCGGCTGCTCGCGTGGTTCACATCCTATGCGCAGCAGAACGCCGCCTTCCTGCGCTATCTCACCAACCCGCTCAGCTCGCTCGCGCTGCCATCCATGTACCTGTACATGTCCGTCGTCGCCGCACGCTCGGCGGACACCGTGCTCGACGCGATGCAGCTGATGAGCGAGCAGGGCGTCAGCACGATCGCCGTTATTGAGGAGGAGACGGGGAACCTCCTTAGTGCGGTTAGCGTGTCTGATATCGGCAAGGTGCGTCGGCGGTTCTGTCGGCGAAGGTGAGGCGCCGTCGGCTGAGACACGAGTATAGATCGTCGTGCCTGCGCAAAGCAATCAGATATTGTCGACGCCGCTGCACCAGTTTGTGGCTCGCATCAAGGTAAGGAACCCCCTCTGTGCATGCAGCTTGCGTAGTCCTGACGAACTACGCAGGAGCCGGACGGTGCAACGGATGGTGTTGACAAGTTCCCGGGTATCGATTCCGTACATTCATTCACAGTATTCAAACTGAGCATGCGTAACAGTCTATAGCGTCTCGCCCACTACTACGCTGCACTACACGATGCAGAAGCTCCTAGCCAGTGAGTATCCCTGGCGGAACATCGTGCCACACTCACCAATGTGCATCCACCAGCCGACTCGCACCGGCTCTTCGTGACGGACGACCCCGCGCTCGCGTCGCCCGTTTTCCCGCCCACGAGCACGGGCAGCCTGACAGGCATCGTGTCCACCGTCGACGGTCCGCACGCACTCGCGCTCCTCTGCCCGCGCCGCCTGTGCTGACCCTTTCCCGCAGTGCTCTCGCTCTTCGCGCGCATCGCGCAGCTGCCCGACATCGACCCCACGCGCATGCAGCGCCACCGCCGCGCGTCGTCCGCGTCCGGCTCGTCGTCCTCGCGCTCGTCGGACGCGGGCAGCTTCGGCGGGCCGCGCTCGCGCTCGAGCAGCCGCACGAGCCTCGGGCGGCTCTCGGTGTCTGGCGAGGGCAAGCCGCTCCGCAGCTCGGTGTCGAGCTTGGACTCGTTCCAGTGGGCCGAGCGCGCGCCTGGGGAGAGGAGGTGATGCCGTGGGGCGGAGGATGGGAATCATGGTTGGTTAGAGGTATTTATTTATTCCTATCGATTGCCTGCATAATGTGACGTGGACGGCATCGCCGACGAATACTATTGCGCCTATGGAGATTATTTCGGGGTGGCCCGTACGTTTAGCTCTTCCGACCAGTTGGCTGCTACCAATGATTAGAGAGCAGGCCAGCATAGCTGGAGCGTATCGGAGTCTGAATATAATCACACACGCTGTCTATTCCGGCCAGTTCAAGTCAGGATCTGCTATCATCATGCCTGCGCTAGCGCCCTTGACATCTTCCACAACCCAGACTTTCTGTGTTACGAATGGTGTGGATGTCGAGGATTGGCAGCTCAGAGAATGCGCTGAGCTCTTCAGCGCCCATTATGGTATATGGGGGGATCAAGCATCTAAACCACTGGAACCTAGTAAATGGAGTCCACGCCCCCTGCTGCATGCATCCTGCTGATCCTATTCCACAGAATCGCGAGTCAAGATGAATGCCTCGCGCTTGAAGTCTGAGTGCCTGGGAGATCCTGGATCCTGAGCACACCATACTATCGACATGTCATATTGGTGCCAAACTTGTCGGACATGCATTCGCTACGACATGGGAACTTACGGATGGTATGTGATACACTCGAGCAATCCTAGTGTTTGTTGCTGACTTGTGCTTGAGGCCCGAGTTCGGAGAAGCGCACCGTAGGTTGGATCACACAGCTTGTTGTCGACACCTCCGAGCGTCGGCAGTCGATTGCGACTGTCCTCCTCCAGCGTCTGAAGGCTTCTGGCTTGTTTGACTCGGTCACGGTAGTCGGGCTTGCCTCGTCCCATCCTGCTGCATGCGCTGCTCTTGCTAAGCTTGCCGGTGAGTGTGTCCATTCTATCAGTCCCACAATGTGATTCAACGAGAATGTAGGTGCTTGTATCAGCATCGTGGATACAGGTTTCATTGCTGAGAATGCCCGGAACGTGCTCAGTAGTACGACGGTTGACTATTTGAAATCTGCCAAGCTCCACGGTAGTCTTTTCGGGGGCGACTTCGTACCGGGCACCGTATCCTTGGTCTTTACAAACTTTTATGTTGATCATGATGAGCCTCTGGCAGCACTCAGGGAGGTCTGTGAGCATAGAACCTGGTGTCTTGGTGACCTTCTAGAAGGTCATGAATTTATATGCATGGCTCCCATGCAAGCACCCTCTCTGGTTGCTCCTACAGTGCCGTTGGGTGGAGGTGATGTGATTCCAGTAGGGACTCGTCATGTTCACTTCCAAGGTTGTCTTTGCTTTGTAATTGCTTTCCTCCTGGTGTTGTTGCTTTGCTATGCCGAAACCTAACAATGGTTACATTTGTTTGGCATTTTCAATCTGGCCTGCATTTTGCTTGACTTTGTATTCTGATATGAATCCATTGAAGTGAGATCGTAGAAAATGAGCATGACCTTCACTGACTCGTCAATCCAAACTCGCGGGAAGGGCGCACTTGACATTGTCCATGTTTATTGCAAACCACCAAATACCCAACGGTGGCTCCTTACTGAACAAATCCCATGGTTGAGCTCACCTCTGCGGCAAAGATGACAGTAACGGAGGTCGCAGTGGTGGCAGATGCGTCATTGACACCTCAGCAGACTAGCAGGGTCAGCACAGCACACGAAATAGAGCCTATTCTGTCCGATAAGCTGGATATCGGCAACCACCTGCCAGACAAACCCGTTGAATCGCCGAGGTCACAGTGCGGCAACTTAGTAGCAATTGCCCAGCGACAGGAGGGCCTCGAATGCACGCACGGAGTCTCTTTACCGTGTACTGGGTGTATCGATCACCAGGTCCGTGTGTCAAAAACTTCCATTGGATATGGGTAGGTCCCAGTACTATACACAAGTTTTGGTGTCGCGGGGGCTAGAACGTATGAGTACAAGGTCTATGGGCGGATCTAAAACAACAATCGAGACCGGATCCTACCTATCGTGAGAGATGAGAGACGTATAGACGGTGAGTAGACGACAGGAACAAAACAAGAAAGGATGTCGAGGGGGGAAGTGAGGCAATAGATATATCCACAACTGAGAGGGGGGTACGATGCTCATTGCTCACGTATGGCCGTTGCCGTTGGCCGTACCGTTGCCGTTGGCCGTGCCGTTGCCATTGCCGTTGACAAATGCGTTACCGTTCACAGCTGCGGCGCCGTTCGCTGTCGTCTCCAGAGTTTCCGCCTTCTCGGCCGCACGCACCCTCAGGAACCCGAGCAGCGCCTGCACGCGCGCCGTCGCCGTCTCGAGCACCGGGTGCACACGGTCCTGGACGGTGTCCCGCAGCTTGTTTATTTTCTCAGAGAGCGGCTCCGGCGCCGTCAGGATGGCAGAGAGGTCCGTGATTGTCGACGAAATCTGCGCGGAGACGTCGTGAAAAGATGCCTGCACGGCGATCGGGAGCGTCGCGGTTGTCGCCTGCGTGAGCCGGTGCATGAGTACGGGTAGAACGCTCCCCGGCGGGGCCCGACGCACCTGGATCCTCTGGAGCTCCGAGAGCATCGTGTCGCTCAGCGTCTGGACCTTGAGCTGCGCGGTCCCGTAGCTGGTCGAGGCGAGCTGGCTGAGGTCATGCGCCGTCGCGGACGCACGCTTTACGAGCGCATTGTGCTCCTTCAGCTGCGTGATCTGCTCCGTGGAATACGTTCGGAGCTGCTCCGAGAGGTCCATGGAGAGGTTGTATGCGCGCTGGTACTGGAACTGTGCATCCGGCATTGGCTGCGCGGGCTCTGTGGTGTCGTTCGCGTGCAGCTTGTTGACCGCGACTTCGACGTAGTCTACTATAGGTGCAAAGCGCTGTCGTGCCGACTGCAATTAGTGCACCGGTATCGGATGGGCAGAGTTTAGAGAGCGCACACCTGGTCGATACCCTGTGCGACGGAATACGCGGGGCTCTTCACTTTTTCATCAATGGTCTTGTTCGCGACCTCCTTCGCGTGGTCGCTGTGACCTTTCAGATCTTTGACAATATCCTCAGGCGAAGTCTTGAAGGGGTACGGGTAGCGCGACTCGACGGCGTCTAGCCCCGCGTTGGCATAGCCATCCGCGCGAACAAGGAGGGGTGCGAGACGTTTTTGAAGAGGCTCTGCGTAGCTGAATGCGGACTTGGAGATGCCTTGTGCGGTCGTGTAGGGGTGTCGCGTAAGTACGTTGGTCGAGAGGGTCTCGTGGATGGTGCTGAGCGAAGACGCGACGATAGGGATGGAGGCGACGCGGGTGAGGACGGTGAGCTCAGGGGTGCTCGGCGATTCCGTCGTCTGCGTGGACATTGTGGGCGACGGTGAGGGGGATAGGTAGGTGAAAAAAGATAAGGATGGCGTAGGCGCAAGGGCTCATATAATGGCGGGCGGAGTGGCTGCACTTGCATGTGATATCGGGTTTGCAATTTAGACTCATAATGGGCGCCCACGGTCGCTCGATCCATCGCGTTCTTTGGCCAGAGCCCGGCGCCTCTCCAAGCTGTGCCCTTTCCCCCACACTAATATTTCGCCCCCTATTCTGTGTATCTGAGGGTCTTCAACAGTATTAAACTGCCCGCTTGCCTAGCAGAGAGGTGCAGCTATCTACCATCTCAGACATGTCGTAATAGCGTATCTCATCTGCCATCGATGCGGCAGACATTGCGCATGTGCGCTGTGCCTTTGTTGTCGGAACGTATTTGCGCTCCACAGCGACGTGATATGCTGCTATGGTATGCGCTAAAAGGTAGGAGCGGAATATGGCAACCCGGATATGCTCTCGCCAGGTTCTTGTCATCTTAGAGTGTGCTGCTTGAAAAACACACTCATCAAGCGTTGTCAAATGCTGACCGGTTGGTCCAAGCCCATTTTGCTATGACATGAATCTTCTAACTAACCCACAACTCACAGCTGATTCCATATCGTCAGACCTGTTGCACTCAATGTTTGCGTAAGCGGGCTTCAAGCGGAAATGGGTGGGCCCTGGAAACAACGGCATACAGTCTCAAATTGTGACTATGACGATACTGGGCCGGGTCCAGATGTCGGGACCATGGTCCCGAACATTGATTCTGAATTCCACATCAACCTCGCTTTCGCGCAGACATTCTCGGGTAGGTCTATGAATTTGGAATGAGCTGTAAGATCGATCAATTGAGTATTTTGCTGCTCCCGATTAGATCTATGAGTACACATCTGCTCGGGTCATCATTCGTCACAACCTTGCGATTGCTGGGGTGCGTGAGAGTAAGAAAATCGTGCCTGGTGCGCGTCCGATAAACGGAGAGGTGATCCGACAAATGAGGACGTAGCCTACGCCAATGCGCAAGATTGTATGGGCTATGATGTAAGTGCTACCATATGGGCGTCTCGGTACCCACTCTTGACTCTACACACGACGCAGAATTACAACGAAGCGACAATTTTATAACCCAATATACACCCCAGTCTGGCACCGTGCACCATGAATTACCCAAACGGAATGAAGTTTGACAGGCCATGACGATTCATTCCTGTCGAATTGCACATTTGCTCGGTGTCTGACAGTTCGGGCGATGCATCGGTAGTGTTAGCTTCTACGCAGATAGAATTCAAACCCGGCTTCGCGGCTTGTGCCTCTCTCAGTTTAGCGGCTCCACCACAGTATTGAGTTGCAGTGCTTGTGGCAGCTGAGTTCTGTCCGATACTGGAATTTCCCCTTTACAGGCTGCAACAGCCCAGGCCCGCCATCGGCAAGCTTCCTACCGTGAATACTCCGAAGAAAGAGAACATGATAAACAGTGATTTTATTCGCGGAGGATGTAGTCATGCACGGCTCAGTCCAGAGTTCATCGACTACTCACCGCAGACATGAGATCTTACCTGTTCAAGATGCGCCCGCAACGCTTGTTGCCGCAGCCCCGTGGGGTGTCCCAGCTTCTAGGCCAAAGCCTCCGTATACCCCACCTCCTGACTGACGGTCCGATAGCGATAGCGGCAGGCACTTGCGGCTCAACCGGTCTGGCAAGGCGCCACCTCTACACCACCACCCGCGCCCGCATGTCCCGCGTCCACCTGCAAGACGAGCTCCTGGAGTCCCCCGATCGTATCAGCGTGCAGACGCGATACGGTACGCTCAGGGGCAGGCGCGCGCGCAACGGCGTTGCGGTCTTCCTGGGCAAGTCGCACGCCCCTGTTCCGCCGTCTGCATCGCGGGCTAATCGAAGCTGCTATGTCGCGATGCTGCGCCATATTACTGTATTGTGAGCAGAGGTTCCGTATGCGCTGCCGCCAGAGCGATTCCAGGACCCCGAGCCGCTGCCATCGAGCTATCGATACGAGGATAAGGAGTACATCCTTGAAAGCAGCTGTAAGCCACAAAGAGTATGCTGCTGTCCGCGATGCTGAGGCTGATTACTTGTGGGGCACAGATGGTGCGCAACCGAATAACGATGGCCAGGCCGCTGGTATGATCCATATTTCGAATTATAAACTTTCTGGGGCCCGAGTTTATCTGAGTATGATATGCAGGCTCGCCTTTCGAGGACAAAGTCGGATTAGGGCAGCCGACAGAGAATCCGTATGTACTGAAATATCCTGTGATCAACGGGCAGTACACTGACCATGTGATTACATAGGCTCTTCGCAAATATCGTGTCACCGCCCGATTCCACACCAGAGTCGAAGCACCCCGTCAAAATCTACATACACGGAGGGTGATGTATCATCGAAACCAACCGCCCTTACTAGCGCTCACTTAGGTCTCGTAGGTTCTTGCAATTTGGCTCGCCGCATGGCCTGAAAGGCCAGGCGCAGTATGTGTCAGCGGAACGCTCCGAGGTCTGGGTCAATATCGGGTACCGCTTATCAGCCTTCGGCTTCCTTGCCTGCGACGAACCGCGGGTGGCCGGTAACTTTGGTTTCAAGGACCAGTGGCTCGCATTGCTGTGGGTTCGCGATAATATTGAGCAATTCGGAGGTACTATTTTATATTTCTGTGGTCGTATTTATGCCCATTCGCGCTTCTGCTGTGTACAGGCGATCCAAGCAATATTCAGATCACTGGTTTATCTGCAGGTGCGCCGAGTAGGTATTGCACTCGTGGCACGGCGCTGATCCTACCGTGCTCAGGGGCGCATTCGGTGCACCAGCTGCTGCACCACGCTTCCCACCTTCCTGAAGGCGAGAGTGCACCTTTTCAATCTGCAGTGCTGCAATCCAACGCTATCCTGTGAGCTCACCCACTCACTAAGACACACACACCAATGAATCGGCATGATGCATTCACAGGACGGTGCCAAAGACGCCGCGGGAGCTGCGTCCCCAGTTCCAAGCCCTTTGCCATGCCCTCGGTCTAGAGTCGAGTTCACCCGATATATTGACAACCCTCCGCGATTCGTCCAGGCTTCCTGCTTCCAAGATCACGCACGTCATTGAGACGGATGCCTTGGGGGTGGAACACGGCACCTTCCGTGGATGCCTTGACGATTCATGGTTACCCACGACGCCAGATCCTATGATCTGGCAGCGCTCTGGCGACTTCGTATCACAAGGCGACGCAGGGAGCAGTTGCACAGAACTAGCACTGAAGGACTGAATGCCACAAGTGGGGCTGATGTCACGAGTTGGTACGGCGCCTAGCCGTTTTTTAATTTTTTCCTTTTCGCGGGCTCGAACCCGCGACCTCTGTACTACATGCCCGATATGGACGCGTCGCTATCTACTGTACGATTAGATTAGATGGGGCGGCAGCGCACGGCACAGCTCGGGCCCCGCTGACACAGCCGTTCTGACTCACCGGCCCCCGGGGCCGCGTCGGCATGCTGCGCACAGACCAGCTGCGCACGGACCAACGCGCACAGCCTGCCCTAACCTCCCCATGTATATAAGCCGGCCTCTGCTGCCCTAGGGACCTCAGTTTCGACCTCTTGTCCCTAGGTCAGTAAGCCCATGTACTTACTTACCTTTCTAATGCTAACTTACTTGTCCCTAGCCTTAGGTTTGAGCCTAGCTCACCATCGCTTCGGTAAGATAAGTCGAACGCCCCCAGCATTTGGTTTTCCCCTGTCGCTCGACCCTAAGTCGCGACATTAGGTCGAAACTCCCCAACGCTGCCGGCGTTCCAAAAACCAAAACACTCAT